CTTTGTTTGCTGGCACAGCTTCACCAAAGGCTAAAGGCAAGTCTGATGGCCAGGAGCAGGGGGGCAAGCTGCAAAAGCCCACGCCGGTGGAAAACAAGGTTTTGCTTGCCAGAAAGACTGCTCCAAAGGCCAAAGCCAGGTTTGTTGTTGATTCAGGCTGTACCCGCCATGTCTCAAAAGACCGCCATCTCTTTATCTCCTTCAAGCCTCAAGAAGGTGAGATCCACCTGGCTGACGGAAAGACGTTGCGAATTGCAGGAGAAGGGACTGTGAAACTGGCAAGTCTGCACACGACCATCAGAGATGTACTGTATGTTCCAGGTGCTGCAGACAATTTGCTCAGTGTCCCACAGCTTACTGGGCGTGGTTTTGAGATTTCCTTCAAGAGGAGCGTCTGTGTCATCAGAAAAGGCAAAGAGGACATTTTGCATGCAAAGTTTATGGATGGCTTGTTCTGTATAACTTATGACGACAATGGTGCTGTTGTGTCTAATGTTGATTCTTGTTGTGTTGCACAAACTAACAAAGTTCTTCATGCAGGATGCATTCACGATGCACACAGGAGGTTTTGTCACCTCTCTTGGAAGGCACTGGCCAAGATGCCAGAGATGGTTGAGGGTTTGAACATCAAACCCTGTAAGTTTCACATGAAATGTGTATCTTGTGCAGAGAACAAGGTGAAGGTTGCTCCAAAAGGCAAGGAGTCTAGCAGGCAGGCTTCCAAACCCTACCAGCTAGTGCACGCAGACCTGGTTGGTCCACTTGCGCCCTCTTTGGGTGGAGCAAGGTACTTCATGGTTCTAATTGATTCTTTTTCCAGGTACATTCATGTGTTTATGCTCGAGCAGAAATCGCAAGCGTTTCCTAAGTTCAAGGCATTCTGTGCTTGGTTGGAGAATGTTCACGGTAAACGTATTGGCTGTCTGTTTACTGATCGAGGCGGGAGTTCACTTCTCAGCAGTTTGAAGCTTTCCTGACTGAGAAGGGAATCCAGCATGACTTGTCAACGCCTAGATCGCCATGGATGAATGGGCTTGCGGAGCGAGCAAATCAAACGTTGCTGCAAGGAATGAAAACATTGTTGCATGATGCCAATCTCCCTGATAAGTTTTGGGGGGAGGCTCTGTCGAATTTTGTTTACACTTTTAATCGCAGATTGTCATCACCTATTGGTTGTACTCCCTATGAGAAGATGTTTGGTAAGAAACCCAACATCAAGCACATGAGAATCTTTGGTTCTGACATGTGGGTACACACCTCACAGAGCAACAAGCTTGGGAAGCGTGGGGCACATGGTTTGTTCATGGGGTACGAAAAAGGTGCATACAGGGTGTGGATGACTGACTCTAAGTCCATTAAGTTCACAAAGAGTGTTGAGTACAATCCTAAGTGGGGGGGAAATGTGGGAATTTTCCAGAGTTACCCAGAGGAGGATGAAGGTGATGTCAAAGAAGCAGCTAAAGCTGAGGAAGCTGCTGAGGAGGAGGAGGAGGAGGATGATCAGAGTTCGGATTCCAGTTCAGTGGGCGGCGCTGCTGCTGGTGTCAGTGACAGTGATGACACAGCAGACTACAAGAGCGCAAAGGCCTCAGTCAGACCATCTGATGCGTCTGACAATGAACTGGAACAACCACTGTTCACCATTGGTCACTTTTCTCCTAAGAAGGAGGAGATGAGTCCAGAAGACTTGCGTCTAGTACGCAGATCTGAAAGAGCCACAAAGGGCAGACCTCCAAAGAGATTTGCTGATGAGTTTGCTAAGACAGCAACTGCTGTTCTTAGTAGCTCAGAGAAGGTATGGGAACCTTCAAGCTTCAAAGAGGTTCAGGAGTTAACCTCTAAAGATGCTGAGCCTTGGCTAAATGCCATGAAGGCTGAAGTTGATTCCTTGAATAGGAACCAAACTTGGGAGTTGGTACCGGTTGTCCCAGGAATGAGACTGGTTGGCAGCAAATGGGTCTTCAAGGCCAAGACAGACCAGAATGGCAAGGTAGTCAGACACAAAGCCAGATTGGTTGCCAGAGGTTTTTCACAGGTACCAGGACAGGATTACCACGAGACCTACTCACCCACCGTCAAATATGAGAGCATTCGGCTGATGCTCAAGATAGCTGCAGAGGAGAAACTGCATGTTTCCCATCATGACATTAATACAGCTTTTTTGTACGGGATTTTGGAGGAGGAGCTGTTTATGCTTCCACCTGATGGAATGCAGATACAGAAGTGAATGGTCTGTAAACTGCGGAAATCCTTGTATGGTCTCAAGCAGAGTGCCAGGTGTTGGAACACAAAACTCACTGAGACGTTGCTTTCTCTAGGTTTTCACCAGGGCAAAGCTGATCCATGTGTGTTTGTCAAGGAGGAGGGGCAAAACAAACTGTATTGTTTATGTTTTGTTGATGATCTTCTGATGTTTTGGAAGAATCAGGCTTTGTATCAAAGCACCCTAGCTCAGCTGAAGGAGCACTTTGACATGAAGGATCTTGGTGAGGTATCCAACTATCTTTCTCTGCAGGTGGAGAGGGACCAAGCAGGTAATTTTCTGGTACACCAAACACAGAAAATTGCTGATGTATTAACCAGGTTGAATTTGGTTGATGCAAACCCAGCAGACACACCGATGGTGACAGGTTACCAGGTAGACAGTACTGCTGAAGCGTTTTCTGACACAACGCTGTACAGATGCATTCTAGGCAAGTTGAATTTCATTGCTAGATGCTCAAGGCCTGACATAGCTGTAAGCTGTAACCTGCTTAGCAGACATGCCAACAATCCTACTGTTCAGGATTGGAAAGCTCTGAAGCGCATAGCCCGCTATTTGAAAGGGACTATGCACTACAGGCTGAGGTTCACCAGTCAGAAGACTGGAGGTCTTGAAATCTTTGCAGATGCAAGTTTTGGAAGTGACACCACGGATGGTACAAGCACTTCTGGAGTATGCTACATGTACAACCACTGCCTGTTTGACTGGTTGTGCAAAAAGCAGACGACAGTGAGCCTAAGTTCCTGTGAAGCAGAACTCAATGCTTTGTCATTTTCACTCATGGATTGTGAATGGTTGATGCAACTGTTTAAGGACATCGGAGTTTCTGTGAAATGTCCTGTACAAGTGTATCAAGACAATAGATCGTGTTTGGCTTTGCTGAACTCAGAGAGTTGCAAGCAAAGGACCAAGTACTTGCAGATTAAGCTACATCGTGCAAGAGAGTGTATTGAGAAAGGACTCATTCAGGTGTCCTACATGCCAGGAAATGAAATTCCTGCTGATCTGTTGTCTAAGGTTGTTAACAGAGAACAACTTAAGGTTTACGTACAAAGGTTGCAATTGGGTTGAACCACAGGTACTACAGGTTACACGGAAAGTGGGAGGATGTTAGGATATTTCCGTTCCACCTTAAAAGGGAGCAGGCTTTGTGAGTCAGAGTCTGCATATTTCCTGTTCACAGGATGTTTATGTTTTCTGTTGCTTTCATTTTCTCTCTGTGTTTCATTTTCTCTCTAAAGCAGGCAGTCATATTTTTCTGTGTTCTGATCAACGCTGAATAAACTTGTAAATAATGCTCTCCTGAGTGCAACTTTTTTGGCTGTGCATTATCTGCTGATAGAGCGTGCATGAGCTCTGGAATGTGGCAAGATATTTTCTAGAAACTCATGTCACTGCGTGCCTACGGGAGGTCAATGGATCGTCCGGCAGACGGCTTGGGGGCCTTGATGGACTTTATCTCCCTGGCAGTATCCCAACAAAAAACCCTTCAGTCTTCACTGCCAAACCTTTCAGCGGAGCATTTTCAACAGTTTGGCACCATTTATGAGTGAATTGGATGATGTCAGAATTTTAGTGAAATTCTGACCCCGCGTTCCGCAGCTTAAAGTGTCGAGGCCTGATTTCTTAGCCTAGGATAAAAACCCTTCTGTTTTCACCACCAAACCTTTCAGGGGAGCATTTGCAACAGTTTGGCACCATTTTTGAGTGAATTGCAGAACATCAGATTTTTGCTGAAATTCTGACCCCGCATGTTAAGGATTTTTTTAAAAAAGAGATTTTCCGCAACTTAAAGCGCCGAGGCCTGATTTCTTAGCCTAGGATAAAAACCCTTCTGTTTTCACGGCCAAACCTTTCAGGGGAGCATTTGCAACAGTTTGGCACCATTTATGAGTGAATTGGATGATGTCAGAATTTTAGTGAAATTGGTGGGTTAACGATTTGTTTAAAAAAAGATTTTCTGCAGCTTAAAGCGTTGAGGCCTGATTTCTTATCATAGGATAAAAACCCTTCTGTTGAGATGAGAATATAGGCATACAGTGATCCCTTCAGAACAACTGGGCCCTGTAGCAGGATCAGTGCTGGATTTACATAATGTATAAGCTAAACAAGCTATAGTTCAGGGCCCCACTCTCTTGGGGCCCCAAAAAATTTAAAGGAAAAAAACTTGGATGTACATTTCCAAAATGCAAGATAAAAAAATCAGATAAAACCTACATACAGCAACAGTGTTTTGTGTTGTGTAGGCTCCTGTGAAGTAAGTACCGTAATGGGCCACACCTGCTAGCGTGCCCCCTGAAATATCACTGGTTTGCTCATTTCTATATATACATTGCCTACAATCTGCAATGTATAATTATTAGTAGTTTGCATCATATATTTGCACCTATTATTATTTCATGTTATAGCAAGTTTTTAGAGACTAGATTATGAGTCTTTGTAAACTGTGTTTCTAAAGGAACTTTTGTTTTTGCCAAGTGCCAATGTGTTTGCATTATTAAGTTTGTTATGAATAAAAAAATCCTATTAAGGTATTCACTATTAATATACTTCTTCTTAATTGTATTTCACTATTAATGTACTTGTTAATTGCATTTCAGTTCAACAGTTACTTTGATAAAATACATATTTTGTTATGTGCAGATGGCTTTGGATACCTGTTAGGTGTATAAATTACCATATAGCATATATTCAACACACAAAAACAGTGACAATTTGTTGTTGGCAAAGGACAGGTGTAGACATATAAAGGGCCCCCTTACCTTTAATAGTTTAGGGCCTCTTCAAACCTAAATCCGGCCCTGAGCAGGATGTGTGGGGATTTTCTGTGTGAAGGGGCCATCAGTGCCAGAGCAATTAGGTTTTTTTGTGGGGGTCAATGTGGGGTGTATGGGGTTGCAGTGTGTGGCATGGCGCTTAGGGGCTTGCAGTGCAGGATACATGCATAGTTGCCCCAATCTGAACTTTTTAGTTTATTACTCTAGATAGCACATCTGTGCAGTTGACATGGTTCACTGAGGGGCATATTTTATATTAAAAGCAATCTCAAACAGCAGAGGAATATTTGAGGTCACTGGGAGAGTCAAAATGGCTTCAGGATTGCTCTCCTGTACTACTTCAGACACATGGCTTATATATTTAGATGTATGAGCATTTATGAATATTTATTCTGTATTTGAGACCTTAGAATTCTTATACAGTAACACTATCCCTGACTTTGCACTCTGCTTGCTTCTAGATCAGTTCTACCAACCACCACCTTACCTTTGGTACTGTAGCAAATTCTCACACTTCATAGTAACTGCCTGAACCTTCATCCCCAGTCCCACACCTCCTTTTTTGCAGCCCCACTTTGGCACTCCCTCCTTTTCACTTTCACCCCTCTTTCTTCCTCTATTTTTTCAAACTCCCCTTGCACCATCCTCATTCCCCTGGCTCCTCAACCCTCCTGTTCTGCAGATATGTTACTGTACTCTTAAGAGGAATGGAACCTTAACAACAAATCTGCCAGTTTGTTCAGTTAGAGAAGGCTGTGTGGAGAAGGGAGAGCATCTCATGCCTCCTTACTTTCCCAGCTGCTCCACAACAGCCCTGCAGTTCCCACAAGAAGGGGAGACGTAGGAAAGGGAGCAGACAGATTCACAGGTGTTGCAGGGTTAAGCTCTGGCTCAGAGGTGGAGCAAAGACCGGAATCTCTGTGCACACGGATATCAGAAGACTGTGGGAACGTAAGAGAAGTGCCGTAAAGGCAACTGGCAGCAGTGATGATGATTGAAATTAGGCCGGCTATTGCCCATTGTGTAAATAGCAATAAACAAGGACTACAAAAAGTGCCCGAGGGCACATTAGCAAACCAGATAAGCTGTTGTGGGCACAACCTACAATCTGTTATACCGGCTGCAATAAAACGTTGCTTTAAGTGCAGGGAAGGGACTCCGTGGGTTTCAGGAAAGGCCTCTGTTAGCACGTGTGTGCCTGCAAGCACCACACTGGCAGCACCTGCGATAGGAACCTCTCAGTCATCTTCCAAATTAAAAAGAAAATCTGTTTAAGGTAATGGACAATGGTGTGGTGTAGTGGTTAAGAGCGGTGGACTCGTAATCTGGTGAACTGGGTTCGCTTCCCCGCTCCTCCACATGCAGCTGATGGGTGACCTTGGACTAGTCACACTTCTCTGAAGTCTCTCTGCCTCACTCACCTTACAGAGTGTTTGTTGTGGGGGAGGAAGGGAAAGGAGATTGTTAGCCACTTGGAGACTCCTTAAGGGGAGTGAAAGGTGGGATATGAAGCCCAAGCTCTTCTTCTTCTTCTTCTTTTGATATCTAAATCTCCATGGGGATCAGATGCTTCCAGGGAGAATAGTAATGGTAGTTCATGAATCCTCACGTGGAAGTGAATGAGGCAAGCCCAAACTATGTGTTATCGCAACGTTCACATCTGCATGGGAGCAGCTAGATTGTGGAAAGTGAAGATACCTGGACAGTCTGTCAAGTCGAAATAAAAAATGGATTGGCAATAACATACATGTGTGTGCATCCAATTACAGATTGCGCAAGAGGTTCACAGGCCATAGGTGACATAGTGATGGGCTGTGCTATAATTCAACCCAGAGACACCTGCATGGAGATTTTGTTCAGTAATTTATTTCCAAGCTACTTTACAGCATAACCTATGATATGCGGCTTATTAGGTTGCCATTTTAAAGGGACATGTATGTGTTGCAGCTTCAGCTCTGAGAAGCCAGCTTTTTCCAGGTCGTTCCAGGTTTCTCTGGCCAAGTGGCACCCGTCAAACAGACATATCCAAATTGGATCATAGATCTGCTGCCAGAAAAGAGTCCAGCTGGAAGGAGCACCTGCAACGTGTTCTAGGAAGTAGAAAGCACCACCCTGGAGAAACAGAAATGAATGCATATAAGTTACTTTCTATTCTCCTTTGGAGTTCCTCAGATATTCCTTTGCACAATCAGCGCTAATGGTATCAGAGTGCTGTTAATTTTTCATGGCAACAGCCACTGTTCCCCTGAATTCTGTCCTGAATCTTCCCACATTCAGCTGCATTGGATGGCTTTGGGGTTCTAGTCTTATGAGAGGAACACAGACTGCTCAGTGGGTTAGAGCATGGTGCTGAGAACACCAAGGTTGCAGGTTCGATCCCTGTACGGGACAGCTGCATATTCCTGCCTTGTAGGGGGTTGGACTAGATGATCTCCAGGCTCCCTTCTAATTCTACAATTCTATGATTTCTCTGTCCGCTTTCTCCATTCCGAGCATAATATTACACATCTCCATCATTTGCCTTTTCTCACAGCTGCTACAAGCTGGGTCAACATCTTCATCAACATCTTCATAGGCCATTTTAATGCCCATTCGCTCAGTTTGGAGCAGGAGTGGCAACTTGAATAAAATATTGGGGAAGGCCAGGTATGCCCCTCCCCATATAATCGACCACAAGAAGTAGTACACAGACACACTCCATTTTAATCGTATTGCCCATCACCTTTGGGGGTTCCCGGCCCCCTCAAATATTTTATTAGTGGGGTCAATGGGACCTCGGCCCCTAGGAGCTGGTTCTATGGTTTGGAGAAATCCTTTTGGAGCTTTTCACAACCGCTTTTTGCCAACGTGAAATTTTTTTTTATGTATGTTGAAAGCAGCCCAGAGTGGTTGGGGCAACCAATAATACAATTGCTGCTGCTGCTGTTTAATAGGATGTCTCTATTTTCATCAAATAAATGTTGGAGGGTATGAGATCTGTCACTAGAGTCAGTTAACAGCTCAGCCAAGGGTGATTTTGAGTTTGCCCCCGACTTTGCCAGTTTCATTGGTAAGCAGAGATGGAAGATGTCAAGGAAATCTCAGTGGGTGAAACAGATACATTTTACTCACTATACTGCACAAGGAAGGAGAGGCTATAATGTGTTTAAAAAGCCATTCCCAAACATGAATCATTCTATTTTTATTTTTTTTTAAAAGGCAGGTGGGGATAGACACAAAACAAATGCAGAGAGGCTGAAATGTGAGGAGGAGGAATAATAACAATAATTTATTTATTCATACATACATAGATACAGGTTTCCCCATCCACGCTGGATGGCTCCCTACAGAATATTAAAAACACAATAAAAGATCAAACATTAAAAACGTCCCTAAACAGGGCTGCCTTCAGATGTCTTCTAAAAGTTTATTTCCTTGACATCTGATGGCAGGGCATTCCACAGGGTGGGTGCCACTACCGAGAAAGCCCTCTGTCTGGTTCCCTTCACTGCTCACAGTGAGGGAACCGCCAGAAGGCCCTCGGAGCTGGATCTCAGTGTCCGGGCTGAACGACGGGAGTGGAGAGGCTGCTTCAGGTATACTGGGCGTTCCTGCCCAACCCTCTTATTAGTTTCAACATCAGAGACAAGCATGTTTAAAAATTTGTTTGGTCTTTCACAAGTGCGCAACAACAACGGACAAAATAATAAGAGGCATGTCTAGATCTGTGTAAGGTGCTCTCAGTAACACAGAGTGTGGGATTGTTTCTTCCTAACTGTAGTTAGGGAGAAAAGCAAGGAAGTGATCCCAACGTTTGCAACTTATGAGAATGTAAATAGCTCAGAAGCAAATTGGTTTATGCAGAAACAAGGGATCCGAATCCATCTACCTGCATTTGTGATTCCCTAATGGATATAGAATTGACTAACACCTGAGAATACAGCATGCCCCTGCAGTTACTGAATTGTGCTTGTTCTTCCCACGGCGTGAGCTACTTACCGGTCTCAGCACCCGCAGGACTTCTTTCACAACTTGCTCTGGGCTCTTCACAGAGCATAGCACCAGCGTTGAAACCACCACATCCACCGATGCAGCTGGTACCTGGTGCAGGTCCTCAGCCGGAGCCACCAAACAGCGTTCCACCTGCACGTGTGGATTTTCAGCCAGGCTCTTGTTGAGAAACTTCTGGAAGTTGGAGTTCGGATCAGTGCATATGATTTTGCATCCCGCAGGGTAGAACTGAAAGTTGGAGCCAGTTCCTGTGCCAATCTCCAGCAGTGTGAGGGCCCCCGTGGGGCTGGCAAAGTCCTTCAGGTTGCTGAACATTTCCCTTTTCTTGTCGGACATCTGCTTATTATAACTGATTGTCATCACAGACATGAAGTAGGGGAATAACTTCTTGCAAAGGGGTTCCCAGATACCCAGATACCACAGCAAGTAAGCAGGGAAGGCTAATATCTGGACGCATAACCTGAGCAAGACAACTAGGCATGTTGCTTCCATGTTAGCAGGAGGGCAGAAAACAGCAAAGCCAGAGGAGAAGAGAAACTCAGTCGCAGAGTCTCGATGGTGGGGCTTGTTATTATCTGTTGCTTCCAGTCCTCAAAGATCTCAAAGGGTGGAAAGAAATATTGTTAATAAACTCCACACACACACAAACTCACCAATAACATTGTTTGTGCATGCACTTGTAATCTTGCCCGTCAGAGGAACTTAAAAACTGTATTTGCTGTCTTTAAGAGGGAAATAATCTCATTTAGGGGGTATTCTTACACTTTATTGCAGCAGTGTACTCCGCGGTCCTGTAGTAACCCAAAGTGAATGTTGGTTTAAATTTGTTACAAGCTTTTCCTAAATATAAGGGGAAACCTTTTTCCCATGGCAGAACTCTTTCACACCAAAACTGCGCTGAAAAATGTTGGGATGGAAGGATTTGAAACTAGTCTTCAGTGGTATATTTGCTTCCCTTGTGGGTTTTTTTTGTCTCAAGCAGCTGCAGACTTGAGCAGCATGGTCCTGCCCTGCAAATGCTTTACTTTTATTTGCTCTAGCTGTTCTTTTGGTCTCTCTGTGTCAGGAGAGACATGGGCACCTGATGGTTTTTATTACCTACTTTAGATTAATTATACATCTCCCTAGCCAGTGCAGAAGATGAGAATATAGGCATATGGCAATCTTTTCAGAACAACTGAGCCCTGTAGCAGGATCAGTGCTGGATTTAAGGTAAAGGGACCCCTGACCATTAGGTCCAGTCGTGACCAACTCTGGGGATGCGGCGCTCATCTCGCTTTACTGGCCAAGGGAGCCAGCATTTGTCCACAGACAGCTTCCAGGTCATGTGGCCAGCATGACTAAGCCGCTTCTGGCGAACCAGAGCAGCGCACGGAAATGCCGTTCACCTTCCCGCCGGAGTGGTACCTATTTATCTACTTGCACTTTGATGTGCTTTCGAACTGCTAGGTTGGCAGGAGCAGGGACCGAGCAACGGGAGCTCACCCCGTGGCGGGGATTCGAACCGCGACCTTCTGATCAGCAAGTCCTAGGCTCTGTGGTTTAACCCACAGCGCCACCTGCGTTCCTGTGCTGGAATTATGTGTAAGCTAAACAAGCTATAGCTTAGGACCCTACTCTCTTGGGCCCCCCAAAAAAATTTTAAAGGAAAAAAACCTGGATGCACATTTCCAAAACGCAAGATAAAAAAACAAAAAAAATAAAACCTACATAAAGCAACAGTGTTTTGTGTTGTGTAGGCACCTGTGATGAAAATAATGGGCCCCGCCTGTTACCTAAAATATCACTGGTTTGCTCGTTTCTATATATAGGGTGCCTACAATCTGCTATTTATAATTAGTAGTTTGCATCATATATTATTTCTTGTTATAGCAAGTTTCTAGAGACTAGATTATGAGTCTTTGTAAATTGTGCTTCTAAAGGAACTTTTGTTATTGCCAAATGCCAATGTGTTTGCATTATTAAGTTTGTTATGAATAAAAAATAATTTAAAGTTAGAGGTTAATAATTATTTCACTATTAATGTACTTGTTAATTGCATATCAGTTCAACCATTACTTTGATAAAATACATATTTTGTTATGTGCAAATGGCTTTGGATACCTATTAGGTCTATAATATATAGCATATATTCAAAACACAAAAACAGTGACAATTTGTTGTTGACAAAGGACAGGTGGACATATAAAGGGCCCCATTACCTTTAATAGTTTAGGGCCTCTTCAAACCTAAATCCAGCCCTGAGCAGGATGTGTGGGGATTTTCTGTGTGAAGGGGCCATCAGTGCCAGAGCAGTTCGAGTTTTTTTGTGGGGGTCAATGTGGGGTGTATGGGGTTGCAGTGTGTGGCATGGCGCTTAGGGGCTTGCAGTGCAGGATACATGCATAGTTGCCCCAATCTGAACTTTTTAGTTTACTACTACATCTGCGCAGTTGACATGATTCACCGAGGGGCATATTTTATATTAAAAGCAATCTCAAACAGCAGAGGAATATTTGAGGTCACTGGGAGAGTCAAAATGGCTTCAGGATTGCTCTCCTGCACACTTCAGACACATGGTTTATATGTTTAGGTATATGAGCATTTATGAATATTTATTCTGTATTTGAAACCTTAGAATTCTTATACAGTAACACTATCCCTGACTTTGCACTCTGCTTGCTTCTGGATCAGTTCTACCAACCACCACCTTACCTTTGGTACTATGGCAAATTCTCACAGCTGCTTGCACATCTGTAATGTTGCTGCCTGAATCAGCCCCTTTATACTCTTCCTCTTTTATTTCATGGAATAAACCAATGGTTCTTTATTCATCCTAGTATGTTCATCTTGTGGCACAGGCATCTCGCAAGGATACATTATTTAGACTAGCGTCGGATAAAAAAAGATATTTGGTATTAAGTTCTGTATCTCTCTTTATAAACTCTAATAAAATTTATTTTAAAAAATTTAAACTGTGTGGAGATTTTTGTTGTTGTATTTTTGTGTCTTTATATTGTAAACTGCCCTGTGATCCTTGGCATGAAAGGTGGTATAGAAATTTAATTTTTTAAATAAATAAAATAAGGAAGCCAGTGGAACCAATTCAAAATCCCTTTCAAAGCTGTTATTATTAAGTCTGTGAAACCCTCTACTGCCAATACAGCTGTTAGAAGCAAAGATCACCAGTGTTGAAACAACGATTTTTCAACATCAACTTTGTTGGACTAAGGCCATTTGCCTTAGGAGGAAAGTGCCCACAAGCACCTATGTATCAGCTTCAAGTTTAAGCCTGATCTGTGATTGCCACAGGTTTTGCAAAACAGGGAAGAGCACCAGTGACTGAGTTGTTAGGCATAAAATTTTACAGGAAAAGCACTAGGTTTATGCCTCTTCTCCCAAAGACTGGACCTCCCTTTTATACTTAGCGTCCTGTGTCTTGGGCAATTTCCAGATCACCAAGGTCGTCCCTTCCCCCTCAAACATGCATCCCAATTTGTTTGCAGGAGGAATATAAAATGTTGCGTCATTCCACACTTCCAAGGCATGATAGTGCGAAAGTCTGACCTTTGGGGGGGAAGCAGGTTTGTTGTGTAAGAGCTGTGCAAACAGCTGCTGTTGCACAACCAGAATTGGCCAAAGTGCAATTGTTATTATTTATTGAATTGATATACCGCCCTATACGCGGAGGTCTCAGGGCGGTTCACAGAAGAGACCAACCTTAAAAACATATATATATATATATATATATATATATATATATATATATATAATCAAAATGAAGACATCCTGACATCGCTCTGTGGCTACTTTATGAGCAAGGAGGGGAGATCCGATCACAATTCCTTGCATTGCATCTGCACTGGCTCTGCTATTAGGAGCTTTTTCTATGGAAGGAACTGTTTGTTTAGGTTTACATCCCTGCTTCTCAGGGCAGTTTTAGAATCTGCTCGAACTTACATTGACCCTTAATTTTTTTTTTAAAAAATGGTAAACGGAATGCAACGTGTTAACACGTCGGTAACTTGATGCGCATATCCGGATTATGAATTCGTAAATTTGACGCCCAAAGCTCACCGTTTCCAGGAGGCGTTGGAAACGGCCAACCTTTCCCTTGCCCAGCGGCGAAGGAAACGAGGGGAAGCTGGGGGCACCGCTTGGAGGCGCCACTGCGATGTACGAAGCGGCTCCCACGACTGCTGTGTCACCTCAGGAAGGCGGAGGAGGCGAAGGCCGCCCTCGCCTCTACCCTTCTGCCTTTGAGCCGAGGAAGAGCCGGGAAGAACCCGACGGGCGAGAAACGTTGAGCACGACCTCTCCGACCATCTCGGAGGAAGGGGCCGGAGCCAGGCCCTCAGCCGCCGACCAAGGGCCTCGAGCAACGCGGCGCCTCAGCCGCCCCCTCGATGGCCAACTGTCGCCTCACGTTCAAATCAAGCGCGCGCGAGAGAGAGAGCAACGGCCGCTCCTGGAAGGGGCAGGGCTGGATGTCATCTGAAAATAGCTCCCTCCTGAAAGCTCCCTTAGCTTCTGCATGAGCTTCCTCCCTTTTGCTGATGTCTCCTCATCGCTATACGCACATACCGTTTGAATGGCAATGCTCATCAACTTGGGGTGTGGGGCTCAAATATGCCTCCCTGTGCTCCTGTGCCTCCCACTCCCTGGTCTGAGCACTCTTTGGACTTCGCTGAGGACATAGCTGTCAACTTTCAGATTTGAAAATAAGGGATCAGCAGCCTCACCTGTCCCAGGGAGCCTTGAAAATAAGGGGTCAGCAGCCTCACCAGTCCCGGGGACACTCTACGGGATATCTAACAATACGGGATAGAAGCGGGAAGCAGTGGGAAACGGCGCTGGAATAAGGGAATTTCCCACAAAAAAAGGGAAGGTTGACAGCTATGGCTGAGGATGGCTGTGACGTTGGTCACCAAGCACAGGAACACCGTGCGCATGACCAAGTCCATGGAGCCTTTGGGAACGGCACACAGATCCTCTCCGGGGGTGACAATGAAGCCCTCAAAGCGCAGGTGCTGGTTCTTGGGAACGCTCTTCAGGAGATACCTCCCAAAGTTGGGTTTGGGGTCGCTGCAGGTGATAGTCCGGCAGCCCGGTGGGTAGAACAATGGTTTTAGACAGTGGTTTTCAACCAGAGTGCCGGGGCACCCTGGGGTGCCTTGAATAATAGGGGTAAAGGGACCCCTGACCATTAGGTCCAGTTGTGGCCGACTCTGGGGTTGTGGCGCTCATCTCGCTTTATTGGCCGAGGGAGCCGGTGTACAGCTTCCGGGTCATGTGGCCAGCATGACTAAGACGCTTCTGGCGAACCAGAGCAGCGCACGGAAACGCCGTTTACCTTCCCGCCGGAGTGGTACCTATTGATCTACTTGCACTTTGACGTGCTTTCAAACTGCTAGGTTGGCAGAAGTTCTAGGTTCTGTGGTTTACCCCACAGCGCCACCTGTGTCACTTGAATGATAGGGGTACTGCGCGCAATACTTGCCTCTGTCCCTCTTTCCTTCCTTCTTTCCCTCCTCTGATGCTCTCTGTACCTCCCAAAGGCTTGTGTGACACACACACCACCCTATACCCGGAGGTCTCAGGGTGGTTCACAGAACAAAATCAAAATATAAAACCACAATATATGTAATCAAAACAAAATGAACAACCCAATAACACCCCCCCAAAAAAGAACCACGTTTTAAAAGGGCATAGGATGTCAGTCAAATCAACTAAAGGCCTGGTTAAAAAGGAACGTTTTTGCCTGGCCGCTAGGCAAACGTCCTGGGGGAGCATTCCACAGATGGGGCCCCACTGCAGAGAAGGCCCGTTCTCAGGTCGCCACCCTCTGCACCTCTTGAGGAGCAGGCACACAAAGGAGGGCCTCAGAAGATGATAACAGGGTCCTGGTAAAGACGGTCCCTGAGGTATTGCGGTTCTGAGCCATTTAAGGCTTTACAGTACAGTGGTACCACTGGTTAAGAACTTAATTCGTTCCGGAGATCCGTTCTTAACCTGAAACTGTTCTTAACCTGAAGCACCACTTTAGCTAATGGGGCCTCCCGCTGCCGCTGCACGATTTCTGTTCTCATCCTGAAGCAAAGTTCTTAACCCGAGGTACTATTTCTGGGTTAGTGGAGTTTGTAACCTGAAGCGTCTGTAACCTGAAGCGTCTTTAACCTGAGGTACCACTGTATAAGTTAAAACCAGCACTTTGAATTGAGCCCAGAAACTAATTGGTAGCCAGTGTAGTCAGACCAGGATTGGTGTAATATGCTCAAACAGTCTTGCCCCGGTTAGCAACCTGGCCCCAGAATTCTGCACTGGCTGAAGTTTCCAAACTGTCTTCAGAGACAACCCTACATATAAGGCATTGCAGTAATCTAACCTTAAGGTTACGAGAGCCTAGACAACAGTAGTTAGGCTATGCCTGTCCAGATAGGGATGTCGCTGGGCCACCAGCCAAAGTTGATGGAAGGCACTTTGGGCCACTGAGGTCACCTGAGCCTCGAGCGACAGCAAAGGATCCAGGAGTACCCCCAAGCTACAAACCTGCTCCTTCAGAGAAGTGTAACTCCATCAAAAGCAGGTGACCTCCCACCCATCTGATCTAGGGAACCACCCACTCACAGTGCCTCAGTCATATCTGGATTGAGCTTCAGTCTGTTCTTACTGTCACTAGGCTAATCTGTTAGGTTCTTTTCCTACCGTCACTTGATTGGTTTATTGGGTTTCTTGGAACATTGCAGCAGACTATAATGGGTGCAACCATTGTTGTGCTTTTTATTTTATTTTTTTACCTTCCAGCTGTTGCAAAACTACAATTCCCATCAGTCCCAGCAAGCATAGTCAGGTGACAAGGGGTGATGTGGAGTTGAAGCTCAGCAATGTGAAGGGTCAAAGACCTGATCTATAGCATGTTTTTGTCTAAAGACCCTTCTCTAAATAACTTTGATGCTTGGAGGAATTTCTGTAGATTCCTTCAAAGTGTGCCCATGCTATGGATGGAAATAATGCACAAGCAAAGGAAGAGAAAAGCAGGAAGGAGCCATTTCTGAGCGGCATGCGCTAATGTTGTGTGCAGCTTCCATGCAAAGCAACAGGAGGCAGTGTCGGCATCCGAGTTTTTCCCAGTCAAACCGTCTGAGCTCTGCCCGGTACTGTTTTACTAATTACCAGCAATTAGATCAATCCATGTTAACAGACTGGTGTGTCTGGTGATGTTGCTGGGCCTCTCCTTTTTTGCTCAGTGCGCCGCATGTGGGCAGCACCATCAGAAGGAAATGTGCCCCTAACTGATGTGGCAATCCACGGAGAGGCTAAAGAATTGCGTCATCGTTGCACAATGGAGAAGGGACCATGGCTTAGGCTGACTTGCATGTGCCCATTAGCAGCATTTCCGCTGCAGTGCTGCACTGCCTGCAAATGTTGAAGCTCTCCTGAATGTAAAAGGCAGCATGCAATGCATGTCGAAGCAGGTTCTATAGGAGAAATTGGACGGGATGCTCTTAAAAGCAAAAGGCTTTGTTGGACACCGTGAATTTGCAGCTCTCTGGAATTTCAAACTATTACTCTAATTGAGGGCCAGCATGATGCTGGGGTTAGAATCCTGGAGACCAAGGCTGGGGAAACCTTGATTCAACACCCCCCCACACCAGAAACTCAGAAGGGTAAAGAAACCTTTTTCTCTAGTCACCCAGTCCCATCTTGTAGTCATCAGGCTGCTTTGTTTGAGACTAGTGAATTTATTGGAATCTGCTGATTTTTTTGGGATGGTGGGCGGGGTCGGTTTTTGGATCCAGGCTCAGCTAAATGCAGTCAAGTCCCGTTGAAGCCACTGTGAAAACTTGGTCCCGATTTCAGGCTTCCATTGAAAGTGTGGCACTGAAGTTGAACTAATGGAGCCCAGAGCCAACCCTTCAGAATTGCTTGCAGCCTTGGGGATTACCGTGAACACGGATGGGAAGGAAAGCTAGGATGACAGCAAGGAATGGCGCTGACCGCTAAGTAAGAGGGACAGATGAGATTTCATCCAAGAGAAGAGGTTAAAACAAGATGGACATACCTTTTTATTGCAAATTCCAAAGTAAAAAGATGTACAGTACAAAGGAAATCAAATAAGTCAGACGGTATTCATCTTTCATCCCAGCTATTTTGTTGAAGTAGGTATTTTTTTATATAAAAAAAACCACACACATGCTCTTTCTCCCCTCCCCAAAACTCCTCTTTTTCCTCATTTGCTTTGTTTTGTTTGTTTGTTTGTGTGTGTCTTAAAGCAGAATAAAATCTACTGGGTTAGGGTCTAAAGGGGCTGAAAATAAAGACATTATTGAGGGGTAGGGTGGGGAACAAGCAAAGTGCAGCAAGAAAATAGTTGCCCTGATATCTGCTGGGGGGGAGGGAGGGAGGGAAGAAGCGATAGCAGTGACTTTCTTAATTAGCAGCATTAATGGCACCATCTCACTATGCTTTCCCCTTTCCCCTTAGTTCATGCTCTGCCCTATACACACTTAAACAGCACTTGCAGTTGTGAATCTCAGAAAAGCATTTGAAGAGACGTGAATTAAATTAAGCCTCACAACACCCCTGTGAGGTAGGTAATTACCCGTTTTACAGATGGGTAAAACTGAGGCACATAGAGAGGTTAGGTGACTCTCCCAAGTTTGGGGACACACAGGCACGCACACCAGATCAGCCGTGGAGCTGAAAACAGTAATCACAATAGTTCTGTTTTTCAATATTCAGCTCTTAACACCTGAAAAGCAGTTTCTATCCCCTCCTCTACAAAATGCACTTTCTAGAGACATTCACACCCTCACACCCCTCTATATACAAATGCAACATGCATCAACCTACGGCAAAATTTGGATATATATGTATCTGCGACAACACATAATTCCAAGCCAATTTCAGCCACTTTGGATAGTTGGTGAAATTTTTCTTGTTGAATTACTCTATATGTGCTTCCAGATAGGGACTTACTATTGCAGATGGGATGTTGGCAACAGATTTGTTTTATAACATCACATTTTCCTTGGAAAGGATACACCAGAATGAAAAGGGGGTGGAGAGACCATGGGCTAGTATTGCACTGTGAAAAAATTGTCAGCATGAGGAGCACTCATCCCATAATAAGAACCTGTCTGGAAGCGTCCTGCATCACAAAAGTCCAAACTTGTTTAATAGTAGAGTCTCTCTCTCTTTCACTACTAAAGGGAGACTCACAATTTTTGGATTAATGTTTTGTCTTTTTTTAAATTAGGGTGTGGGATCTCTTCTAATGAATGATAATCCATTCACCTTCTAGAGCTTCTTCACTCAGGGTAGCCCCCATCACCCTCACATGGAGGTGATCACTGTAACATTTGAAACGCAAAATGTTTATTTTGCTATTCATTAGTGGAGTGAATTCCTCTGCCTGCAAGCGTGCCTGATCCCATATATTCTGAACTGTGGGAGGAAAACGGGGGTAAACATGTAACCCAAACCACAAAACTATGACAGGAGAAACGAACCTGCGGCATGCACAACTATCCATAACCACAGCAAACGAGCCACTTTCTGAGCAAATTTCAATGCCCCAGTTCCACCTCACTTTTTTAAAAATAAAAACAAAACAAAGCCTCATACAACAGACAAGGAGACTGGTGCATGGGTGTGATTCCCCAAGTAATCTGTGAGCTTGTAGAAACACAATAATAATACAAAATTGTTTTCCTCTTAACCACCTGGCAACCGGGGAGTCATAGCTAGCGGATGAAGGAAAGGTGTCGCATCTCAGCCCTTTAAATGGAAAGATTTAAAAGTGGGGGCGGGGAGAGAGAAATGTACAAGCAGCTGATTGGAACAAATTATTTAAAGTGCAAAGCGTAGGCATATTACTTTCGTCCGGTGGATGGATTCAGAACTGCTGTAAGCCAAGGAGTGGCTTTCCACTGACCTATGTGCAGCTAAAGCCCTAGCACATACTGTTTATGGAGAGACTGTTACCGATATGCAAGAGACGGCAAAAGGAGGAGAGGACATGGAACACACAGGACCACAGAGCTACCCATTTCCTGTACCAAGGCAAGTGCAGTATCAACCTGAGAACCTTCTGGCTTGGAAGGAGTAATAACATACGTAGCAGAAGAAGGCCAAGGTTGCGGACGGGACATGATTGTGAGTGCTTACCTGCAATCCCCAGGTAAGGGCCTTTTCATGCTGGTGCATAGTCTTGAAACTGAAGTCCTCAACATGGTGATGGAGAGCATAGGGTTTCAAACTACCATCTATCTACGGTCTTCATCACCATGATATCTGAGCCCTTCACTTTCATGTCATTCTCCAGTTCATAAGAGCCAGTTCAGGCTATTTTCTCCATTCATCCCCCCAGAGGTGCATGTGAACTTTCATATGTTTAGACAGGCTTTTCGAACCAGCTGGTGCTTAGGAGACTGAGCAAGGCTTCGGAGCCACACTGGCACCACAACCTTGCATGTGTGCCAGCAAACACGTAACAGGTCACATATGCCTCGTTTTCAAACATGGCTACGTTCATACTGAAAATACTTTACAACATGAAATATGAAGCGGCCCCTTGGTCCTGTACAGGAAGCCACCTTTCAGTTCATCGATGACGAATATCAGATCACGCTGTTGCCCTGTACTGGTTGCCACGAGGCAACCAATTTCAAGCATCAGACTCTCGGCCCAAGAAAACATTCTCACTGGGCCACATTTAGGCCTGTTCATTGTACCTGAATGTACCCTGTACGACAGGGGATTTTGTATCAGAGTAAAAAATAAAATAAAAATAAAACCGAATCTCTATTTTTCAATGCTCAAGCTGGCGTCTTAACTAAAAATTATTGGCAAGATCGCACCCAGATGCCCAAGCTATCAAGATTTTGCCTTTGCTTCCTGAACTTTGAATTACAAAGTTTTGGAGGATAGCACTAGGTCAACAGCATTTTGCTTCAGAGAATCACCAAAGGTTTTTGCGCAGTCTATCAGTGCAAGAAACAAATGTCAACCATAATTGACGATTTCTGGATGGCCAGACCCTGCTTCTTTGATAATTGCCACAACTATCTATTTGAGAATAACTGCATGCTAATTCTCAACCTAGCAGGCCCAGTTCCCTTACATTCTTAGGAGTTAATATGATTGCTACAGAAACTTTTTAACCGCTGAAATGCAGAACACACACATCAAACCAACTTTCCCATGTGCAGTTGAACTGGGAATGTTCATTTCATGTTCTTTGGCTAGCAGCGGCAGCAACATAGTTCATTAAAGTGTGTTTTCTTATAACGACTACAATGAGCCACCAAGCTATCTAATAAGGAGCAGCCAATTTATATGAGGTCAGACTATTTGCTCATTTAGCCCAGTGTTTTCTAGTTGGGCTGGCAGTAGCTCTCCAAGACTTTAGGCAGAGGGTCTTTTACATCACATCTTACCTGATCCTTTTATGTGGAGATGTCTAGGATAAGGTTACCAGATTTTTCTCAATGAATCTGGGGACACTTTTCAACTTCAATGGATTTTGTATCAGGACTGATTTGTACATCTGGGGATTGTCCCCGGGAAATGGGGACGTCTGGTAACCTTAGTCTAGGACTGAACTTGTAACCTTCTGTAGGAAAATAAAGTACGTTACCACTGAATAATGGCTTCTCCACAAGGATAATTCACTACTGGCAATCTGCACTTGCAAGAGGGATTACGGCACATATGCAAATCCTAACAGGTCTATGAAAACTCAGATTGAGATTCCTCAGCATTTCCCCTTTATCTTAAAAGTTTAAATGGGAGGATTGGGTGTAGGGTGAAACTGGGGTAATATCATTTTTGCCCTATGTCTTTACAAAATAGAGAGACAAAAACAGGGATATACATATGTATCTCGATGCAACTTCCCACCTGAAGAGCAAAACATTTTCTGCTTTCTAACTTTATGAAAAGCTCCTGACTCCTCCTAGTGAAACAATAATATAGAGATTGGATTGCACATTTTTACACTGTTAGAAATATTTGAAGTTAGGAGTAATATTTATTCTAAATCCTCAATAATAAAATGTGCCGAGAGTAAAAGAAGCAGGATTTCCTTACATAATACCCTCCAGAAAAATTCCAGATAAAAGTGACAACAGTGATCAGAACAATACTTCCTGTAACACTGGTATTTTGAATTCTAGATTTCCCCCTTCATGCACTAGTCAGTTTTGATTATCTTCTCAATTACATAGTTTTACTAAGCATTTCTGCATCATAAAGTTGTCTGCTGGTTAAGGAAAACTTGAATTCTTGGAGTCTTCATAAAAACAATCCAAGTAGTTGAAGAAGGAAAACAAAGGAAGTCGGTCATATTATTTTAAAATATCCAGCATTTTTGATATAGGAACTTGTCACAACCTGACCACTGTTCTAAAGAATATTGTCAGAATTATACGTGTTCAAAAAATAAATAAATGCAGTCTTGAAATTATGTTTTCTTCCAAGGCCTATCGCCATTTATACCATTGAATTGTATTAACAATAATACCCTCAAGTTCTGGTTTTGTTTTTTGTGAGGGAGAGGATGGTTGGAGTGGCATGAGTTTGTGAGAAGTTGCAAGCCCAGCCATAGTATTTATGCCAAATGACTTGATGTATGAGTGTTTTTCCCCTTGGTTGCGACTTGATTGAAGATCTTCCATGTCAGTTTCACAAAGCACCTGCCATTCATTGTTGGCTGATTAGAAATCTCCACTGCTCATTTAATCAGACAGCCCAGAAAACCAGACTGCTTTTTCTTACTAATTCTACCACTCCAAAAAAATAAATAAATGAACATAAAAGCAAAAACTAATTTAAATATTCTCAGAAAACAACATTTCAACAAAATTCTATACAGCACCTTTTCTGGTGGTGGTGGGAGTACAAAACGTTGAGCTTAAAAATCAGCACTATCAAAATTAGATGTACATTTTCTAACTGTTCTCAACGATTTTGAGATTTCTCTAATTTCTAATTTTCTAATGCTTTCTCAAAAAAGCATTGGCCATGCCTGTTAAACTAATAGGCTCCTTTCTTTATTGCCAAATTCTTTGATTCTATATATCTTTATATGCTGTCTGTATGTCTCAAACTACCTTTTTGTGATTGTTAATTTTTGAGTAAGATTTCCCCAATATTCTACGCTTTGCTTAAATTACGATGCATATAAAAATACGGAGCAAGTTCCACAATATCTGTGAAGTTTGGCCATTTGTTTAAACAATTGTCCCCAAAAAAGAAATGGAAAAAAAAGAAATGTAGTGTAGCAACTAGAAAAAGCAAAAGTATTCACTTTAGTAGGACATAGCCCTCAGCTCTGAAGCTGTTTGTTAATAACTTTTATTTGTTAGTAAAGCTAGTGTAACGTAAGAAAGTTCAAGTATCGCTAAATAATGACCCAATGTAAATATAGATTGCAGGGCATTTTTACTAAAAATTGCTTAGTAAAATTTGACAGCACAAACACTACATGTACCGAGCTTTCCATATGGAACAATAGTCCAGCTAAAGAACAATTATGACATTTAGCCAAATCTTGCATAGAAGTGGTCAAAATATATTGCACCTCAGAACCAAAATATAGTCTAAATATTTCCGTTTGTTGTAAAGGTAACTTTGCAATAAAGCTTTGCTCTGTGTCTGTTTGGGAGGCTTTATCTCCTCCCCCTGTGGGGATGTACATAAGTTGACATTGTCTCAAAAGTGGAAAAAAGAAAGAGAAAAAAATGTATTATATATAGATATAAAATTAAACATGGACAGTGGCATACGCCAGAAGCCATTCTATTTAATTTTTTGTAGTCCTTTGTTATTTACAAAAAGGCATGCCAATAAAATAAAATGATATATTACAGTATTTATAATATTCTTTTAAAAAGTTCAACCACATTTTTCAGCTTTTGTTGTTGTTGTGCTGTTTACAATGTTGCCTGTACATATGCATGTATTTTTTTATTTTTATTTTATTATACACATTGTAGGAGTAAGTGGGGTAAGTCTAACAGGATAGAAATGTTTTGTTCCTTGTGGTATCTGGTACAGCAGAATTCTTCCACTGATTTCATGATAGCTAGACTATGCATTTAAAAAGTCCAACTTGGCACAGATGTCTATCGAATGGCTTGCTTTCTACATGACCCTTGTTGCGGGCATCTAGGCTGCGAGATTCTATAGGTCAAGCCTCTGCCAGCTATCTAAAAGGCATTGCTATTTGTTTGTTTTGCTTTTGGAATATTTTGAGTGATTATTTTGTGTGTGTGTGTGTTTTTGCCCTTTTATAGATACAATTTATTTGGTCCACATTCAAACAGCTTGTTTTCTTTCATCGCGCCCTAAAAAAAGTTCAGTACACCTCCCTTTTTGCAACCAGGCATTCTAAACGATTCATAGCAGCCTATGCCTTCTCTTTTAAGCTGGATGATGGAACAGAGTCTTGGTTATAGTGTAATACAACCTTTGGCCCATCAGCGAGAACTACTCCACAAGCCTGTGCCCTTAAAAAACAAAGAAAAACCCACACAACTGAATTCTCAGTATGATCGACTCGTTGAAGGTGACACAATGAAACAGTTCAAAATATTGAGATGCCCAGGTACTAACTAGAAACACAAAAATTATGTTCCCACCCACCCCCAAACCCCCCCAGGGTGAGACTCCCGTCAATTTAGAGTTAAGACTAGTTGAGAGGTAGCTCTTTCATCCCTACCTGAATTTTGCAGGACTGGTTAAAATTATGACAACAATGTGGGATGAAATGCAAAGTTGGTGAAGGCACACGACATATAGGACACTTTCTCTCTCAGCGCTGCACCCATGTCACACGGCTACTTTGCTCATCAAACGTGTGATGTTCTACTAAACGTTGGTTTTTAACATTATGGTTATTGTTGCTAGCATTTTGGTTTGCTTTTCCTGTAAAAAAAATAAACAAACAAATGCAAAAAGCAAAGAAAACCGTGCAACGTCAAGACTGCAAGCTGCAGGAAATCTGTCAATGGAAGAACGCTAAGTAGAGGCCACTTTTCTGGGAATCAGCTTGTGCCCCATTGTTGAGTTCCTTGCATCAGAACGATCCCAAAGGACGCAACCGTCAGCATGTAAATATGGCACACAGTGCTGTAAACTTCCCTATCGTAACCCTACCCTCCTCGATAAAATTGCTTTATAGATCTGCTGAAAATTGCACCTTTGAAAGATAACGTGCTGTTTCCGATAGCACTTTTCCATCTCTAACAGGGGAGGGGGGAGGAAGTTACCTACAATGCGGAATGGAGGCTAAAGAGTAATTGCGAGTATTGCAGGAAACAAAACTACTGGGTGGGTTTTCTTGAAAGCACTCTTTGACAGTGACATTGTATTAAGAAACCACTGCTGCATGGTCTTTTCCCATCAGAAGGCTTTTAAGAGCAGCATTTCCTGTTTTTGCTGTTTCTTTTAAAAAGTGCAAAAAATATATGGCTGCATGGTTAATAAACATACACATAAACAGGTCTCCGTCGGTTGGTTTCACATTTTTGTTCTTCCTAGAGGAGGTGCATGGAAAGATCTAAGGATTGGTAACTTGGCGGAAGGGCATAGATATAGCTAAGAGTAACTCTCCCAATACAGTGTGCCGTAGTCAGTGGAGTGCCTCGAACATATGGCTTAACACAAGGCCTGGACAGCATATTGAGTGTCTTGTGATTTTATGATTCCTCATGCATGATTCCTGATCACAGCATGCCATCATGCAAATCATTTCTATGCATTGAAACGAGCACAATTTTATTTTATTTTATTTTTGGAATCAGCCTGAGCGAGTTTTGGCAGGCTGAAAACACCTGATTATCCCCATCTCCCAAACCATGGTGAAGCCCATATAATAAAGAAGTATGCAGATAATAAATACCAAAGGAACGATGATGATTAAATGACATGGGCTAAATATGTGTCGTTTCGTTTCAGCTTTTTGTCGTTGCTCAATTTGTTTTCCCCCTTGCTCTAATTTTTTTGTTTTTTTGTTTGTTTTTTTGGTGCTTAAACTAAATGTCAAGTATGAAAATCTAGTTTTGCATGAGCAACCCAACCCTTCAAAGTGATGGTTTTTTTTGTTTTGTTTTTGTTCTGGGTTTCCTTTCAATAAAATGAGAAAAATAAAATCCATTTTGGCTGCTTCGGAAAAAATATATACGAATCCTAAAGCAGCAGGTTTGTTTGTTTTTCCTTAAGTGTGTGTGTGTGTGTGTGTGTGTGTTTTATTTTGCTTGTTTGTCCTAAGTTGCATTGACTGATGTGGAACATGCAGTATCCACCTGCCCAAACAGTATAAAATCCTTTTTTTTTTTACCCCGCCTTTGCATTGTTTCCTGTTTTTTTTAATATATTTGCCTAGATGGGTCCGTTAAACAGGTGGTAGATCACTGCTTTGAGATGCAACATGGTCACACAGTAAGCAGACTATGTTTGGTATAGGATCTTCAGGTAAAGTGTCTCCACAGCTGTTCACTATTGATATATATTTTATCGGGAAGTTTGTAAACAATCTTTTCCGCTCATACTTTTTTTCCTAGAGTTATTAATGTTACGGATCATCTCAATATTTGGGTTCCCTGGTGTCTCTTTGCCTTTTTGCTCTTTCCCGTCTCCCTTCCTCGGCTCGCTGTTTCTCCTTTTCGGGCTTAGTCACACTGTCATAGGATGGGAGGGACGCTGTGGACGGGGTACCTTCTTTTTTCTCCCTGTTTGTCCCTCCGTTTTCCATCTTATTGGAGACGTTCTTTCGGTAAATAAAGCCCCTCCTTATTAAGCGAGCCCGGTACGCCCTCTGGATGACCAATGCAGAGACCTCTTCCTGCTTGCGCCGCAGTGTGGTCGTGATAGGCTCGTAAGACACTTTGGATGGATTCGAAGCCACAAACCTCTCCTCCATCTGCTGCCTCAGGATGTCCAGCTCACCGCTATCGCCCAGCACCCGCTTGGTAAAGGCAAACAGGATGTCCAAGCAGTGGATTCTATCCCCGCTCACCATCGGCAAGTCCATGGCAATGAGTTCAATAGTGTTGGGCTTCGGGACGCGGAGAGGGTGCTCCAAAGCGTCAGCAAAGTCTGCCAGCTTGCAGTACTCAATGAATTGCGTGGCGTCGGGGTCAAACTTCTCCCAGATCTCGTAGAAGGTCTCAAAGTCGTCTTCACTCAGCGGGTCGGCGCTCTCCTCCGTAGCTACGCTGAAGTTCTCCAGAATGATGGCAATGTACATATTCACCACAATCAGAAAGGAGATGATGATGTAGCTAACAAAGAAGAAGATCCCCACTGAGGGATTCCCGCAGTCGCCTTTGAAACCACTCCCGGGGTGTTCCTTAGTCAAATCACAGTCCGGTGGCCTGTTGAGGATGGGCAAAAGCAAACCATCCCACCCAGCTGAGGTAGTGATCTGGAACAAGCAAATCATACTATTGCCAAAAGTTTCAAAGTTGAACATGTCATCGATGCCAGCCTCGTGCTTGACGTAGGCAAAGTTGGACATCCCAAAGATGGAAAAGATGAACATAACCAGGAAGAGCAGGAGACCAATGTTGAACAAGGCAGGCAAAGACATCATTAAGGCAAAAAGCAGGGTGCGGATCCCTTTGGCTCCTTTGATCAGGCGCAGGATGCGGCCAATACGGGCCAGGCGGATGACTCTGAAGAGAGTAGGTGACACAAAGTATTTCTCTATGATTTCAGCCAAGAACATACCTTAAATGAGATTGGGGGAAAGAAAAAAAAATAGTGTTACAATTCTTTCAAGTAATCACATACCATTTGCCCAGAAGCAGGTAGTACTGGCCATATTTGAGAGGGAAATGCCATACTAGGTTAATTGAGACTGGCAGTCTTCCTATCTCCATATCCTTAGTATTTGAGTCTTTGCAAAATGCCCATGAGCCATATCAGCAAATTTCCTTTTACAAGGGCACCTCATCTTTTTATTATGACTATTATAAAATGATAGGCAGTGCTTGTTGCCTCGTTATACCCCATGAATCATAAAATAGAATAATCTCTCTTCCCTTCTGTTTACTTTGCTCTGTTGTTTAGGATTAGGCTAGATGTAACATCCCGTTGTGTGTGTGTGTGTGTGTGTGTGTGTGTGTGTGTGTAAATCCCCCCCTTGTAACAACAACTTTTATACCTTGCTTTTCTATTCAACAATCCTCTAAATGGGTACCAATCGGTAAGACAAAAAACAAAATGTTAAAAACGGCAACAATCCGAATTTCATGTTCAAAGCAGGCGCCGGCGCTTTGGGCAGTTGCCAACAGCAGCAGAAAATATGGAACAAAACTAGGTCATCCAGAGAACCCCAAATGCTCAACAGAACTACTGGCCAATTGTCTAAAAGAGAGCAAGGAAGAAGCAAGGCAATCCCTAGAAAGAGATTTTCACACCTTTGGTGCCACCACCGACAATGCCCTACCCTGCATAAATGCCCACTGCATTAAAAATAGAGCCATCACACAGCGTGGGGCCTCTAAGGGAGCTCTTAATATGAAGGTGGGCTCATATGAGAGAAGGCTGCCCTTCAAGAACAAAGATCATTCAGGACCGTAAACGTCAACACCAGCACTTTAAATTGGGCCCAGGAACTAATGGCATGAAGTATGATTAATTGGTGCAATATGCTCCTGATAACACTTTCCAGTTAATAAAAATCATTACCAAGGCCTTTGGTGGCTGTCTTCCTCCTGCATTGCTGTGTGCTGCTAGTTTGTTACTGTTTTGTGGTTTTGTTTTATTATGCTCACTGTATATTAATCTGCATTTGTTTTTAATCATCATATTTTTGTGATCCAGCATAGGACCATTTGGAGCAGGGTAGTTTATAGGTACAAATGAAAGCAAATTTGCAGAGTTTAAGCAGAAGAACGGGTGTGTGTGTCCGGGGGGAAAGCAGTTATTTCCCGACTCAAACTTCCTTCCCAAACTACCGTATTTTTCGCTCTATAAGACGCACCAGACCACAAAACGCACCTAGTTTAGGAGGAGGAAAACAAGAAAAAAAATATTCTGAATCTCAGAAGCCAGAACAGCAGGAGGGATCGCTGCGCAGTGAAAGCAGCAATCCCTCTTGCTGTTCTGGCTTCTGGGACAGCTGCACAGCCTGCATTTGCTCCATAAGACACACACACATTTCCCCTTACTTTTTAGGAGGGAAAAAGTGAGTCTTATAGAGCAAAAAATACGGTATTTCCCCACAGAAATCTGACCAGCTCTGATTTTACAAGCTGGGAAGCAGTGATAAGTTAATGTGCAGTACAGTGGTACCTCGGTTTTCGAACACAAGACCGTTCGAGTTCTGAAACGTTTGAAAACTGAAAACTCAATATGGAAGCTTCAATACTGAAGCCACGTTTCCTGTTCGACTTCTGAGGCGCATTCGAAAACCGAAGCATTTACTTTTGGGTTTAGGGCATTTGAAAACTGAAACGTTCGTCAATGGAGACATTCAAAAACCAAGGTACCACTGTATTAATTGCACAATCCTATGCAAGTTTACTCGGAATCCGATGCACATCTACTCATTTTCTCTTCTCGCAAGCGCAGGCCTTTGCGCTGCATGCGCCCCGCAGAAAACACCCATATACTCACCCACGATGGAGAGAATGACAACCACAAAATCAAAAATGTTCCAGCCAATAGTGAAGTAGTAGTGACGCAAGGCAAACATTTTCAGCACACACTCGCATGTGAAAAAGATAACAAAGACCAGGTTGATCCAGTAGAGGATTTCTTCCATCTGTTTGCTCTGTGTGTCCGTCTCAACCATCATAGTCACCATGTTGAGGCAGATGAGCAGCATGATCAGTATGTCAAACGCTTGCTGGGTGACAAAGTCGAAAACAGCTCCTTGGACTCTATTCTGTTACACCGGACAGGAAGAACGCACAGTTAGGGAGATGCATGTATTTGTAGTATGGGACAATTCACCGCATACATCCTCTACTGCAGCTGATTTGTGTGTTTACATCACGTGGGGATGGGGGGTGGTTTGTTGGGTTGTTCTTATTATGTATTGCATGTTTTTATATTGTGTTTTTATGTTGTAACCGCTCCGAGAGTTGTGGGTACAGGCCGGTGTGCAAATTTAATAAATGATAATAAGAAACATATCTGGCCTCACAATCCCATTTTGTAGTGAAGGGTGAAACACACAGCGCAATCCTGTTCATCACCAGGTATGTGTGGAAATGTAAAGGACCCCTAGATGGTTAAGTCCAGTCAAAGGCAGCTATGGAGTGTGGCGCTCATCTCGCTTTCAGGCCAAGGGAGCCAGTGTTTGTCCACAGACAGCTTTCCGGGTCATGTGGCCAGCATGACCAAACCGCATCTGGCACAACGGAACACCGTGACGGAAGCCAGAGTGCATGGAAACATCGTTTGCCTTCCCTTAGCAGCGGTACCTATTTGTCTACTAGCACTGATGTGCTTTCAAACTGCTAGGTTGGCAGGAGCTGGGACAGAGCAACGGGAGCTCACCCTGTCACGCAGATCTGAAACGCCAACCTTCTGATCGGCAAGCCCAAGAGGCTCAGTGGTTTAGACCACAGCGCCACCCACATGCGGGATGCAGATTAACGTTAAAAGGCTCTAGCTCATAAACCTTCTTCCTAAGACCCCAAACGATTAAACCACCTTTGAAGAGTAGTCACAGCCCTGTTATGCTGCTTCAGGAGATTACTTAAACATAACAGAAACATAATAATGCTGAGTATTCAGGGCTGGCAGTGACTTAGGCAATGTGCCATGGTCTAAGAGCCCTAGAAGGGCTGCTTGGTCCTGCCATTTGACCCCCCTGCCTGCTCCCGGTCCCTTGATTATGTAACAATGCCAGGGAAATTATCCACCATTTTGATTTTTCCACAGTGCCCTGATGTTCTTGATTTTTGTATCCACTCTGGAACACCGCAGGGAAATTAAAATGATGGGTGGCTTGAAGCTCATAACAGTGTGACAAGGTGCAGTGGGGCAGTTTGAATGGGGCACTCTGAAGAAGAAGAAGAAGAAGAGTTTGGATTTGATATCCCACTTTATCACTACCCGAAGGAGTCTCAAAGCGGCTAACATTCTCCTTTCCCTTTCTCCCCCACAACAAACACTGTGAGGTGAGCGGGGCTGAGAGACTTCAAAGAAGTGTGACTAGCCCAAGGTCACCCAGCAGCTGCATGTGGAGGAGCGGAGACGCGAACCTGGTTCCCCTGATTACGAGACTACCGCTTTTAACCACCATACCACACTGGCTCTCGTAGCGGTGGGGCCTATAACCTGCTTCCAGCTCTGGATGTTATTATGCACATCACAAGATAGATGCATGTTGTTATTCCCACCAGCTTGGGATGGGGAGCTGAGGCTAAGAGATTGCAGCTGGCCCAAGGCTATCTGCTGGTAGGTGAGATTTGAAGCAGGGTCTTCCTGAGGTAGCTTTGTGCCTCAGCTATGACACCACACCAGGTCAAAATAAGAAGGGATCAAACCTCAAAGAGCACGAGCTGGATGCTGGAAAAGTGTGAAGACTTTATTTGAATGTACAAGGGGCAGCATATTGGGAATAAGCCCGAAAACTCACCAGAGGCCTTGGAATTGGCTTCTGAGGTTTCTTGGAGCCCAGTTTTTTCATGGCGTTGTAGTATTTCTTCTGCTCCTCTGTCATGAAGATATCCTGACCTCCAAAGTAAAGGAAGGAAAAGGAAATAAAGCTGGTTACAATCTGTTCACCTTTGCTTAAAGATGAAGGTACAACTGAAGTGGGGTAGCCATTTCTTCTTACTCCATGAGGTAAAAAATAATAATAATGGAGAAAATTACATTGTCACTGGCAGACAATGAGAGAAGATACGCTAGTCCCTGGTAGTTCAGGACTTAGAATCTATTTAGTGGTTTTGAATAAGCTATTGGATCTAAGTTCAAAATGTGGTACAATAATTGCTTGAAATGGAACTGTATGATGGCAGCTCCAAGCAGCAAGTCCTTTGTGTGAGACTGGTGTGATTGTTTTGTTCCAGTATGGTGAAAAATCACAGAAACATAAACATTCGTTTGAGGGGACAAAAAAGTCCTCTCTGTGAAGAAGACACATTCATACAACCATGCCACCATGTGGCAACTGTAGTGGCAACCTGCATGTGTGAATCAGTTCTTTCGTAAGCTGCAAGTTTCAGGGAATTCCATGGGTTATTTATTGAAAGTTAATTCAGAGAAAAGGGGGGGTTTGAGGGACCTTTACGCTAGTCAATATGAAAAGTTGACCTATCTTTTTCTTTTGCTGATTGAAATTGTCAATGATGACACCGATAAAGAGATTCAAGGTGAAGAAGGATCCGAAGATGATGAAGATGACAAAGTAGATGTACATATAGATGTTGTCCTCATACTTGGGCTGCTGATCTTGCTGTGTGTATAAGAGAAAACAATATACATATTTCAGGAGCTGCAGTCTGTAAGTGGGATTTAACAAAGGCTTGAAAATCTTTGCAATTTATTTATTTATTTAATCATCAAATATGCTCTCTGAAGTTATTGTCCCCCTAAGGGGTGGACTTTGGTAACCTTTTGTAATATAGTGCCCTGCGCGAGGCCAAACTTGGGCGCCCCAAAATGGATATTCTTAATTATAGATCTTCTCAATTTTGTCTGGCTGTTGCCAGGGACTCCCGGCTGGTTGCCCAGGAACATACAAAGACAAGGAATGTTCTGACCGTCCTTTTTTATTTCATTCTTTACAGAGAGAGGCTATAGAACCCAGCCTCTCGGATAATGGTGTTGTCCCAAGTGAATCTCCACCCCCCATCTCTCCCACTTCCTCATTCATCATTCTCATTGTCTCTCCTATGGGTGCTGCTAAGTGCCCTCTGTCTTTGAGCTCTTTGCTCTCCTACTTTCAAGGCTTGTCAGGTTCTAGGAGATGGAGGGTCTGGAATGCTTTCTAAAGACACTGTGTCTGTCAGCTGTTGCCTCCCCCCCCCTCCATGATTCCTCCTCCTCCTCTCTCATTATTTCCCAACTTTTCCCCTCATCTGCGTCTGAGCTGTAACCTCCCTCAAACCTCTGTTGTAAATCTGTCTTCTTCTTCTCTGGAAGGGTCAGACTGAGAAGGTGGTCTCCACCATTCCTCCTCTGCCCAGTCCCTGACAGCCCTGTGCAGAGAAACTGCCCACACCATCCTAAAATCCGATGCTCGTCCCCTGACCCAAAGTTCCATAGTAACCCAGAGTGAACATAAAGCTCTGGCAGGATTGGGTTTATTGCGTGGACAGGCGGAGTCCCCAGATCCCGAGCGGTCCCCCCTGTCATGTGGAATAACGACTCAAGACAACGTACTATGGGATTAAATTGGCCACAACTTTATTAAATTTCAAATGTGGGTAGACCTTGGCTCAGGCATTGGGCGTTCTCCCTCCCCAGTCCCCAGCCGGGGACCTAGGGAGCTTCAGGGTTATCCAGTGTGTGTGGGGGGGGGATGGGCCGGCTCTGGAGAACATATGTTCAAGCAGAGATAGCCGCCCCCGTTACGCCACCGCTGCAGGGGAGAGCAATGACGACCTTTCGGCGTACGGTCAAAGCCTCCCTTCAGAAACCCCTTTAACGGGGAACCCTGGTATCGCCACCGCAAAGAGGAAGATGGACTAAAGGATTCTGCCCAAGGCCTGATACCGCCAAAGTTGTGACGTTTTGCTACGGGAAAGGCGAAACCTGCCAATGCAGGGAAATTCCTTTCCGGCCCTTTAACAGCGACCTTAACGTAGCAGCGCCCGCATACCTGTGAAGAAAAGTTAACCTGCAAAACCTATGAAGAAAAGTTAACCTGCAAAAGAAGACATTAACTGAGGGTGGGTAGGGTGGGAGAAGCTCTGGAGCCAAGTGAGGATTCCCAGGTAAGATCCTCCCTCTATTGTGTGGGCAGATAATCCCTCTCCTACCTGGCCTGGTCTCCTTGGCAACGCTTCCCCCAGGTGGGATTGGACAACTGACTGAGGTAGGCGGAGACCTCCAGGTATCCCACCTGAGGGAAGGCAAAGCCAAGCCTATGCTGATGGAGCCGCTCCAGATCTAGGGCTGCGCGCGTCCACACAAAGGGCGCCCCCTGTTTTAAGCGGGGAGCGGTCATTCCACCACTTCAGTGTTGCAGGATTCTGCATCACATATTCCTCATATACAGTAGCAGTCTTTGGGGTCCTAAGGACAGCTGGATCGGGATGATGGAGCAAATTTTTTGCAGCTATGACCTTGCAAGGTGGCATTCTTTGTATGTATAAAATGACATGGAAAAACATTGTTTCAAATACCAGCTCTGTGATAACAGTGACAGAAGTGGATGTACTTTACCTTTCTAGAATCTACTGCTGCATACATTATGTCCATCCAGCCTTTAAAGGTTGCCTACAGAGGGAAACAGACATTATTTTAGAGGAAAATGATTTTTCTCATTAAAAAACAAAACAAAACAAAAAACACCGGTATAGAAGGACTATATAAAAGAGCATCTCTTTGTAGGTCATTTGGCACATAAAATATTCAACAATTTGTTTGGATATAGTTTGCGGGATAGTGACTGGCTCATCTTTCCTTTTCCACCTACAGTTTAGGTGAAGGCAAATTTAATAATATGGGCCCTCCTGTTGGCTAATGGTTCCTTCGATTGGTTATGCCATTTCTTATGAATCCATGTCACTCAGATTGTGGTCAAGTTTCTTTTCTCCTTAGCAGGGAATTTAGTAATGCGCTCGGAAACAACTGATTTCATGTGCAAATTCTCTTGGCCACCAGACTCAGTTCTTTACAACAAGAGCCTTCTCTGCAAACTGCATATAATATACCAGAACCGGCTTGCCCATTAGGCAAGCACCCTTCTTGCTGAGTTTTGGTGAGAGGGGGTGCATTTTGGTGCATGGCAGAAATGGTGGGGTGCGGTGTGTGTGTGGGAGTCCCATTCCCATTTTGCCTCGGGTGGCAAAACAGGATGTGCCACCCCTGCAATATACCGTATTTTTCGCTCTATAGGACGCACTTTTCCCCCTCCAAAAATGAAGGGGAAACGTGTGTGCGTCCTATGGAGCGAATGCAGGCTCCTTGGCTTCAGCGATAGCAATGCGAAGCCTCCGAAGCGCAGAGGGAGAGCTCCCCCTTCGCTCTGGAGGCTTTGCGTTGCTTTCACTGAAGCCGCCTGAAGCCCCCGGAGCGCAGGGAACTCCCGCTGCGCTCTGGGGGCTTCAGGCAGCTATCCGCAAGCCTTCGGCGCGCAGCAGGAGTTCACGCCATGCTCCGAAGGCTTGCGGATAGCCATCTGAAGCCTGAAGCCCTCCTATGGTCCGGTGCGTCCTATGGTCCGGTGTGTCCAATAGAGTGAAAAATACGGTACTAACTACGAATGATCAATCTATCTGATGCCCCTCTTCCATAAATCTACACAATTCAAATTGGTTTTACAGTGATTTGTCTGTAGGAAAAAAGAGCAGTAAAAAGGATTTATACGCAAAGCTGAGTTAAAGAAAGCAAAGTTCAAAAGGTTTGTACATAAACATGCTTTTTTGTTTTGGACCATTTTCCTTGAAATAAATATCCAGTAATATAATACAGCACACACCATCTCGGCTTCTTCGCTCCATTGAAGTTATTACACATTGCTGTGTTGTACCTCATATATAGAGCAATATTGGGAACCACCCCTTGGGAGTCTCCCTAGGCTACACCCCTTTCCCAATGTCACACACAACACACCATTCCTGTTCTGAACCCTCCCTGAGTGCTTCTGCCTGGCTGCAATGAGTGTTTGAACTGTGATAATGCCTCTTGCTTTCCTGGAAGGTGGAGGGAGAGATCAAGACGTATTTGTGGTGTGTGTAGAAGTCTCTGACATTTGCCCCACTGGAGTGCAACAATAAAACAACGAACAGGGTGGTGATGCAATGACTACTGCATTGAACCACTGACATATTACAGGTGCAGGTATTTGGGGCTTATTCTTGGTTTTTTATGTGAGAAGATAAAAGAGTGAAGTTTTCTCTACCAACTGCGGAGTTGGGTTGAGGGGATCCAGACTGGGAGGGTTTGGAATAGGTAGGTTAGTTTTAGGAGGGTGATCATTCTGATCATGGCTATTTTGTCTGAGAGAGTGAAATTCATGTTATTCCATCTCTTTAGGTCTTTGTTAATTTGTCGCCACAGGGGCTTGTAGTTGTGGAGGTATAATTTATTGAGGTTTCTGGTTATTTGTACCCCTAGGTATCTGAACTTGGTGTGGCAAAGTTTTAATTTGGTGACCTTAGTGAGTCACTGACATATTACAGGTGAACTCTTCATTTACCGCATTTGCTATCGTTTAAGATAAAACTGATTTGGGAAAGAAGCCACTTTTGCCATTTTCTTATAGACGTTTACAGATCATTGCCTTGGTGATGTTATCTTGTGTCAATCACTGGACTGTACAAAGGTCACAATTTCACATCCATTGCTTGGCCCACGTTTGCCTCTGACAAACCCCACCGATGGCATGCAGCTCTCGGAAGGTTCTCTGTGGCCCTTAAGGCAGAGAATATTCCTCACTACTGATATATATTGGCTGGGATGTGTGAATGACTTGTTGGGCAGCACAGAGGGCTGCGGGAAGGCCTCTCCATGAATGAACTAAACTCACTTGATTGGATGGAAGGCATGCAAATGAAGTGGATAAAGGGTGACACCCAACTATATTCTTCCACCAGCAGAATAGTCTTCCGCCCACACAAGGGGACTTTCACTTCCTCCTCTACACTCCCCCCCCCAACCTATTTGGTTGACACTCTGTAGAAGATACTGGGGGCACAGCATGAAGGACATGAAACCGGAGTCTCATTGCGTGAACTGGAAATTCGCTTGCACATCTGGACATCAATCAAAATATCTGGAACAGTACATCTAAAATGGCCAGGGGAAATTCTCAGCCAACTATTCTCCCATTTCCTTGCTGCCACATTCCTCTCTTCACAAAGTTTCCCAATCACCTAGCTCAGACTTCACCCTGCTCAGGAGACGATAACCTGCCGCAGTACACAAGTACTGTAAAGAACAACCCAACCTCTTGAATCCTGACTGGTAAATGGGAGAGAGGTGGTAATAGCTAAGCTTCTCTTCCCTCCTTTAAACCCAACTAGCCGAAAGATTAAAATTGGGTCTTGTTCTCTCTCCACAGGCGAGAAGATACTATTCACTTCATGAATTTGCTGTTAGAATTCCTGCTCCATAATTGCAGTCATGGGATTTTTGTCTATCACATGATGGTGTATGTTTTGACTCCACAGAAGGGGAAGTGACAGAGACAGGATGTTTGTGTTACTGTGTTCTGTGAAGTGGGACTATTGTCCTTTGTTCTTTCTCTTTGCTGTCTGATGCTGGAGAGAGAGGGAGCCATGTTGCAGTGCTCCGTGTGTGTTTATATGTAAATAAAGTAGATTAGCCAAAATGCTGAGTTGCTGAGGTCTGTTACACAAGCTGCAAAGACTCTGCAGATTCCTAAGTGTGCCGATGTCTATTGGCATCGGTCGCTGTGATGTTCATGCTGAAGAAAGCTTTGGAAGCTCCCGAACGAACGACCAGGAGGAGAGAACATGCCAGTCGGGCATGTGTCTCTACCAGGGTCCTACTCGAGTGTAGGACGAGCTCCTGACATTTGCATGGGACTTCACACGGGGAAGCCAGTATTTGCAACCATCATACATTCAACAGAGATAACCCATTACTTCTAGGAGACGTCAAGCTACAAAGGCAGAACTTACAATTTGCAGAAGGGCCAGGTACCCTGCACCAACATTGTCAAAGTTAATCTTTACGTTCTTCCACCGGATCTCCGTTTCGTTGGGATTCATGAGCTTCTCGCAGTCTGACTTGTTGTTGACTTCTTCTATCTCGAATCGATACTCGGACGTCTCATTAAAGCAGTAATGATACTTCCCAGCAAAAAGATTAACCCCCATTATGCTGAAAATCAGCCAGAAGATAAGGCAGACCAACAACACATTCATAATGGATGGTATAGCTCCCACCAAGGCATTCACAACCACCTGTATTAGAAGTGGGGAGGAAGGAGGAGAAAGTTTCAGTACAGAAGAGAGGATGAATTAGAAGCAAAACATACATGCCTAGTTTTAACGGGGGGAATCAAAAGCTAGTTGCAATAAAAAAAAGATACCCTCTCTGTCCACTGTAATTTTTTAAAGAAAGACTTTATATTTCAAGAGATTGTTTGGCAACTTATTCTTTTGGTTTTGCCGTTCAGTAAAACATGTGGTGGAAGAAGAAAGAGATTATACCTTATCTTGATAAGAACAGGACCGCTGGCTGACTCCATCAGCTAAGTCAGAGAATGTGGAATTGAATAGGCTTAAAGAATTTCCGCCAGCAAAAATTTCCCCCTTTAAAACCAGACTTATGGAATTTATGCGCAAGGTGTATCCTACTCCCATGTAGAAAAGTGAGGGGTTTTGAGCCATTTATTTCAAATGGGAGTAGGAATGGGTATCAAGGTTGCTCTAAGGCTTAGCAGTGGCTTAGTGTAAAAACAATCAAGGCTATATTTATTGTTTGATAAGCAAGGCCAATCATATCTGAAGAGCTGAGCATGCATGTTTGCAAGCTCAAAAAGAAAAGCCATATTCCCTCCCCTGAAACAAAGCAAATGAAATCAATACTTTTTCAACAGGGCTTCCCTCCCATTTTTTATTTTTATTTTTTGGTCCCTGCCACTACAGAAGGTATTTGTGAAAATACAAATAAAGTCTAATGGAGAAAAGTTAAGCCATCTTTAACAGAGCCGGGTGAGTTGTCATTTATTTATTTTTATTAGGATTTCCTATGTTGGGAATGAATGAAGAGTTTAGGCTGCAATGCTATACACACCTGGGAGAAAACCTTGTTGAACTGATTGCACTCTGAAAGACTTAGAAAGCTGACTTACATTAAAGCTGACTTACATTAAGTCAGACAGTTGGTCCATATAGTTCAGAACTACCTACTGTTGACTGGCAGTTACTCTTTTGGGTTTCAGACAAGAAGTCTTTCCCAGTTCTACGTGGCATTGCCAGGGATTGTATCTGGGGCATGCAGAGAAAGCGTGTCCTCTACCACTGATCTACTTCCTCCCTTTCCATTTTTCTTTCAAAACGGTCTTCAGTCTTCTCTGGGTACTTTGGACTCAAGGCTCTTATCCTTTGATTAAGACGTATATATTGCTCCTCCCAGCATCTTAAACGGGGGATTAAAAAACAACAACGCATGTCTATTCTATAATGTTTGACATGCTTTTTGTCACACAGATTCTGAAAGCGTGCCATTCTGAATCTATGATTCCAAAGGATGGGGAGCTATTAAATGCTCATTTCGGGACCAAAGCATTTTTTTGCTTCCTTTCAGTTTTACAGTTTCTGTGCAGTAGCTATCAAGTCCCCATTACCAAGCAATTACAGTTTCTTCCAAAGCCATCCACACCTCAACCAGCAGTCTCTGAGGCTTCTTTTGCAGTGAATTAGGATTAACGGGATAGCACTGACATTGCGCGAGCACTTATTTCCTTGCCAGCAGGTGCCACTGTTGCTTTACATACGGTATGGAAAAGGCAACCGCTTGCAGTGTCACACACCGCAATCTATATGTATGTACAGCACTGCCTGCAGAGAAATACGTCATGTGTAAGGCAGAATGCGTAAAAAAATCATCACACCCAATAGTCAATTGATTTCTCTGCATATACTTGCAAAGTAATAATAATAATAATACATACGCTTAAATTCAGAACCTTCAGTCTAAATCTCAGATCCTGATATGAGCTTCAGAATTTGTCCCTTCTATAGCCACAATTTATCTGGAACAGGGCAACTAGTGAAAATGTAAAGCAGTGCAATTATTGGCCAGGCATTGTGACTTTAAAACTGCTTTGGCATTTGGGGTTGCTCTATTAATCATAAAATAGGACCTAAGTTTTCTCGCTCTTCTACTCATTCACTTAAATATATGTAACCAATATATATACTGTATATATGCTTTACCTAAACAAATGGTAAAAAATCATCACCAAGTATTATGAGAGGGAACATGGCTTTTTTCGTGTGATTGTGTGTTAGAAATTGTCAAGAAATACATGCATGTTTCATAGCAATACTATCAACCTCCCTCCCCCAGGAAAATACAGCTGAGTACATTCTTTGAAATGTAAGTTATTAGAGCATAGAGGAAAGCAAAAGACCTACATTTAGTGCTTCTTAGCAAGATCATTTCAGCTCTTATTTTCTTTCATTTTGGCTCAGATTATTCTTTTTTATTGTTTGAGGGGTATAAGACTGAATCAGTGCTAATAACAAGGATGGGGAAACGCTGCAAAATAGCCCAGTAAGCGAATTTTGATTTGCTAAACTAAGAAAACAACACCTTTCCAACTCTATATGGGTGAAAATCTTTTATTGCTATCTTCAGATTATCTGGCAGAAAATGAAAAACTAGCCTTCATCATATCTGTGATCCATCTAGTTTATTAACCTTTCTCCAAAAATGTCAAATATCCAGCAGTTGAAAGGTGACAGTGAACTGAAGGTGTTCTGGGCTCCCTGAAATTTCTCAGATTTTACATCCCTTCAGACATGGGCTACATTTGTGCTAAAGATGGGTTTTCCACTAGAGACACCTGGTCCTGCCTTGAAACATCTGAGGTATCGTATTTTTCGCTCTATAAGACGCACCAGACCACAAGACACACCTAGTTTTTGGAGGAGAAAAACAAGAAAAAAAAATATTCTGAATCTCAGAAGCCAGAACAGCAAGAGGAATCACTGTACAGTGAAAGCAGCAATCCCTCTCACTGTTCTGGCTTCTGTGATAGCTGTGCAGCCTGCATTCACTCCATAAGATGCACACACATTTCCCCTTACTTTTTAGGAGGGAAAAAGTGAGTCTTATAGAGCAAAAAATACGGTAAGTCCCACTAAGGGGTCTTACTCCCTAGTAAATGGCACTGCAATCCTAAATGTGTACTTACTAGAGAGTAAGCCCTATTCAAAACAGCAGGACTTATTTCTGGGTAAACATGTGAAAGACTGCTCTGTAAATCTAGTTCAACTTCATGTCTAAGCGGGCATGGGGACTCAAAGCCTAAACACAATTGGTTGTATTATGGAGAAGCTTTAAGCCGTACTGAAATTCATGGCATTTATGCAACCACAACTTCCTTAGGATTGCCCACAATTCCGTGCATAGTTACATGCACAGATCTCATCCGAATCAATGGGGCTTAGGCAAGATTAACCCTCTGCTGAATTATGAAGGCGCAAGAACAATCTATACTAGGAAATAAACCACGTAGTACATAGTTTCTGGAAAGCCACTTCCGCCCAGTGGCGGAGCTTCATGCTCCAGCACTGGGGGGCAGAGAACAGGCGGGGACGGGGGTGGCGCACATCCCGGGGCATGGTGCGCATCCTGGGGGTGGGGCATGCATCCTGGGGGCAGGGGGGGCAGCTGTGATGGCACCCCACCGGGATCGTGCTGCCGGGGGCGGTGCGCTCCCCCACACTCCTCTTCCTCCGCCAGTGCCTCTGCCTTAGGAGGAGGTGGAGTTCCAGGCACTCATGATGCCTTCACATGCGCAAGGGTGTGGTCAGCCCTGCGCGATGGGGGGGGGGATTCCCGGCTGCGTCACTGCCCAGGCAACCAAGCCGATTACTCTGGGAGTGTGGCCTGCTTGATTTAAGCAGGACGCAGAGGGAATCTCACCCCTTTCCGCGCTTCCAGCTGCTCCGGTTTCCCCACCCTCCTGCCCTTTAGGTTTTTTCATCTCTTGACCTTGCTATCGACTTCAGTTGGTTGCCGTTGAGGGGCCTGTTAGGACTTCTTCCACTTGGCAAATTGGCACCGGCCACTTGGTTTTTGCCTACCTCATAGCAAATATTCACAACTTGATAAAGTTAGGCGGTTAGGCATTGGAATACGGCTGAAGAAGAGAGGAGGGGAGGTGGTGCCATCACCTGCCCCGCACATTGAAGGGTATTCCGTTAAAGGATTCCGGGGGCCTGGCCCTGTCCAAAGCCTGGGGAGGCTACGGCCTAAGGCACGACCCCTAACGGTGGCCCCGGGGGAGCTCCTAGTTGATGTACGTCAGCAGGACTCCCCCTACCGGTGGTTAACCCTTCCCGGACTCCGCGCAGATGGGCGGGAGTCAGATAGTCGGTTAGGTCCAATGCCTAAGCCAATACCGCTCACAATCTGTAGCCAATAAAGTTGTGGCCGTTTTTAGCCCATTAACCTAAAATACTGTTGTCAAGTGTCTTATTTAACCTTGTGTGGGGTCGGGGTTGGGAGCTTGCCACGCTTCCATCCAGGGAATGTTTTACGTGGGAGGCATATTACATAATATTTAGGATGAAAAATTCAAATAGAGAATATCTGTGGTTTCTCTGAATGGCCTGAGCTACCTGTTAATAACTTTTTCCCCCCTTATAGAAGTTACCTATACTCTTTGAGGCTGCAATCCTATAAACACTTACTTGGGAGAGCAAATATTCTTGAAATCAGCAGGACTTAATTTGCAACCCTAACTCCACTTAGCTGGGAGTAAGCCCCACTGAATTAAAATAGTACTTACTCCTGAGCAGACATGGTATAGATTAATGCCTTAAACATGCTGAGGATCATGCTAAACACTTGCATCTTTCTAACCCCATTTTGGGTGTGAATAGCTCAGATCTTGAACTCTGAAATCAAACACGTTTTTTAGGTCTTTGCATAGTAGTTGTAGTTCTTCATTACGTCCTCTCCCAATTCTCTCCCCACCTTTATCCCATTTCTACTTTTAATGATATTCTTGCTTGACTTATAATACAGCAGACACCCATAATTCAATGCATGTTTACTCAGAAGTAAGTCTCGTGGTGTTCAATGGAGCCTATTCCTTAATTATGTTTAGGTTTGAAACTGTTGCATTATTTCCTTTGCATACAGACCAAGATGGGTAACCTTGGGCTGGTTTTGCATGAGATTATTTCACACACAAACATTTTGTTTTAATACAGCAACATCAAAATGGCCATTTCCCATTAAAGCCTGGAAATTACCAGATACACTCGGCAGCGGAATCTTCTAAAAATTTCAGGAAAATTCAGGCTCTGTGCTTTTACTTGTGATTTGTTGCTTACATCACCATGACAGGACAAGGGGACCATAAAGCATGGTAAAAGGGGAAAGGAGAATAGGGAGGGAAGCTGAACTACCAGTCAAGGCTGCCAGTCATTGACGACTGGACTGAGAACAACGAGGTGCAAACGAGAGGAATTAAACCAGTACTCTTTTCTTTTGGGATGGCTAAGCTCCTCCACCAACCACCAGCACTTTCCTACCGCCATGAATAACCCCACGCAAGAGATAGAAGCTATACGGGTTTTCGACCTCTTCTGATTGATACCTTTGGCCGTAGCCTTTTTTTTATGGGGAAGGGGAGAAGAAAAAACAAGGGGCGGTTCAAATTCTGCTTCTTTGCACCTAGTGATTCTCCCTGTTTCAAAACTTACAGCCAGAAAATGCCCCCCTCAGATGCTAGAGGTATCAGAAGCCAGGCTAAATAAGAGCAGCCAAGTGCCAACAGAGAATCTACAAATGACATGTGGTTTGGGCCAATAATGAGGCAGCTTGATATATCTCCCTTTTTTTTCCTTCTCTTCCAATAAACCATTTTAAAAAAAAAAAAGGGAGAAGTGTGCAGCAGGGGTGAAGGTGAATCATAAACAGAGGGAGGTGATCAAGTCAGCAGCTGCATCATGATTCTGTTTGTCGTTATGTCTTTCTACTAGTTTGATCAGTTCTAGCATGCTTTTAAAATAAAAACCCCGGTAATCCACAGGCATGCAGAAGGATCAGCTCGCTAATGGCATCTTACCCTCATCCCCTCAAATCGGGACAACGCTCTTAAAGGCCTCAAAGCTCTGAGTGTCCTAAGGGATTTAATGGCACCTAGTTCCGAGTAGCCAAGGGCATTAGCTACAAGGCTGACTAAAGAGACCTACACAGAAAACAGAAAAAAGAAAGAGAAAAAAAAAGGAAAAAAGGAAGGAAAAAAAAAAGAGGTTCCAGACTGTTAGAATAAATCCCCTAGCACTGAAGGTTTTTTTTTTTTTTTTTTAATCCATCCCCCAAAGTGGACTGCAGGCAGGCCCAAAGTCCACCCCCGTTTAGATTGATAGCGAAGACATGACCACACCAGCTGCCTACTTCACTTCACTGAAACGACCTGGAAGGAAATAATGCGGTTGAGAGAGGCATAAGAATAAAACAAAAGGGGGAAAAATGTGTGAGATAGAGAAAGAGAGAGAGAGAGAGGCAAAGACACACAGACGGAAACGGGGTCTGTCGGAAGGTTAGGAGCCCAAACGGATGACAAGAACCTTACCCTCGCCCTCTTAACAGTCTGCAGGATCCCAGCAGCTCCCATTAAATTAAGCCAGACAAATTTTTAAAGGTACCTATGAGAAAGAATACAGATAAATACACACACTGCACAAGCCGCCTTAGTTCTCTCATTCAGACGGGGCAGATAGAGGGCCTGCCTTGCTCATTTCAACTGGCGTGACACGGCAGAGATTTGAGGGGAGAAGGGGAAGCGTCTAGGTTCTCACCTCCTTTGGGGGGGGAGGGGAAGCCAACAGCGAAACACACTGAAAAGTGTGCAGCGGTTAAGGGGTGGGGGTAAATCGTTTTAAGCTCTTTATTGAGATGCTGGATTGCAATTCAGTATTCTAAGGAGACCAGTCCTTCCAGTAAGATGCTTTACATTATGGTGAATAAGAATGGTGGTGTAAAATTAGAGAGACGTATTGCCTTGCGCCCCCAAACCCACTGCTAAAATGGTTGGGATGGAGCAAACCTTCATGCATTATGGAATCAGTAGGCAAAGCCCACGTATCCCTGCTATACCCTCAGAAGATTGTTTCTGGCGCCCGCTTATAACAATTTCGATTAGGCAAGCCTATCCAGAAATGTAGAAGTTACATGTGTTTTAATCTCCTTTTAGCTATTGTTTATTTTCATTGTCTTTTGAAAGTTTTAAAATACCTGTTTTAAACTGTTTCATTTTTAATGGAGCACTTTAGTGTTTTATTTTCTACTTCATTAAACTGCCTAGAGAGGGGTTTTTTGCAGTCAAATGGTATATAAATTGTGTTGACTCAATCAATCAATAAAGTAACATATAATACTTTGAAACTGCGTGCATGTCAGTTGGGGGCCAGTGTGTAGATCACCATTTGCAGTGTGGCTGTTGCTTCCGTGTGGTTCATTCCTAAAAGGTAAAAAAAGTAAAGGACCCCTGGACGGTTACGTCTAGTCCAAGGCGACTATGGGGTTGTAGTGCTCATCTTGCTTTCAGGGCGAGGGAGCTGGCATTTGTCCACAGACAGCTTTCCAGGTCATGTGGCCAGCATGACTAAACCGCTTCTGGTGCAATGAAACACCGTGACGGAAATCAGAGTGCACGGAAATGCCATTTACCTTCCCGCTGCAGTGGTACCTATTTATCTACTTGTGTCGATGTGTTTTTGAACTGCTGGTTGGCAGGAGCTGGGACACAGCAATGGGAGCTCATCCCGTTACAGGGATTTGAACCGCCAATCTTCCGACTGGCAAGCCCAAGAGGCTCAGTGGTTTAGACCACAGCGCCACCCACAGTGTTCATTCCTACACTGCTGTGGTACAGTCTAAATACAGGAACCATGAGGGATAGGCACACAATGGGGCTACTTCCCATCTTAGCATTGCAACTATGGTTGCTGCGTATGAGTGTAATTGGGGTCGTTCACCTGTCCCATGAGGTCCTAATGGTCAGGGGTCCCTGTACCTTTATTAACAAGTTTAGGACCTGATCATGCCGATAGAGTGACTATGTCTATATGTCATCTATGCCCTGTGGGACTGGAGTGGTTGAAGCTTGCTAGACACATCTTACTATGCTTTGAAGAGGTTAACTGGATGTTTTATTTCTCTAAATAACAGGTGTCGGGGACTGGCTGTATGCACCAGCGGAGGACACCCCCCCTCCTAAGTGAACCCCCAGGAAGAAGGCTCAGTGCCTGGGGATTGGTGATGGAATGCTGATGAATGGTCAGAAGGAGAAGAGGGAGCAGACTGGGAGGAGGAGATGTCAGAAGCCAAAGGGGCAACAGGGTTTAGTGAGCAGGAAGAGGCTGTGGTAGAGAGCAGTTCAGACTCAGAGGCAGACTCAGAGGTTGGAGAAGAAGGGGGACAAAGAGGCAGAGATCAGGTGGGCTGATGATGAAGCCAGAGGGTCTCCCCCTCCTGATGTGACCAGCTCCCACCCCCCACCCTGGTCTCCCCAGAACCTGTGGAGGTATAATGAGGGTGGAACAGACAAGGCAAAGAAGTCTCAGGTTGCTTGGGACAGACCCAGGGGAGGAGGAGAGTTGTGGGAAGGCAGGGACCTTCAGTCCTCACAACTGGAGCAAGACCTGCTGGGAAGAGCTGCTGTGTGTACTAGGTCTCAGCTCTTTTGTTTCTTTGAATAGAGTTAACTTCACCGACACCTTGTGAGTTATTGATGACCAGATCCTGACTCTTGCCTTGACAACAGATATGAGAATGAGGCGGTTTTTGGTTTTCTTTTTTAATGTAAGTGCATTTAGAATGGAGAAAGGTTGATTTACTAAATCCTGGTTAAAGATGTTTTTTATGCTGTTCTATGATAGAAACAATCTTTGCTCTCCTTCTCTCTCGCTCTCTTTTTAAGGTAACATAAAATGGGACTGTGTATGAACTGAGACCAATCTTGATCTCCCATGTTTCCCTTTCACATGTTATGGTGATGCTGCAAGGTACAGGTCATTTACACACTAATTTTATTACAGTGGTACCTTGGGTTAAGTACTTAATTCGTTCTGGAGGTCCGTTCTTAACCTGAAACTGTTCTTAACCTGAAGCACCACTTTAGCTAATGGGGCCTCCTGCTTCCGCCGTAGCACGATTTCTGTTCTCATCCTGAAGCAAAGTTCTTAACCTGAGGTACTATTTCTGGGTTAGCGGAGTCTGTAACCTGAAGCATATGTAACCTGAAGCGTATGTAACCCGAGATACCACTGTACTTTATACAGGTGGTAAACACGCTAATGTTACAATTTTATACAGGTGATATAGCATAGCTGTCAACGTTTCCCTTTTTTTAAAGGGAAATTCCCTTATTCCAAATAGGATTCCTCGCAAGAAAAGGGAAAAGTTGACAGCTATGGTGATATAGACACAAATTTTATATGAAGCCTCTCTAAGGGGAATATTATTTTTGCTTACTGCCCTCCCTACTTTTCTCCTAGTCTGGGGATTGATAATTCAGTAGGCAAAGTATGCTTTATTAGGGAGATATTTTAAAATCCCACCTAACAATTCATTAATATTTATATTGAATTAACTGGTAGAAGAAGGAAGGAGGCCTTGGTTTTCTTCCTGTTTTGTCTCTTGATATATTAAAATAGACCTGTGGCTCTGGGGAGACAACAGTCTTCAGATGGCTGCCAAAGGGTTATACCTAAAGGCACCAGCTTACTGAGGACATGTACCGTATGTTTCGCCCTATAGGACGCACTTTTTCCCCTCCAAAAATGAAGGGGAAATGTGTGTGCGTCCTATGGGGCGAATGCAGGGGGGAGGCAGGCAGGAAACGCTCCCAAAAGCTGCACACAAGCTCCGCGCGGCTCTTGCGGGCTTTTCCTCAGGAGGGACAAGGGACTGACGCGGCCAGTCAGTCCCTTCTCCCTCCTTGTAGAAAAGCCCACAGGAGCCGCCTGCTCCTTAAAGGGTGTGCGGCTCCTGTGGGCTTTTGCAGGAGGTGGGGGTATTGCCATAGCCGCGTAGCCCCGGCTGGAGAGGTGACGCGCGGCTATGGCAGCAGCCTCTTTAGCCGCGCACCACCTCTCCAGCTGGGGGAGCGTGCGTGGGGCTAAGGAATAGCCCCGCGACCCTTTCCCAGCTGGAGAGGTGATGCACGGCTATGGAAGCGAGGCGTCTGTCCTGCGAAGCCGGGGAAGGAGCAGAAGGGTCTCCTTCAGTTCCTCCTCCAGCTTCACTTGATGGACGCTGCGCAGTTCTCCCTCTCCGCGCAGCGCCTCTCCTTCGCAGGAGAGGTGTTGCGCAGAGAGGGAGAACTGCACAGCGACCCTTCAGCCACACGCCTGCCTGGAAGCTGGAGGAGGAACAGAAGGGTCTCCTTCTGTTCCCCCCCCCAGCCCCACACCTGGGGGGGGGGAAATAATTCCCCCCCTTTATTTCCCCCCCAAAAACCTAGGTGTGTCCTATGGGCCGGTGCATCCTATGGGGCGAAAAATACGGTAACTAAGTTTGGGTAAGAGTGCTTTGGAACTGAAAGAATAAGAATAATATGGGCTTTATTTAACCAATTAAGGAAAGGAGGAATGGGCTATGAAGTTTTGAGGGGGGATGAGTTACTGTAGAACTGTACCGTATAGTGAAGGCTAAAGTACGGGAATAAAGGAAGGATTTAGTAGAAATTAAAGCTGTTTTAAGGACCTAATGGTTGAAAAGTGTGTTACATATCTAAATCAATACAAGCCGGTGGGTTTTAAGCTTGCATAAGCACGAGTTTAATGCAAATTAAATTAGGAGCAAACAGTTCAACATGTATATGTGATACAGACAAAAATAGTATTTGTAAGCCAGGGGTTGGCTGACCTGTGTCCCTCTAAATGTTGTTGGACTCCAACTCCCATCAGCCCCAGAAACCATGATCAATGGTCAAGGATGATGGGACTTATAGTCAAGCAAAAAAACAAAGCAAAAACAAAATATGGAGGGCCATGGGTTAGCCACTCCTGCTTTAAAAATTTCCCATGAAATTATAAAAGAAGCTCTACAGTTAAAATAGTAAGCTTCCCAGAATTATACTTCAGCAATGTTTTTGCAATGTCTTTGAAAAACATAATTGAAGCACAATATATTAATAGTCGGCCACATAAAAAATCCGCCCCCCCCAAAAAAGGTGTGTTCACATAGGGCACAGTCAAGCCAAAATGAAGCTCTTTTAAGTTCCATGGAGTTCAGTGAGTGAAGAAAACATACATTTAACTCTCGCTAGCTGAAACAAATGAGAAGTAAAAGTGCTTAATAAATGGATCATTTTTGTAATTCGTGAAAATATTGTGTTTTAGCCAGTCCTGAATAGATACTGGTAGAAAACCAGAACCCCTCCAACACTAGCATATACTGATTTTTTTTATTAAATTATTATTGCTATTATTATTATTAATAATAATAATTTCATTGATGAATTGCTTCCTATGAGGCATCTCAAGTGATTTACAGTAATTGTCCCTATGTACTTGACACTTACACTCTTAAAAAATGAGAAATTAGTTTAAAGGAAAGAATCTCTGCTTGACTTTTAACAGGAATTTTAGTTTTCCACTTGTCTTTTGAGACAATAGCAAGGGGAAGTGCAGTCGTGCTAGAGATATGAACTTTCCCCAACATAAAAACAGACAGTCAACATTTATTACTGAAAGAAAAAAAAAACACTTTGGGGGAAGAAAAGACAAATAGCACTAAATATATCCAAGACAGTTCCTTCTAAAATTTTGAATGCTAGCAGTAAACTAACAAGAAACAAACAGATCATTTACATTGGCCTATAATGTTAATTTTCAGAATAATAATTGCAGGAAAAAATGCATAATGGTTGGGTTTCTGATATGGAACTGAAAAGTAATCACATTTTCCCAAATGAATCAAAACAGAACAGTAGGAACAGAATGTACCATTGCTCAGAAAAAGAGACGCACAAATATATCCCACAACTTCAGGAATCAGAAAAGAACTACATGGAATAACTTTTTTCCAAACCTCAGAAATACCACTTGCACATGGTTTGAAAGAATGCAGCCATTTTAGAGATCTTAATATAATACTATTAGCAAAAGTGGGGAAACTTTTGGCTCACCAGATTGTTCTGAACTAGAACTCCCTTCAGTCTCTGAAAGCATTGCCAATGGCCAGGGATGATGGGAGTTGTAGTTCTGCAACATCTGGAGGACCAAAAATTTCAAACACCTGCTATTAAGACAGGATGCTCTTTGCAGATTTTTGTTTCACTTCATTTTAGCCAAATATAGAAATATTTTAGTAGATGTCTCTGAAAGTTTCATTTTCTTTCTTTCTAATCACATAGCAGTAGTGTCCATGAAAAAGGTATATGCTGTTAAAAAAAAAATCACCTCACTTTCAGTTCTTTTCCACGAAGAGAGGGAATGAGTTCACAAGAACATTTTGCAATCTTGGCCCATGGAGGTTGCAGGGTATGGTCACAGAGACCCCTGCCATCCATTACAAGCAACAAGCCAAACTAATTGTTATATTAAATACATGTGGGCGGTTGCTTTTGTCTTTGTGTTGTTGAATGGTGCTGTGCTGCAGGTTTAAAGTTTCCTTGCACTGCAGCCCTGAGAGGAAAATCGTCCCTGGTAGCTGCTGTTTTCCTAGGAGGGAAGTTGCAATCGACGCCAATCACAGCTACCCTTCCAGGGAAATAGCAGTGAGAAGAAGGGGGGTTGTGGGTGTTATGTACTGAAGTTCTCACCCTGGGCCAGCAGGGGGATACTGTAGATAGTTATGCAAATAAAGGATCGAAAGTGGCATTCAGTGATTGGATAGTTTTAGAAAATTGTTACAGTTACGTTGTACTGGAGCTCTATATAAGCAGGCTGACTGAACCCTTCAGTTCAGTTCTGTTCTGGCCTGTGAATAAACAAGAGCTGTTTGAAGAATTGCTGTGTTGTCTGATATGTTCACCCACAACTTAACAGTGGGAAAGGGGGAAAGGGCTTAAAAGCCTTCCACCAATGCTTTGGTCCCAATCTGGACCCCTGCCCCCACTTCACGGCTGCCACCCAAATCAGGCATTGTGATGTGACACAGACATACTAATGCAGGTGCACATTTAATTTAAACTTGTCGTTTGATACTAAGCTTCCTCAAAGCTTACACTGCGACAGAGGAAAGAAGACAAGGACATGGCCCAGGGCAATTGAAGACTGGTGCACTCATCTCCATTGTGAGCTACCTCTGTCTGTAATCTTTGCAAGGATTCACAATTGGACCCTATTACACAGGGGGTATTTGCAAACATTATGGGACGCTTAGAGATTGATTGCCAGTTTTTGGTGGTGTCCCCCCAAGTAAGCCTAATGAAAGCTCTGTCCCTCAGCCTCATTCAATGTGGGCTGGGCAGGCCAAGCAAACTTGGGTTGCTTGACACTTCTTACAAGGGAGGGAAAGAAATATTCCGTGCAGAAAGGATACCATTCCTCCACTCCCTCCCTGCCCCCACAGTACAATTAAAACATGGAGGGAGGCACACAGTTGAGCATCTTACAATACTTGAGGGCAGATGGGTGGAGAGATGGAGAAGCTTCGGCGCAGGGGGAGTTTATCTATCATGTACTTGCATCTCCTCCGGCAACACTGAAAGAGAATCCTTGCTTTTGAGGAAGGTGTAATACTGAAGACGTGCAATTATGTCGTTCATTCTTGATCAGTACTGGAACTCCAAGCTCAAATTGGGCATTCTGGGGTGAAGCACAACAATATTCACCCAGTGCTTTTCCAGCTGCACTAGCTCCCGGTGGAGTACAGGGTCAGATTTAAGGTGCTGGTTTTGACCTTTAAGGCCCTTCACGGCCTAGGACCCTCGTACCTACAGGACCGCCTCTCCCGGTATGCCCCACGGAGGACCTTAAGGTCCATAAATAGCAACACCCTAGTGGTCCTGGGCCCTAAGGAAGTTAGATTAGCCTCAACCAGAGCCAGGGCCTTTTCAACACTGGCTCTGGCCTGGTGGAACGCTCTGTCTCATGAGACCGGGCCCTGCGGGATCTGATTTCTTTCCGCAGGGCCTGTAAGACAGAGCTGTTCTGCCTGGCCTTTGGATTGGAATCAGTTTGATTCCCTCCCCCTCTTTCTTTTTCCTTTCTCCTCCTGTGAAGAGAGGCTGCATCTTAATGTTTTAATGTTGTATTTTAATCTTGTTTTTTTAAATTGTATTTTAATCAACTTGTTTTTATTACTGGTTGTTAGCCGCCTTGAGCCCAGTCTTGGCTGGGGAGGGCGGGGTACAAATAAATAATAATAATAATAATAATAATAATAATAATAATAATTCCTTGTTCTGGGTCTTTGGTTTGTTAAACTGATCAGATCGTTTAGATTTCAATTTTCTCCATTTTATTCCCTCATTTCCCCCCTGAATAATGCACCATTATTGGGTGATGACGATTCCAAAAGATATTGTCAACTGCACCATTCACCAATACTTCGATTATTGGATCTCTCTGGCAGCTTATTCAATTATCTCTTGGACAGCCAGTAGCAGCAGCAGGCAGATTTTCTTGCAAAACTATTTTTCTTTGTCTGCTGTTTCTGTGCCCTTTTCTCAATTTCAGTCAACATTCCGATTCCACTGAAAAAGCAGGCCTGAAAGTGAAAGTATGGAACCGTGCAATTTGAATCGCTGGAGCAGAGAGCATAGAACAATTCTATTTTGATGGATTGGTCCTGTTCACACATGTATACACATATAGGTGAACTCTCAACACTTGGTTCAGGAGTGGAGAAACTGTGGCCCTCAATATTTTGCTGGATTACAACTCCCATCATCCCTGACCATGGGCCAAACTGGCAGGGGCTGATGGTAACTGGAGTCCAACAACAATGGGTGGGTGGGGGCATAGGTTCTCCACCCCTGTCGTTACTGGAGCCCAGATTTAGAAAGCTACAGGAACGGTATTGCCGGGCCTCATTTATCTGTGCAAAGGAATGCCCCAGTCCTGCTAAAACAACAACAACAACAACCAATGCATGGATTGGAAAAAGCAAAATGATACCTACTGCTACAATGAGGAAATCTAGCCAGCACCAGGCATTAGTGAAGAACTTCACGAATCCATAGGCACACCACTTCAACAACATTTCGAGGATAAAGATGTAAGTGAAGACTTTGTCAGCATACTCCAAGACAGTCCGTATGGTCCTTCTCTGTTCTATGTAAATATCTTCAAAGGCCTAAGGAGTAACAAGGCAACAAGGATTATCACACTCTTTTCCTGGCAGCAGAGCGAGCTAGAAATAAAAAAACTGGGTCCAAAAACTTGTGGGAGACACGCAGACTTCTCAAGGAACGTACAGTTCACACATCTCCCAACGCTTGAAGCATTGTTGGAGAGGCACAGAAGCTGCTTCCATGTGGGTGGAATGCCATTTCCAGTCTATCTCTGTCTATCTCTTGGAAGGACACCAGCTGGATTATATGGGGGGGGGGGGTTCTTCCCATGCAAGTGTTGCCCAATCCTTGGGGAGGAGCAATATTGGCATTGGAAAGATGCAGGTAATTTGCTTGGACTTCATTGGTCCTTCGAGTAGATATTACCCTGTATGATCTGGCCATGCAAAAGTGGTTCCAATGCTTTTCTGGTTGTGTAGAAACTGGTTGTTGTTAGTATTTTCTTTTTCTTTTTAAAGTATTGTATCCAAGGCAATTCCAAATAAACGAAAGATCTGGAGTCACTTGCTCACCGTGCTTGTCAAAGAGACCTAGGGTGTTTTCACAAGTAATATAGTAAGTGACTCCAGAGCTGGCATCAGCCCAAAGCATTCTCAGGCAGCTTTGGGGAGACTCAATACCCAATACTTACACTTGCTTTTCACCCTGTTAAAAGCAAACACCCATAGCAGCAAACACCCATAGCAGCTCCATTTTAAGTTTTTAACAAATGTTCCAGTAGCTGTGTTTACTTCGAGAACATTGTGGTGGAAAAAACAACACCACAACCGCTACAAAAACATGATTGTTACTGGTACCACAAAAGTCCATAGGTCCCTTCATGAACACCAAGGGGCCCCCCATAGAAGAAGGGGGGAGCACTGGATGGTAAGGTAAATGGTTAAGGTAAAGGACCCCGAATGGTTAGGTCCAGTCAAAGGCGACTATGGGGTTGCAGCGCTCATCTCGCTTTCAGGCTGAGGGAGCTGGGTGTTTGTCCACAGACAGCTTTCCGGGTCATGTGGCCAGCATGACTAAACTGCTTCTGGTGCAACAGAACACCAGAATGCACGGAACTGAAACCAGAATGCACGGAAACACCGTTTACCTTCCCGCCACAGTGGTACCTATTTATCTACTTGCACTGGCGTGCTTTCAAACTGCTAGGTTGGCAGGAGCTGGGAAAGAGCAACGAGAGCTCACTCCGTTGCGGGGATTCGAACCGCCAGCCTTCTGATTGGCAAGCCCAAAAGGGTCAGTGGGTTAGACTACAGTGCTACAGAGCAACAACTGAATTTCCTGAGTTTGTAAATTGAGCAAATGCACCAATAGAAACTTCCATCCTTGGGTGACCAGCAGCTTTGGGGACGGGTAATCTTCCCCAGCATGCAGACAAAGGGATAACCTCAATGGTCCCAATCCTTTGCCGCTCCTGACAGCAGCTTTTTAACTTTGAAAACAAACACACACTCAGCTGTTTGAAATGCTTTTTTACAAATTTCGTGTATTGTCTAGTTTGACCCCCAAAGTGACGCTAAGAGCATTACATAGAGAAGACTCAATATAATATAACTCTGCTCACCAGGGCTCCACTGCTTAGCAAGATCATGAAGATAATGAACGTCTCAAACCAGTTATGCTCCACAATAAGAAAGCATGTCTTTCGTAAGTTCCACCAAGACTTGCCCCACCCTTCTTCAATGCTGACTTGGCAGCACTTGAACCGCTGAACGCAGCCTGCAAATGTAAAATTAGCACAAGTTTTCCGAGAGCCGTAACATTTCCTTATTCCTTTTATAAAAAAATAATTAATTAATTCGGCTTTGTTACAAAAAAATAATTTTCCCAGCGCTGTCATAATCATCAAGGACAATGCTCCACAAAATATTTTTATTTGTGCATAATACCTTAAATTTTTCATAGCCAAGACCCTGTAGAATAGTATTGCTCAGGGCAGAAGATTTAATTCTCTAATGAAAGGTTGCAGCGAAATTTACTGCAGTCAGAACATGCACTGGTGGCTCCATATCAACTGGTCCAACAGTACCCTTCAAATTTCTTAATAAGACTTTTAAGAGATCGGCTGAAAAAATCTAATAATGGTTATTTTTATTATATTCCTTAAGACACTGAGGTCCAGCTCTGAAGGCCTTCTGGTGGTTCCCTCCCTGCGAGAAGTGAGGTTATAGGGAACCAGGCAGAGGGCCTTCTCGGTGGTGGCCCCCGCCCTGTGAAACGCCCTCCCATCCGATGTCAAGGAAATAAACAACTATCTGACTTTTAGAAGACATCTGAAGGCAACCCTGTTTAGGGAAGCTTTTAATGTTTGATGTTTTATTGTTTTTTTTAATATTCTGGAAACCCAGCCAGATGGGCGGGGTATAAATAAATTATTATTATTATTATTAACAACTTCAGGAAATGTTTAGCTTGTTTTTGAATGTAAAAATAAAGTGGAATTAGGCACAGGGGCTCCGCTTAACCCTAGTAGCTTCTTAACTCTGCTGGATCTGCGAGTTGCCATTTATATTTCCCAGAATGTCCCAGAGCGATGCCAAACTGGGGGCACTGAGATAAATTAATAGCCTATCTCACAGCGGCTGCCTAAGCAGCAGGGGTCTTAGGGGGTACTTTGCTGAAGGCCCCCTCAAACCTGAAGTCAGCCCTATCAAGGAAGGCCACTCTGCAGAGGTAACATGCTCTGAGTGGACGCCATATTGATAAAAGGTCCATTTTGCCCCACTGTGTTCAAAATCACCTTCTGTGAAACATGCGTCCGGATCCAGGTATTCTTCTGGTGCTTCCACAGGAACCTCTTCTGCCTCAGGCTTTATATCAATGGTACTGCCCTCCGACGAACTCGTATCATCCAGTTTCTTGAACAATGGGAAAGAACATCACAAACACATATATTATGAGCCGGGAGAAATGAAGAGCTCCATTTTTTAAACAACGTTGACATTCATGCCAATACGCAGCACAGAAAAGAAATAAAATAAGAATAAAACTATTTCCCAGTTGAATATTTCCCAGTTGAATTTCCCTGCTGAATATCGGCCCATCTTAATATGGTACATCCTTTAAGACTTTTGAAATAAACGTAAAGAAGGAAACAATTGGAAGGAGCAAATATCTCCCAAGAACAGGGCCTGATTTAGGTTTGATGAGGCCCTAAGCTACTGAAGGTAATAGGGCCCTTTAAATGTCCAGCTGTCCTTTGTCAACAACAATTTTTCACTGTCTTTTGTGTTGAATAGATGCTATATGGTAATTTATGGACCTAATAGGTATCTAAAGCCATTTGTACATAACAAAATATGTACATCATAGGAGCCTACACAACACAGAACACTGTTGCTGTCTGCAGGTTTTATTTTATTTGTCTTTTATCTTATATTTTGGAAATGTACATCCAGTTTTTTTCCTTTAATTTTTTTTGGAGGGGCCCAAGAGAGTGGGGCCCTAAGCTACAGCTTGTTTAGCTTATACGTAAATCCAGCACTGCCCAGGAAGATTTCCCCCCCTTTTTAAAAGTGGAGAAACATAGGCAGACCGATTGTAGTGTTAAGCCAAGCACACAGTACAGAGGGCCTAGTATTCTGCTCCATGTAGAAAGCCTATGAACACATGAGGAAGTGACAGACTAGAAAGAAAAAGATTTATCCCTATCCAATCTGGTTCCCCATTACATGATACATGATGGACCTTTGGGCTGATACAACAGGGTTCTTTGTATGTTCTTATTATGAATGACTTAGTCATACATACGACCCATGAAAAGTCTGTGCCACCTTTGTTCTCATCTTGCCAAACAAAGTAAAGAGGACCTACTTTATTTGCACTGAGAAATTTGCTGGCTGCAAAGCCTCACACTCTGGCCAGAAGGCCAAATTTGCTTCTCTCTTGCAATGCAATGGGCCACCCAAAACAAAGGCATGAAGGTGCGGCCTATGAGCAAGTATGGCTCCATACCTCTTTGCTGCCATCGGGGTCGGTGTCACTGCTGAAATCTTCCGTGTTGAGGTTCTCAAAGTCAGACTCACCCACAGCTATGGGGACACGAACGGTGAGGTTAGGGTTGTTGATGAAAGACATGTGGTCTTCATCAATTATGTACTTTTCCACGCTGCTGCCAATGCCACTGGTGGTGCCATTGCCGTTCTTCTGGTAATCGATCTCCCGGTTGATGTCGGCGCCGGTGTGGTTGGCGATGCAGTTCATCTTCTTGTCATACAGCTCGTCTAGTGGCTTCACTTCATCCGCCTCCGGTTGCTTGAAGTGGGTCTGCACAAACTCGTGCATTCTGATCTTGGCCCAGGCAATGCCTTTCTTGATCCGGATGACTGAGATCTGCAAGTTGTTCATCTCACCATCATCATCTGTTGCTGCAAGGTTGTCTGCGCTGAAAGAGCTCAGCAACAAAGCCAAGAACAGGTTCAATACCTGCAGAAGCAGAAAAGGGTCTGTAAGACAAGACTCCCTCTAGCCACTTTTTGCTCAGTGAATTGGCAATATCGTCCTCAAAGTGCATCCTTCTACTTGGTGGCAGTGGGCCTTGCTCTGCTGGCTCCTCCCATCCCAGTTGGCTCCTCCCATCCCAGAACCATTTCCTTCCGCAGCCATTCATGCCACCTGTTTAGCTATTTATTTATGGAATGTGCATACCACTTAATTGTAAAAACCTCCAAGCAATTTGCATTATAAACAATTGCAATCATTATGTAATAATCGGTACAACAATTTGCTTATTATCTCCCCTTTTCCTTTTGTATCATCTCTGTTAGATTGCATGCCATTATTTTAAATTGCAAAACGCTGTGAATGCCTTGGCATGAATGTGATATACACATGGAGTAAATAAATAAAACGTGAGCACACATAGACAGCCCTGAGCTTACAGACAGCCCTGTAGAATTCCCACGTTTGTTACAAAGAAGAAATCTGAAATGTTTTAATTAATTTGACCGCACCACATGGGCAAAGCCTTGCAAGTTTTTTGTTCTAAATATGGTAGGAAAGGGTACTGGTTAAAGAATCTCAGAAAGTAACAAGGAGGGAAGGCAAACATTGAGGATTTTGACTGAGAAAAGCAGTCTTATATTATGAATGTCCAAATGTAGCAGGCAAAATGGATCCCTGGTTTCTTTCTGATCGATGCATGAACGTTTCATATACACTGAGCACATTAAAAGACAGATTATATACACACAATTTTCTGTAAAATAAAAGGAAATTGCACTGCATTTTTAAGTCTTATGGGGGTCAGACTTAATTTCACTCCTTATTTTAAGGCGCATCATATAATCAGATCATTTTATTCTCATGTTTCCTTTGCTTTTATGCACAATTTATTGTATCGTTTGTGTGTTTTGTTTTGAACAGAACCGTTAAATTGGCAAATATCAAGTCAAGGTAAAAGGGAGGATATTTGAAAGAGTTAGTCAGACAAAATTAGTTTTTCTGAAGCATTTCAGCAGCATCCTTTTAAATACAGGAAAAATTGCAATGTGAGCAACAGTAAAGGAAAATTATGCTTGGATTTTTTTTCCTTTTAAAAAATGCTCTTAACTTTTTGGAAGTTTTATGCCAGTTTAAAAAGAGGTATTTCTTCCAAACATGCCCCGACATTCACTGATGCTATGATCTTAAAAATATGCATTGTAGTATATATGAGGGCCAATAAAGCTACAGAGCCATCCTATGTGAGATACAAAATGCATGTATTTTGATGTAATGTCAGCTGCAATTCCATTATAGAAATTTTCTTGGGTGCATCACATATGTATGCTTGTACCAACACTGTTAAGTCTCTTGTGGCTAAAATACCTGTAAGAGGTGGATCCAGGGCTGGTGTCAGAACATGGTATCCTCAGGCAGATTCCTGGGGCTCCAACATCCCAGCTGGGTCTACCGCTGACACCTTCCATGAACCCTCTTTTTTATTTCCCAGAATGCCCTGGAATTATGCTGCTTTGAGGGCATTGTGGGAAGTTAAAACAGTGGTTTGCAGCTGCCTGGTGTTTATTTGTAAGAACCTAACAACTCATAAATAATATTGTCAGCCTGCATAGCATAAATGATGGCAGTCTATTCTGCTATGGTGCCAGCGGCAGTCCCATTGTAATAGCTGCTGCTGCCTATTGCCATGGCAGAAAGTGCCCCACCAAAAGGGCACCGGAAGGGTTTGACACGTCTTATTCTACCCCATCAATTCTGCTTCCACTTATTTTAAAGCCAGGAATGGGGACAAGTGGTGATGTTGCTATGGCAGTTCAGAGTCAGCTGCTAATACCAGCGCAATGCCATGGGTTCAGAGACAGTTGTGGGGTGGGTTACAGAGGGCTATGCTTGTGGGCTCCCCACAGGAATCTGGCATGTGGGAATAGGAGGCTGGATAAAATGGTTCTTTGATCTGATCCAATGGGGGTGTGTCTGTTCTTACATTATCTTCTAGATCGGGGTAGCCAATATCGTGCACTGTAGAAGCTGTTGACCCAATAGCCCTGGTCAATGTGACTAATGGCCAGAGAGGATGGGTGTTGCAGTCCACCTCTGGAGATCATGATCAGACTACCTCTGTTCTAGATCATGATATTGCTTAGGATCGCAATACCTCAAAACCGCCTCTTTCCATATGAACCTACCTGACCCTGAGATCATCTTCTGAGGCCCTCCTTCATGTGCCTCCTCCACGAGAGGTGCGGAAGGTGGCAACATGAGAATGGGCCTTCTCTGCAGTAGCTTCCAGTCTGTGGAATGCTCTCCTCAGGAAGTTCCCCTGGCGCCTTCATTACACACCTTTAGGCGCCAGGCAAAAACGTTCCTTTTAAACCAGGCCTTTGAGTTGATCCTATACCCTTTTAGAATGTGGCTCTTTTCTGGGAGGGAGGTGTTATTGGGTTGTTGTTTTTATTCTGATTATATACGTTGTGATTTTTTTCTGTGAACCGCCCTGAGACCTCTGGGTAAAGGTAAAGGGACCCCTGACCATTAGGTCCAGTCGTGGCCGACTCTGGGGTTGTGGCGCTCATCTCGCTTTATTGGCCGGCGTACAGCTTCCGGGTCATGTGGCCAGCATGACTAAGCCGCTTCTGGCGAACCAGAGCAGCGCATGGAAATGCCGTTTACCTTCCCGCCAGAGCGGTACCTATTTATCTACTTGCACTTTGACGTGCTTTCGAACTGCTAGGTTGGCAGGAGCAGGGACTGAGCAACAGGAGCTCACTCTGTTGTGGGGATTCGAACCGCCGACCTTCCAATCGGCAAGTCCTAGGCTCTGTGGTTTAACCCACAGCGCCACCCGTGTCCCTCAAGACCTCTGGGTATAGAGCAGTTAATAATAATAACAACAACAACAACAACAACAACAACAATGCATTTGTGCTGCAGTCATTAGTCTTAATCCTGAAAGTTTCCTGAATGTGCGGTAACCCTTAGCATTGGTATTTAAAACATCTAAGCAAATAGGGAATATTAGCTGTAGAACCTGCCACGGAATAGAAACAGTGAGTTCTTGTCCCAGCCCATTACAAGACAGCCATCCACTTCCCACTCAAAAGCAACCACAGATAGATATTTACTGACCACCAGATTTCCAATGACCATCACCATCATGAAGACAATAAGGCACATGGCCTGTCCTGCCACTTCCATACAGTCCCACATGGTTTCAATCCACTCCCCACACAGCACACGGAAGACGATAAGGAAAGAGTGGAAGAAGTCGTGCATGTGCCATCGTGGAAGCTCACACTCGGGGTTGATCTTGCAGACACATTCCTTGTAGCTCTTGCCGAAAAGCTGCATTCCCACCACGGCAAAGATGAAGACAATGATGGCTAGCACCAAGGTCAGGTTTCCTAAGGCACCCACCGAGTTGCCAATGATTTTAATCAACATGTTCAGGGTTGGCCAGGATTTTGCCAGCTTGAAGACCCTCAACTTGAAGACGTAAAAAAGAAAGAGAAATATAGATAAAACAGATTTATGATTAATAAAGCAACAGTCCTGCCAATGGGGACCCAGATTTAAAAAGAGATATTGATCACAACATACTGAAGGGGCATTTTTCATATGTGGTGGACCTGTGAAAAAGCTCAGGGATTTTGGGAAATGATGCATAATGAACTGAAGAAAATGTTAAAAGTGGTTATTCCTCAAAAACCTGAAGTTTACATCTAGGGATAATAGGGATGGACATCCCAAAGAGGATGATTAAACTATTTATGTACGCAACAGCAGCCGCCAGAATCCTCTATGCGAAGAAATGGAAGGAAGGAGAAGTTCAAATCACGAAGAAACTAATGGGCTATATGCAGAAATGGCAAAATGGACAGCAAAGATTAAGAGATCAAAGCGACAAATTTTTTATTGAGGAGTGGAAACCCCTTTGGGATTATCTGAGGAAATATTATAGCCAAATCAAGTCGTGATCAGGATTCGAAATTTAAACAGCGGAAGGGAGACGACAACAGTTGTAGTAGAGGAAATAAGTATGAGAGATACGTATGCTACATAATGCAGCAGAAAAAAGGGGAGGGAATAAAAACATCATGAAGGTAAGGGTGGGAAGTCAAACCGTCAAGGGAAATACGTATTAAAAGTTGAAGTTAATTTGTTAAAATTTCCGAAATTTAATAAAAATTTGGTACTGTACAGTGGTACCTCCGGTTATGAACGGGATCCGTTCCAGAGGCCCAGCCATATCCCAAAAATTTCGTAATGGGAGGACCACTTCTACGCACGCTTGCGCCACTGCAGAGCACTTCTGCGCATGCACGAAGTGCGCAGAGCGTTTCTGCACACCCGAGAACGGCAAACCCACTTACGAGTTTGCCACGTTCACAACCTGAAGGTTACATTACCCGAAGGGGCCACTGTATATATAATAAAAGAAATACTGATCATGAACTAAACACTGAATGGGAGATTTCTAGAGGCAGAGCTGTCAATCTATGGATTTTAGCTGGAAAGTCAGGATCTGCAGATTGCCACTAGCTGACTTAAGAGCATCAGGCCATTGGTCCACCTTGTACAATATTGTCTATAGAGACTGGCAGCAGCTTTCCAAAGATTTAGAGGGGCAGGGATGTATCCCAGCTCTGCCGGGAGAAGCCAGGGACATTGAACTGGAGATCTTTTGCATGCAGAGCACAACCTCTATTACTCTACTACCCAATACCCGCTTTTCAAACGGACAGTCCCTTCATGTCCTCTTGACTAAGGCAGAAATGGTGGCAGGAACCCTGCATGTTCTTGGAAGTGACCACATAAGAGGTGCAAGCCTGACTGTGCTCTGCATTGGGCAATTCACCTGCAACAATCACTTCCACACTCCAACCCAATAGAATCCTACTGCTAATCCCCACTGCCATTTTTAAAGAAAACCATATGCTGAGAGTGCATTTGGGATATTAACTGCTTCCTGAAATGGACTTGTTGCTAAGGTCTGCATGTAAGCTCTGCAGTCATTGCTTGTAGCAAGTAGCCTTCAGATTCTAGCTGTTTAGAGGCAATTTTAGGCAGAATAAATGGCAATTGAAAGGGGATATAAACCAACTCTTGGACACAGAACAAGTCTTTATTTGCAATACTGGCCAGTAAGGATTTGGCAATTAGTCCTCCCGTGGACCTTTACTGTGGGTTCTGATATATAACCTTATTTAAAAAGTTGTATCGGGTGAAAGGAGAGGAAAGACAGGAAACTGTGAAAAGTGGAGTAAAATAAGCAAATAGTACCAATCGGAAAGATCGCAACACCGAAAGCCCTTCCACATCTGCCAGCATCAGCTCCAGCAAACTGAGAGAGACAATAAATCCATCAAAAATGTTCCACCCTTCTTGGAAATAATAGTAGGGGTCCATTGCTATGAGCTTTAGGAACATCTCAGCTGTGAAAATTCCAGTGAAAACCTAAAAAAGGGGAAGAGGGATCAGAATGTTCAAAGCTCTCACTGAACTTAATACTTTTTGCCTTCAATTGAATTAATGAATGAACAGGCCACAGTATATCAGCAATTTGGATGAAGAGACAGTCTTTCCCCCCTTTTTTTCGTATAATCAGAATTTTTGCCCCACTGCTACTTTTTTCTTAGTATTTCACTGAATTACCGTATTTTTCACTCTATAAGACGCACCGGACCATAAGACGCACCTAGTTTTTGGAGGAGGAAAACAAGGAAAAAAATATTCTGAATCCTTCTTGCTGTTCTGGCTTCAGCGATAGCTGCGCAGCCTGCATTCGCTCCATAAGATGCACACACATTTCCCCTTACTTTTTAGGAGGGCAAAGGTGCGTCTTATAGAACGAAAAATACGGTACCTCAATTCCAAAACTGGCAGTGGCACCAGCTAGAGCCCCAAAACTCTAGATACTTGTGGGCAGCAATGGTTGCCTTATTTTATTTATTTAAATATTTATAAGTAGGCCTTTCTAAGTCTATCCTGATATTCAAAAGTAGCTGGCAATAATTCAAGTCACTGTTTGACTAGAGTAATCAGTTAGCCAAGGTGAACTGTCTCTTTTTTCAAGTTGTGTTTTCTACAGATCAGTTTGATTTCTTGTGAGACATTAGTGTTACATACAGTGTTAGGTTAGGAAGAAAAGAGGGGGGGAAATGGTGAGTGGGGTTGGATCGGGGGCAATGCTTCTATTCTTCTACTTAGTGCATGTGTAGGGTTTTGTGTCAGCGTCGCTTGTGTGGGTTCTCTTACTATTCGCTCATTATATTTCCTTGGTGGTGAGTGAGGCTGAGGGTGGCCTAGGGTGTGGTTGGTTGTCTTTGGTTGGCTGTAGTGAGATTTGTTTTTGTGTGCGAGGGTGTGTATTTTTGAATCAGGTTAGCCAAATTGATTTGTAGGCAGTTGGCGGATTCTTGTTGTGGTCTTGTTGGGCTGTGTATGTGATAAAAGGGAACCATACCGGGGTGAAGGTGTCTTCTTCTATTTGTCCCCGTGTCCATTTCAGTTTATTGGCTAGTTTTTCTAATAAGGCTGTTTCCCATACATAAAGCTGAGTTCCCATAGGCATTGGGAACATTTTCACGCTTACCAGGTTCCCTACGGCCAAGACATGCTCAAACTGTGGGGTCATGGGATGGTGCTCCATTGCCATGAACAGAGTATTCAAAACAATACAGATCGTAATGGCTAAATCCACAAAGGGGTCGAAGACAATCAAGTTGACAATTTCTTTCAGCTTCATCCAGTATGGGTGGCACTCCCAAATAAGGAAGATGTTGGCAAATTTGTACCAGCAGGGAGGGCATTTTCTTTGGGATTCTTCTAGTTCTACAACAAAACAAGAAGGTGGGCAACTTTAACCGATTAATGTAAACACGCCCAATGAAATTTTATGCAAGGTTTAAGTCATTCTCAATTTGTTGGGCCTTGCAGGCTGTTATGTTTTAGGTTTAAGAGGTGGTCACATTTCACAAACAAAAGGAATCAGGACATCTGCAGTGAGACAGGAAAACAAGCTATGCGTGAATAATTAATCTAAGAATCCATAAAATTAATATTTGGGGGTGGAGTGGAATAAAGAAAAAATTCTGTATCTTAAATCAAGTATATGTTACATTTTAATCCTGACCTTCCTTCAAGGAGCTCAGGGCAGCATGCAGAGTCTGAAAAGTAGGGTCTATGCAATCTTAAGAACAACAACAACAAAAATGTAAGATGGTTTTTAAAATTAAAGCATGGGAAAAGGAAAGACGAATACTAACTTCTGAAGTGGGTAATCCCTTGAGCTAGTGGGCACAGGACCACAGCTTTCTAACACACATACCTTCTACAAGGGTATTTGTGATTACTGTCATTATACTGTTGGTTCGGTCCTTCCTTCCATAGGATGCATTCAGCTGGTCCATTGATACCAAGAGTGACCCAGTAGCTTTCTTTTTAATCTCCACCTCAGTGGTTCCCTGAAAAATCCATTAACATCCCGTTAGTACGGCCTCTTTCATGTTTGCGCGGGGAAATGTGATGGGCTCTCAGCTGCAAAGGCAGAATTTGTTTTGAGTCAAATCTTTATATATGTGGAAGATGGTGGTTTTGCCAGATAATAATAACCTCACTGGCCTCCCCTCCTTAAGGTGAAGAAAGGTTTTGCTGTCATAAAAAATGAGTTCTATTCTACTTAACACCTAACTTTTTAAAGTCAGGGATATTCTGAAGCGCATTTCAAAAACTATTGCAGTGCGTGGAATTCTGGTGTAAAAGGAACTTAGATGAAAGGCTGCAGAAAGCTGATTTCACATTAATGCACAGGATAGAGACACCCTGTATAATATTTTATGAGCTCTTTATTGGATATGTTCATCTACTCTCTGAATTCTTCAAGTTCTGCTGCTATTCCAGCCAAATTTGGAGTCCCTGGAAATCACATTAAATAAAAAAGTTGGAAGAACATGTCTTCTGTGCCTACCTTGATTGTCCCAAAACAGCACTAGCTAATCCTTTAATATGGTTTGTCTAAAGCTGAATTTCCCATTGGCCATTTAATCGTGACTGGTAAACATAAATAACTGAGAATCTACTCCCTTCTATGCTTCTTTGTAAATGGGAGCAGGGACAGACCTAGGGAACGACAAATGCTGCTTGCTTCAATCAAGCAAAACTCAGCATTTGCTGCTTTGGGTCTGAGCATATAGAGGTTTGAAATAAAATATTTACTCCATGAAAAGCCTGCATGGCTCATGTGGTCTCTCAGATGTGATGATGAAGATTAGGTGTTTCTCTTGTTTAACAACAGATTATAGCCACTGTCCCAAAGAACTATCGGATGACAGGCATCACGCAATACAGATATGTATCTTAGGTTGCCTTTCATGCATGCGTCATGCTAAAGTTAACAGTCTGTAACATTTCCATGCTGTTAGAGGACCAAGTCTGGAAAGAGCACAGTAGACTAGCATGCTAACTAGAGAAAGTGGTAGTAACTGAAGCTGAAAGTAACTAGGAAGGGTTTCAAACATTCTTAAGGAGGGAAAAAAAGGACTGGGAAGGAGTAGTTTCATTTAGTTTGCAAGAACCTAGACAAAGAGGGGTTTTGTTTTTTTAAGGAAAAAAAAGCTTGGAATTTAAGGACACAGGAATAAGGCTTCCCATGTGCACTTTGGCCAAAGACGGTGATGCTATTCATAAATAACACTCACTCTGGAGCAACTTCCTTTGGCCATAATGGGAGCAAGTGTGTTTAGGATTGGTGGCAATGGTTTTGGCTTACAGGTGACCCTGTACCTTTTGTTTGCCTTTATTCTCTGGCATAGTTCTAACCTAACTGATCCAGTAAACCTAAACCTGGGCTGTATCAGTTCAGATTAACAATGGAGAGGGTGCAAGATGGGGGTGCAGGAGGATTTTGATTGGTCCTGTAGGAAAAACCAAGCCTCGCCCCAGCTCCTGTTCCAGCTATTCATATATGGGGAAATTCACCTCAAAGCCTGTCACTCCACACAAACAACTATCCCCCATGGAGAAAACTACAGTCTCTTCGACATCTATGGTTTGTTTTTTGGTAGTTAAGGGGTATTCAGTGATCTGAAGTCTCTAAAATGGTGCAGCTCAGTCACAGGTTTACTGCTTCTGACTCTGCGTGGAGAAAGTCTTGTTTCTCACTACCCTAGAAATTCCTAAATGATTTGGGTTGTGTGTGTGGTTTTTTTGTAACTTCTTTTTACACTAGAACTTGCCTTATTCATCTCGTTTCTAAAATACGGACTGAGATGTCCAAAATAAAAAGCAAGTAAACAGATAGGATATTAATACGTTGAGCAAGATTTATACAAAATTAATCCTAATTGCATGAGTGGGATTAAGAAATTTCTGGCCTAGCCCATTCACGCCCAGATGTTCCGGCACATTTTGAAACTTCTGAGGGATTTGATTTAACAAACAGTGTACTTGATCACTTCTCATTCCTCAAAAAGATACATAATTTTTTTCCAAGCCATTTTTTCTTAGAAGCCAGAAGAGAAAAGAGAAGGAAATATGTGAGTAGGTTAATCTGGGAAAGAAGGGAAAGTGAAGAAGATTAAGAAGCAGAGGAGCCTGGGATAAGGGTTCAGACTATAACATCTGTTGGCTAGACAAACCAAGTTTCATTCCGTCAAAGGATCCGTTTTGGCGGCATACAGGAAAGCAGAGAGAAGGGTGGGCCTCCATGCCTAGACTATCTACTCATTGACTTCCTTACGCTGTCATCAGTAGCTGCCTTATCTATTTTCACCTCAGGCAGAAGCCGTCCGCTGGGTATGTTGGAGGTTGGGCCACCAATCAGGGAGACCACGCCGTTGCAGTCCACGGTGCTGTTCCGCTTCATGTTCCGGCGGATGCTGGGAAAGATGCGGGACGATCTGCTCCCCTGGCTGTAGCCGCTGTAACCGCTGTAGCTGCTTTTCCTCTCGTGGCCCCGGATCGGGATGAAGAGGGAATCCCTCCGGCCCTCGCTCTCTTCCACTGTGCTGTGCTCGTCATCAGCAAATTCGTTTTCTGAACCCGGGTCGCGGAAACCTCTCTTGAAGCTGAAGATGCTGCTTTTGCTGTTGTGCCGGGAGAGATAGGGAGATCCTGGGATGCTGAGCAGCGACTGGAAGGAGAGAGGAAGCAGGAAGATGGAAGAGGAATGCGGACAGGAAGCTATAAAGCACCAGCAACAGGCAAAAACATAGAATTTACCGCGCAATCGGATGAAGAAGAAAAAAAGGGTGGTGGTGGCGAATTCTCCATCGTGAAAACGCTAGAGGTTGGTAGCAAAGGAATCAGCTGATTAGTTTCAATTAATATATGGATTTAATAGCACATGTCACCCTCCACTGCTTCGTGGTCCTCATTTACCCCTTGGATCGCCCAGAGAAACCCAAACTGCCATTTACAGTGGTACCTTGGTTTACAACCATAATCTGTTCTGGAGGTCCAGTTGTAAACCAAAACAAGTTGTAACCCAAGGCATGCTTTCGCCAATGGGGCCTCAAAGAAAAGAAAGAAAAAGGTTGTAATAAAAAAAAAATGGGTTGTAATCCAAAAAAAGGGACACACACTTCCAGGTTTGACGTGGTTGTAATTCAAAATGGTTGTAATCCCAAACGGTTGTAAACCAAGGTACCACTGTATGTATCTCTACATATTTAGATAGATAAAAGTCTTTGGTAGAAAATGTCTACAGTTTTGATTTGACCAATACATGTCTCTCCTCCATTAAACCAACTCTTTTCAACAAGTTTTCAGCCTCACCATGGGAACTAACTGCTCTCAACATGTCCCCTTTGGGGTATTCATGGATTGTTTAAAGAGCAATAGGGACTTCTCTAGAGCACTTACTACTTTCTCAAGACAAAGTAACTGAACACCTTTGCTTTTTAGCAACGGCATGAAAACAAAGAGAATGTCCACCAAGAGATGCAATGACATGGTCAGTCAGGCAACTGATTGTACCAAAATTGATCTGGAATGCATTTGATAGTTTGCAATCAAAGTTTGTCAATGGAAGGTAATAGGCAATAGCCAACTAAGTTTTGCTCAGAGTAAACCCATTAGAATTAGCAGAGCAATGTTTGACCTTATGCCTAAAGGTGCACTCCTCCATTGTCTCCCAAGACAGACGGATGCAAACAACATTAGCCATGTCTTAATTTCAGTGTGTCTACTCTGAGTATGACTAAAGTTGCATATAACCCAGTGATTTCTTTATTTTGGAGAGACTGGTGCTCGGTTTAAGCAGAGGCAGTACAAATGAAGTGGAATATGGCATTACTTCCATTCCACTTTATAGAAAAACCTGTCTTCCTGGCATTTTGAATTACATCATTCCAACTTCACCCCTTATTGAGGAGTGGGTATGAAGACTGGTGGGCAGCTTTATGGCGCAGAGGCAGCTAGGACATATCGTGCCAAACACTGATGTATATACATGGCTGCAATATAGCACGAGAAAGACTGAAAGAAGGAAAATAGTACTATCAGGGAAGGTGAGGAAAGACTCCAGTCCAGCCATTCCTCTGAGACATTCCACCCAACACAAAGTTTTCACTTGCAGGGCCTGCAAACTGTACCTGGTTCATGATGGAAAGTTTCCGCCCCAACCTGTTGTCTGGCAAGCGGAAGACCTTCCTCCTCATGCCATCTTCCGACTCAGACTTAAACACCTTCTCAACATCTCCCTTCTCTTCTCCTTCCGACAGCTCCTTCTGCTTCCGCTTCTTCCTCCTGTTCCGCCTCTCCTTGGCACTCTTAGAGCTGAGTTTGGAGATCTCGGAAGAGCTCTGGGACATCCTTCCTCCGCCATCCTCTTCCACAGCATCTTCTGAGACTGTCCCTGCTGAAGTGGCCATGGCTGCAGCCTGCAGTGGGGGGGGGGCGTGGAGTAGGAAGAACCAAGATAACCAAATTGTAGCACCTTGCATGAATTCCTTCCAGCCTCTAAACAATGTGATTAATTAGACTCTAGCCATGGAGAGAACAGCAAACTCTCCAGTTTCCAATGGAACACAGATTGGATTATGTGTTTATTATTAGGATTACATTAGCCTGTGCTCTCTATAAAATGAGAAAGCACAATATGGTGGGGCACGTTAGGGAATAACCTGAGCTTCCTCCTGTTGCTTTTTCAGCTGTTCCAACATGGCCTTGAATTCTGCCTCCTTTTGCTCCGCCTCTTCCAGTGTCGCCTGGTTTTGTTCTTCATAGGCCATGGCCACCACAGCCAAAATCAAGTTTACCAGGTAGAACGACCCAACGAAAATAACCAGGACGAAAAAGATCATGTAGGTTTTTCCCGCTGCTCGCAAAGTCTGCGAAGAAAAAGAGGTCATTGTGAGGTTTCCTATTTTGGTCGCTGAACCCAAGATTGGTTTGTGGCATGTTAGTTGTTAGAAGACCACTTGAGGTGCTGGGAACCCAGTGCTGGGAACCCCATAAGGCAAGCAGAAACCCAGGGGGTGTTGAGAGAACCTTTTACCAAGCAAAAGGTGATTTGAATTAAAGTACCCTCTTCCTCCTAGGTAAAGGTAAAGGACCCCAGGATGGTTAAGTCCATTCAAAGGTGACAATGGGGTTGCAGAGCTCATCTCGCTTTCAGGCAGAGGGAGCTGGTGTTTGTCCACAGACAGCTTTCTGGGTCATGTGGCCAGCATGACTATACCGCTTCTGGCACGACAGGACACCGTGACGGAAACCAGAGCACACGGAAATACAAGTTTACCTTCCTGCCACAGCGATACCTATTTATCTACTTGCATTGGTGTGATTTCAAACTGCTAGGTTAGCAGAAGCTGGGACAGAGCAACGGGAGCTCACTCTGTCACAGGGATTCGAACCGCCGACCTTCCGATCGGCAAGCCCAAGAGGCTCAGTGGTTTAGACCACAGCGCCACCCTTGTCCTCTTATGTGCATGTGAAGGTATGACACCTCTGCTCATGACCGATGCAGTGTCATGGCTGGCCAGCTACAGCACTACTATGTGAAAGGGTGTGTCTTTTTTTCTGAATGCTCTTTGATTTTGTATACGTTAACCATAACATCTCTCCTGTCATTGCTTTCCTAAGCTGAAAAGACTGCAATCACTTTTTGCCTTTCCTAATAGGAATTCTCTCTCTCTTTTGATTCTTTAGAAATATTGGGGTAACCAGAACGGCAGCATTTATGATGCTGCTGCAGTATGTATAGGAAAATGGAAGTTCACGTATTGCTGGGCTGAAATATCTGCCCTAATTATTATTTTTGGCCCTTTGGTGGGGTAGTGTGAGGCAGAAAAGGTTGGAAAAGAACAAAGTACTTTTGTGGGAGGGTAAAATCTATTCATAATTGGTGGCAAGAAACTCCCCATTAAGAGAAGAGCCATAATGGCTGGTACTAATTGTCCTCTGACACAATGGTAATAATTTCCTACCTATTTGTTGGTTTGTTTATTGCCTTTATATCCCACCATTCCTCAAGGTGGAATACATGTTCCTCTTCCTGCCCATTTTATTTTCACAACAATCCCGCGAGGTTGGTTAGGTTCAGAAACTGAGACTAGCCCAAGCTCACCCAATGAGTTTCATGACTGAGCAGGGATTTGAACCCTAGTGTTCCAACTCCTAGTCCAATGCTCTAACCACTACACCACGCTGACACTTCACCTTACAATGTAACATTATTCCCATGGGCCTGAAGGAAGGGGGGGAAGACAGCTGTTCCATTTGGCCAGTTAAAGGGAAATAACCTCTGCCGCATCTTCTCAAAATGGTAAGCCTTCCCCCCTGCCCCACCACTCTCTGAAAATGTAAAAATTACCCCCCCCCAAAAAAGAGCCCTGCAAAATATGGGGTGGGTGGTTTATGATTCCAAACTTACAACAAAGCAACACAAAGCAGTCCTTGTGTACAGAGGGAGTATCAGTTTCCTGCCTCCTTTCTCCATCTCTGTGTATCTTTTTTTTTTTTTTTAAATAACCCACATGTTCCAATCTACAACAGGAAGGTATCATTTTAACCATTTTCGCTTTGGGTGCAAAAATGTCTAAGACCGGATATTTCAACACTGCATATAATATTCTATCCCTTCCCTGAAAACCCTGCTGCCATACCTATGGTCCCTCCCCTTCCACTCATTTGCACTTTTGTGAGCAACACCATGCATATGTTTTCTATCCATCAGCACAGGACAAAGGGAATCTACAAAGCTATAGCGCAGGCAGATCCAGCTCCCAAGAGACTGTGATCTACTCCCAGTATAAAAAAACTGGTGGTGATCTACTCATTGTCATTGGAGGGAGGAGGAGTGTGCATGGGGTAGGTGGATTGCCCAGAGTTGTTGAGCATTTTTGGGGAGGATTGCATAGAGTTTTTAAGCTTCCCACCCCCATAACTTTTTGTACACAATAAGGATCCCGTGATCTACCAGGATCAGCTGGAGATCTACTGGTTGGATACCCCTGCTATAGCACATTGGTGTCAGGAACTGGGCAGAGGAGGAATGGCGGAGACCGCCTCCCCAACCTGACCCTTCCAGGGAGGAGGAAGATGAAGACAGTATAGATTTACAACAAGGGGTTTGAGGGAGGTCACAGCTCAGAGGCAGATGAGGAAAAAAGTTGGGAAATAATGGGAGAGGAGGAGGCAGAACCAGAACAACACCTGGCTGACACGTTGTCATTAGAAAGCATCCCAGACCTTCCATCTCCCAGAACCCGGTGAGCCTTAAAAATAGGAGAGCAAAGACCTCAAAGACAAAGCACCCGTAGAAGTAATGAATGAGGAAGTGGGAGAGATGGGGGGGGTAGAGATTAACTTGAGACAACGCCATTATCCAAGAGTTAGCTGGGTTCTATAGCCTCTCTCTGTAAAGACTGACATAAAAAAGGACGGTAATAATTTTTCCTTGTCTTTATACTTTCCTGGGCAACTAGCCGGGAGCCACTGACAGCACCCTGACAATTGGGCTGGGCTGGTGTAGATGGTTCTGCATTCCCTATGTGTGTTGGTATTCTTTGTTTAGTCATGGCACACACAAACTTGCAGTCTCCTGGAGAAGAGAACACGGCCACTTTGCTGCTCCTTCCATTCTGCTGCCACCCTGTTGTTGTGAGCTAAACCATGGTTTGGCTCAGTGTGTCATCTGAACCTAGGCTTGTGGTTTGCCTTGCTCCAGACACCCCACAAGCTGTAACCAAGGTTTGTTCTTGGCTTACGGCTTGTGGTTTGTACGACGGTGACAAACCACAAACCCAGATTCGGATGACATGCAAACCATGGTTTAGCTCCCAGCAGCGGGACTGGAGGAGCAGAGCTGCTGCAGTCTCCTCTCTGGGAGGCCATACGACTGGGTATTTGAGTTAAGCCATAGTTTGGCTTAGTGTCACATTCAAGCTGAGCCAGTGCAAGGAATGCTTTGTACTCAGCCGAATCACAGCTGCTGTTTTGATGCTAATTCATTTGACGCCAGAAAATGCTTCTGTCATTTTTCACAGACATAATTACATACAACTGCGCCTTTCATTTTTTTTGCAGACCGCTAGGTGGCCCCTGATGCAGGCCGAAGGAGACTCTTCACACATAAGTAAAGGATAGGAGATGTCATACTTACTAACTGATACAAGTTTTCCCAGAAATCCTGAGTCATGAGGCGAAATAAGGCCAGGAAAGCCCAACTGAAGGTATCAAAGCTGGTGTAGCCATAGTTTGGATTCCTCCCTGCTTTCATGCATGTAAAGCCCTCAGGGCATTGGCTGCAGACAAGATGGAAGAAATTTAAGCTAGTTGGCATGGTAGGAGCTATTAGATCAGAAAGAGGAAGGCTCACGGTGAATGCTTTCGCTGCCCCCAATTCAACAGTCTGCTTTCAGCAAGCCTGATGTTACTACTGTATTGTGTTGGTTCCTTACTTGAATTGTAAAAGTTTCTCATTTAAACTCTTTTACCTTCCATCTTTTTTGGGGGGGGGCATGTTATTAAAGATTTCTTGGTTTACAAAAGTATGTGCAGTGTCTCTATTTTCAAGTTACATTTTCTGAAGGCCAGTTTCATTTGTTGAGACATTAGGGTTACATTAGGAAGAAAAGGGGGTGGGAAGAGGTGGAGTTGAGAGTGGTGAGTGGGGGTAGGGTGGGGGTGGGGATGTTTCTAATTTTACTTAATGTATGTGTGGGGGTTTGCGTCAGTGTCGTTTGTGCAGGTTCTCTTTGATATTCGCTTGTGTTCCTTTGGTGGTGAGAGAAGTTGGGGTTGGCCTAGGGTGTGGTTGCTTGTTTGTGATTGGCTGTGACGAACTTAGTTTTCATGTGTGAGTGGGGTGGGTGGGTGTTTTTGAGTCAGGTTAGCCATATTGATTCGTATACTGTTGGTGGATTCTTGTCGTTGTCTTGTTGGACTATGTATGTGATAAAGGGGAGCCATACCAGGGTGAAGGCATCTTCTTCTATTTGTCCCCGTGTCAGTTTCAGTTTATTGGTTAATTTTTCTAGTAAGTCTGTTTCCCATACTATTTGGTACCATTGGTCCCTGCTTACTCCTGATAGGTCTCTCCAGTGTCTGGTTATGATGCTTCTGGCTGCTGAGAGTAGGTGGGTTATGAGTTCTTTGTGATGTGAGAGGACATTATTGTCTTTGAAGATGTTTAGTAGGGCCAATTCTGGAGTGATTTCTAATACTTGCTTAGTTATTTTACATATTTCTCATATGGCTGTTGTCCAGAATGGTTGGATTTTTGGGCATTCCCACCACATGTGGAGGTATGTGTCTGTGGAGGTGCACCCTCTCCAGCATTTTGGTGAGTTCCTGGGCGTATTAGCACTAATTTTAAACTCTTTTACCTGAATTAAATGTATATTGTTGTCGGAACTTGCACTGGAAACCTTACAGTGAAGGGCAGGTCAGAAATCCCATATTAAGTAAAACAAATGTATGATGGAAGAGTAGACTTTCTGTATGACTTCATGGATTTTCTTTACATCCATGGAATAATTTTATTACAAGAGTGATTCATTCACCCGTATACAGTCCCATCTGTGCAATTCATAGGCAAGTACACAAATGTAGCACACAAATGTGAATTTCTGGAATACTAAAACAAAACACAAACATGAATTGAACTGGCAGCTTCCACAGCAAAAATCAAGAGTTCAAAATAGAAGCAGTTTTGATTGCACTTGCCTCTGCATAAATACTGCATAATTGTTCTGCAAGTGTTAACCGCATATTCTCCAGCAAACAACCACACAGCAAGGCATTCAACCAGTGTGGTTCATATATGGAATATTGCAGTTTAAGATGCACAGGAATGGGTACATCAGTCAGGATTGGCTCTGCCGGTGCATCTGTGCAGCCCTGACTTTGCATTCTGCCTTTCTGTTGGTTATTGCTGCAGCTCTGCCCTACAGGTTGAGCCACTCCTGGTATCAGCACTGACCTATCAATGCTGATGTGCTCACATGGTGGAAAATTAGGATTGTAGACACCCCTCCCCCAAGCTTGTAATACATCCTCACATTTTAATAGGCTAAAAATCAATATATGTAGGAATGATTATACCACTTTGCCTGAGTTGGGGCAGTTATAACAATCTGGATCGGGCCTAACACGTATTGTTCCCTGTTCCAACGCTGAAGTCCATTGTGTGACTCTCAAGTGGACTTGGGTGAAAAAAGAAGGTAGAGTCCAAGTCCTGTATCATGTATAAGCTCTGTGCACATCTGCATGTCTGCTTAATGTATGCTTTAAGTAAGATACAGTAGGCGTCTCCATTAAAAAAAAGTTAAATAGTCGGGAAGACATAAGGTGACAAGGTACCAGGTAAACCAATTGCTTTACAAATGAATTTATTTAAGTACTTTTGGAGTGTAATCCATACCTATTGACTTTTTCTCTCTTTCAAAAGTAGTTTGTCAAAGTGAGAGACAGAGATAATCTGAACTGAGAACTTACCCTGCGTCAGAGCTGTTACCGCACAACAAAGGATCAAGAAACCCAGGTAATGTGTAAAAATTGGCTACAGAAGGTACGGGGGAGGAAGAAAAATAGAAGAAGGAGAAGAAGAGGAGGAAGAGGAAGAAGAAGAAGAAACAAGAGCACAGTCAGTTAATGTGATCCACAAGCTGGGATATTAGCATTTCACAACCACAGTACCATGAGTGCAAGGTCATTTGGGACTTTACTATTTCACAGCGCAGGTGTTTGGGTAGGGAGGGCAGTTGTCATATGATTGAATTATCCTCCCACTTTGCAGAGTATAATTCTGACACTCTGTATGCTAGCGCGATGACAACCTCTTATGTCAATTGCTACATGAGGCGGGTTTATTCTCTTACAGGGATATGGAATTCCTAAGTATTTCCCCCCAAGACCAATACTTTGTAAAGTCATTATTGAGACTTTAATTTTTTAAACAAACAAACAAACACCCTTTGCAAAACTGAACAAAAGATTATAAATATGAGAAGAAGAAGAAGAAGAAGAGGAGTTTGGATTTGAGATCCCGCCTTTCACTCCCTTTAAGGAGTCTCAAAGCGGCTAACATTCTCCTTTCCCTTCCTCCCCTACAACAAACACTCTGTGAGGTGAGTGGGGCTGAGAGACTTCAAAGAAGTGTGACTGGCCCAAGGTCACCCAGCAGCTGCATGTGGAGGAGCGGAGACGCGAACCTGGTTCCCCAGATTACGAGACTACCGCTCTTAACCACTACACCACACTGGCTCTCATGAGGCCCAATTCATAATAAACACTGGGGAGCAGTCTGCAGGGCAGGTTTTTTGAACAGATAATAAAAAAGGACTCTACACAGAACCAGATTTTAAGTATCATGGCAAAAGCACAGGGGCTTTTCTATGAAAGGAAAAGAGGGAAGCATACAGTGCAAAAGAGAAATACTGGTCAAAATAGACACCTTTCCTCCAGAGAAGAACCATTTCTGGCTTTAGTAACATTTTAAGTCATGATGGTTAACCCAGCAAATCTCACAGCCATAATTATTTAGACAGAATTGTGCTAGGAAAAAACAGCCGCACACACTTACAAACATTGTTGGTGTATTCTTCCCAGTCAAAGCCCTTGGTGCCATTTTCCAGGTAGGTCTCATTGAGATCAATGGGCCAGATGACACACTTGTTCCTTAGATTCCCCATGAACAGCTGTAGCCCAATTAAAGCAAATACGCTGAGGCAAAACACTGTCAAAATCATCACATCTGACAGCTTCTTCACAGACTGGATCAGGGCTCCCACGATGGTCTTCAGGCCTGAGGAAAGGGAAAGCAGTCTTGGAATTCCTGTGGAATCTTAGGAAAAGTAGCTACCTATGGGCTACATACTACATTTTCTTGACAACAGGGAAGTCAAGGAGTATTTTGCTATGGTCCTCTGCCCACCCATTCCACAATAAGTCGACTGTATTGCCTTCTGAACCTTATTTACCGGATTCATACTCCTCACTATACAGGTATCGGGAATGTAAGTGGTTCATTAAACAGGGACATGTGCAGTTCCCTGGCCTGAGGGGAAATTTTTCCTAGCTTAAGGTGAGGCTGAAGGTTGGGTTACGTTAAGGGGATAGCACACAGTTAATTCACTGTCCCTGAACACAAACATCTAGTGAAGGCAGCTAGAGTTTGTGCAACTCGCTGATTTCATATGGTACCTTCACATGAAAGGGAAAATAAATTTTAAGAAAATGTCGAGCTGGGTACACTCAGTCTGCATTGCTGTGTCCCCATTCTTTCAGAATTTCCCTAATATTATATACCGATAAGAACAGCCGATTCAAAATCTTTCTCCCCCCCACTGTACAGAAATTAAAAACAACACAAACCATATCCTTTTCACAGTTGTGGAAACTTTTAAACTATTCTCTGGTGGGGCATTTTGACTTTTTTGTGTGTCTTAAAAAACAGGGAGGGTAGATCTTAGTAAAAAAAATAAAAACCAGCTGTTCCCAGTCCTAACCCTGGACTCCTGATTCAAATCCTTACTTGGCCACCAAAGTTCACTGGAGGACTTTGGAATAATCACTGCCTCTCAGGGTAACCTATCACATGTTGCTGTGGGGAGGATAAATTGGATTCACCCAGTGAGTTTCATGGCTGAGCAGTGATTTGAACCCTGGTCTCTTAGGTCCCAGTCCAACATTCTAACCACTATACCAAACTAGTTCTCACTTATTCATTATCACTGCTCTATTTCCAGCAAACATTGCTCTGAACCATTAAGGGGGGAAAAGCATAATCTTCCATAAAGATAAAATCAGTTTATGATAACGAACAAGGAAAATCTTTGAAATACACTCCATGCTCTGCCTCTTCTATGTGAAGCTTCAAGCGACATCTTTGCAAGATACAGCAAAGCACATCTACTATGAGAGCTTAGATTATAACTCAAAAGTAGAGCGTCTTTTATTGTAGGTCACAAGTTGTGATGAAAGCAAGCTTTGTCTTGTTCATGAATATACCCAAATAGGCTTGGTACTTTGATGTTTTCAATGTGGGGATACCAATAGGGTTAAATGATGAAAGTATCACAAAAGATACCATAGCAGCAAGCAAGCATCGGAAGTATGAGGAGGAAGTTTCAAAGAACAACATATAACATGACTCCACAATCTCAGGTACTGGGGGGTGGGGGTGGGAATCAGCCATTCTCCTAAACTATGTGGTAATAGTTTCTTAACTTATCCTGTTAATAAAGCCTTCTTGGCTTGAATGCGCAGAAATTCAGTTTATGAGGCTTTGTTCCATTATTTCCCAACAGCATCCAGAGCTTTGGGGGAACCCCTCGGAACAGATTTAAGGGGTGCACAGAGAGAAGGGAAAAGGGGGAGTCCAGTTGCTCAAGTGAAAATCATTGTGCTGATGGGACAACTTACAAGTGCTGGTGACACCAGCATGTGCCTATGCTTGGAGTCCCCATAAATTACCAATGGATGAACTAGATCAGAAACAGCACTGAAGAGCACATGGAACAACACACCTGCTATAACCTTTCTGGGTGATTTGGTAATAGCGCTAGAAGGATGAAGTCAGATAAAGAATGCACATTATTTTTTTGTTGTGGCCAGGCTTACACAAAATTCCCTGAATTAATCTAATGCATGGTGGATTCCATCAGCAGTGGTTCCTGGAAGAGATGTAAAATTTCTGGAAATTCTGAAACCATGGGTGGGAAACAGTTTCCCCCCCTCCCCTCCTGGGGTGGGGGGAGCTGAATTTTGGGGGGAAATGGAAACCAGCAAAATGAACACCAGCAACATCTGGAGAACCAAAGGTTCCACAGGCATGCTTTGCCCTTTCACACAGGTTTATTTCTCGATTTGATGTATTTCCAAACACAGAAGAGTTTATTTCAGATGCTGCAAAAGATAAAGGAAGATGAATGGGCGAGAAGCAAGAGGAATCAGAGGGTGTGTTGTGCAAAGGCCTTGCCACCATGTTGCAGGAGGAATAAACTTGGCACAATCCCAAACTGCATTCCTGGGCCAAATACCTACAGTAAATATGTTCTGAAAGTACCTTTCCTACATCAAGCCGTAAGTAGGATCAAAAGTTAGCATAGGAATTTTTTAGGTTTTTTTGTCCAAATGCCTTCTTGAGCTCCCTCAGACTTCTCGGTTTATTTTGTTTCAAATGCTTCTATCTGTTTTCAATTGATCCATTTCTCCTAGTCAACATCATCAATGAACACCCTCCCAATCTTAACTCAACGGTTGTACAACACTGATTTTTAAAGTAACCCTAAGATGTGGTACAGCCAGCAACCTTCTAATCAAAGTAACCAGCTGCACTGTTTTCTCCCCAGCTAATACACCAACCCATTTAACTCACTCTCCTTTCCTTTAATTTATGCCCATTAGTGGCATCTAATGAGCCATTAAATGTTCTGACTTATTAATTTCTTGCTCCCCTCAATCTACCACTTGATCCAAGCATTTCCAGACAATTTTATTACTCCCAGTTCTGAAATTTCAGCCATTTCCTGACTCAGAGCCCTGAGTCTCTTTCCCTCTCCAGCCCCTTGGTGCTTTCATGCAGCTGTAATTGATATTAACATCCCCCTCGTCGCTGCTTTCAAGCGTTCCCAAAGGGCTCCAGTTTATAAAGCTTTGGAAGGGGTGCTCATTCGTTCATTTTGTTCTAAGTTCATGACTCACCCCCTCCTCACTAAAGGCATTCCCACAAGTGACAATAAAGAGCACCTTCTGATCTATCCAGTGGGATTAAGGTATACAAATAAATAGCTTTTGTTGCAGTGTATTTTGCAAGCACGCTGTTTTGATACTCCAGTTCTGTGATGGATGCACATTTATGTCAAGCGCTCGATGCACTATTCCTGTCACTTGTAATATACATGAGGTATCTAACTTGGCCCTCCAGCTGCCATCATTCCCAAAGATCACCATACTTTATTTTATTGCAATCTGCATATGGGCCGCTCTTTTTTTGGACAGCTCAGAGCAGCTTGCAAAAAGCTCCCTGTAAGCCACAACCCAGGTATTGATCAGGTCCAAAATCCCTTAGCGGCAGCAATGCCACAATATCGGTGCCTCTCAGACCATTCACTCTCTGAACACGCTAGCTGAGACTGGTAGTATTTGGAGTGCACCTGCACTTGGAGGGCAGCAGGTTAGGGGTAGGCTGATATACAACGAGGAGGTGTAAGCAGCTGGATGAAAAGCAACAATTAAACGAAACGAAACCAGTTCAAAACCTATCTTTGTCTGGCATCCAATACATCAAAGTTGGTGCCACACAAGCCTCCTTGGCGGAGAGTATTCCATAAGCAAGGCATCCCAATTGAGACGGCTGCCCCTCCAGTTGCTACCATTGGTGGTATGGGGGAGAATATCATTAGGCATACATAGAGAAATGGGGGAAAGAATTTGTGAAGATGTTGTGGAGAAGTCCTTTGCCACAAGGGCTAGAAGCACACCAAGAAGAAGAAGAGTTTGGATTTGATATCCTGCTTTATCACTACTCGAAGAAGTCTCAAAGCGGCTAACATTCTCCTTTCCCTTCCTCCCCCACTACAAACACTCTGTGAGGTGAGTGGGGCTGAGAGACTTCAGAGAAGTGTGACTAGCCCAAGGTCATCCAGCAGCTGCATGTGGAGGAGCGGAGACGCGAACCTGGTTCCCCAGATTGCGAGACTACCGCTCTTAACCACTACACCACACTGGCTCTCCAAGAATTGGTACAATCCCAGAGTGTAATGTCTGGCCAGAAGAATCATTCCAGTAGATATACCCTGGTTCTGAATAAACACACCCGATGGCAACCTTTCGGCTTGTGTGCGGCGCAGCTAAAGAAAGCATTGTCTTATCAATTCCTAGGTTTCTGGGAACATGTTGCACGTTATCACTATGGATTTTAGGACACACAAAACTCTACACTGGCATTTTGAAAGAACCAAATCTATACTGTGCCCCTTTAGGAGAGGTCAATCAATGTGGACTGCCTTTGAATACAGTCTACAACCTAGAGGACAATTACCTTGGACTACAGCAGCAGTATATGACTAATATAAATACCGTCAATGGAACAGAGGAGAACATAACCTTTCTAAAAGCTTTTTTCCAGTGAAGTGATCATAGAACTATTCATTGTGACTGAAACGCTCACTTCTGGGAAATGGGAAAAGGTTGATCTTACAAGTATTCAGCAGGCATTAGACAACGTGAAGCAAGCTGGATTATATGAGCCGGGCCCAAGCAAAGGCTGGAAATGTTACATCATGCACAGGATTCATATTCCAAGGCTAAGCAAAGCACATATGCTTCAATCCCAAATGTTTCCAAACATTTCCTCAAGCGAACATCGTGATTACATAACCAGAAAGGCCCACTTTTGCCGGCTTGTTTGCATGCTCTAGACCTCGGTTAACCCATTTCAGCAAGACATTAACTTACAGTGCATTTAACATATTTCTGCACACACCTACCCACCCAAAACTATGTTAACACATGAGGCGGAGGGATTAAGCTCATTATTTTTAAACAAAGGAAAAGAGCTGCTTCATATGTTACATTGGGCTGCCTTTCCATTTCCATTAATCCACGAAAATGCATTTTGGACCACAGAAGTCGCTGCTGCAAAGAATGGGTTACTAGGGTTTTAGCCCACTCAGTGGGTTATCTGCAGAGTTCCCATGAATAGATGAGTTGCACAAGCCTAATTTTTTTTTGGGGGGGGGGGCCGCAATGTAACATGTGACACAGTCCAAAATCACATAAAATATCTGGGGCAAAGCAGCCATCTGAAAGGAACAATCATATCCCAAGCAGACATCCTAGTCACTGTGGCAATCATCTTCATGAAAGGTTGCTTCCCACAGCAGAGATAAATGCAATGCAGGAAGACATATGTTTACTGTGTGGAAGTGTGATATGACTGGCTTTCATTATATCATAAGAAGACCAATCTGGATGCCAAATCAGGTACTCTAGGTCTACGTACGGGACCACCTCTCCTGGTATGCCCCACGGAGAGCCTCAAGGTCCATAAATAGCAACACCCTAGAGGTCCCGGGCTCTAAGGAAGTTAGATTAGCTTCAACCAGAGCCAGGGCCTTTTCAACACTGGCTCCAGCCTGGTGGAACGCTCTGCCTCATGAGACCAGGGCCCTGCAGGATCTGATTTCTTTCCGCAGGGCCTGTAAGACAGAGTTGTTCCGCCTGGCCTTTGGCTTGGAGCCAATTTGATTCCCTCCGCCTCTTTCTTTTTTTCTTTTCCTTTCTCCTCCTGCGATGAGGCTACATTTTAATATTTTAACGTTTCAATATTTTAATGTTGTATTTTAATTTTGTTTTTAAGTTGTATTCATTCAACTTGTTTTTATTATTGCTTGTTAGCCGCCCTGAGCCCAGCCTTGGCTGGGGAGGGTGGGGTATAAATAAAAATTATTATTATTATTATTATTAAACACTCATGCCTGAATTCCACAAATTATGGCACATGTGGGTTACTCCCTAGATGTAGGCACAACTGTACAGGGGAGGGAAAGACCAGGGATGTTTTTCAGAGAAGCAGTGATGATGCCATCACTTGGCAAATGAATAAAGTGATAACGAGCCTTTCAAGTTTGTTTGTTAGCATGGGTAGCAAACTAAGGCCTGGGGGCCGGATCCGGCCTAATCACCTTCTCAATCCGGTTCAAAGACGGTCCGGGAATCAGCGTGTTTTTACATGAGTAGAATGTGTGCTTTTATTTAAAATGCACCTCTGGGTTATTTGTGGGGCCTGCCTGGTGTTTTTACATGAGTAGAATGTGTGCTTTTGTTTAAAATGCACCTCTGGGTTATTTGTGGGGCATAGGAATTCATTCACCCCCCCCCCCAAATATAGTCCAGGTCTGAGGGACCATGGACCGGCCCCCTGCTGAAAAAGTTTGCGGACCTCTGGATTAGCGGAAGTCAGAGAATGCCCAAGAGAATGCAGGCTACTTCATTTTTTTAACGGGTTCCAACTTCACGCTAACAGTTTAAATGAGTTGCACTTGCAATTGTTTGCACTTGCAATTAAAAAGTTGCCCTTCAGCTGACTGAAGCTCTTTTGTTTTGAAAACAGAAACACAAAAAAGCATGTGTTTTAAGAAGTTGAAGCTGTGCGGTCAGTGGTACAGCACCACCGAGCTCAGTGGAGCTCACTTCCAGGAAACTAAGCATAGTCATGCTGATCCTAATAAACTGGGGGTTATGCTGTGTACTGCTGCTATGTGTGTGTGCAATTGTAAAATGGATCAACACAGCTGCATTTATTTTTTTTTATTCTTCTCGGGACTGTCTTATGGGAGCTGTCATGCTAAGCTCCCACACTTCAAAATTTACATATTTAAAAACACAAGCAGTTTCGCAATGTCACCTAGTGCCATAACTGGCAACAACTGATACTTTCGTTGTATACAGACAAACGCCCCTTTTTTCTTTTTTCTAAAAAATAAGTATAATCATGCAATTTGCACAGCGTGGGTGATGTTGGGAAATATTGTTGCAGAGTCCTCAACTGGTCTGGGTTTGAGATTTCATGGGCTATGTCCAAGTTCCCAAAAGTCGAAACGACAATGCGTAGGAGTTCTGAAAGGGAAATTTAAGTTCTTTGTTTCGCACCAGTTATAGTACTTAGGGGAACTGACTGAAGTGCATTATTGCTGTATTGCTGTATCCGTCTGTTTACACTGTTGTAAACACTACACTTCATGCAGAATGCAAGGCCTATCAAAAATGTGCCAGGGCCATTTTTGAAAAGGCAAGTGACCAGGAAGGCAAGGGAGGGGAAATGCAAGGCGCGTGTATAGAAGCATTTCTCACCTGGAATGACAGAGATAGTTTTCAAAGCTCGGAGAACTCTGAAAGTTCTCAAGGCTGACACATTCCCAAGGTCCACAAACTCTGTGACATATCTGCAACGAGGGAGGTCACACACAAAGAGACACAATGACAATAACACACACGAAAAACGGGAATGGGGGAAATAAAACAACAACTACAGACAGCAATACATCACTCACAGGGAGCTGCGACCCAACACCTAACACCAACAGCCTTACCTGGAATTACAGAAATAGTTTTCAAAGCTCTCAGTACCCTGAAGGTGCGCAGAGCTGAAACATTGCCTAGGTTTACAAACTCTGTTATATACCTGCAGAATTAAACCAGAGTTAATGGCACCGATTGGGGTTACCTAGCTTTCAAAAATAAAAATAAAATAAAAGTGTAACGTTCAGTTGGGGGCGGGGAACAGCATTCACATTGTAAACTGCTTTGGAAGTGGCATGAAGAAAGAAAAAAAGAAACAAATCTAAGGTTGCAAATGAAACAGTTTTAGACGTTTCCATTATCACAGGGCTTCTTCTTCAGCTATGCTTCCCATTTGTGATTTCAAAACAAGAGTAGGGAGGAAGAGGTCTCCTGAGAGAGGCACATTTTAGAGTTCCATTAAAGAGCAGGAAATTGTCAACTGTGGGGGGATGGCACTTGGATTTTCTGCTTCAATGGTACCAACATGTCCTTGCGAGCGCTCCAACTGGCTTGCGAGCGCTCCAATTGGGGAACAGCCTTTACTAAAGGTGTCATGGACTTTGAAGATGCTCAAACTCAGGACGAAAGGGAGAAACATGCTGAGAGGAAGGCACGTTTGGCAAACCCTCACCATGATCAACTCCCATCCTCAAACCTATGTCCCCACTGTGAAAGACATGTGGATCCAGAATTGGCCTCCACAGTCACTTACGGACTCACTGTTAAGACCGTGTTCATGGAAGACAATCTTACTCGGCTACGAGTGATCGCCAAAGCAGAAGGACATCTCTGTCTGCTGGAAAAGTACTGCTAAGCTCTGTGATTTACCTTGAACACAGGTGAGCAACTTGCGGTCTGTGGGCTCCATGCAGCCCCCTGTGCCCCATGCAACCCCCTCCATTTTCCTATACAGAACTTTGGCTCTATCAGCCACCACTGACATGTGCTCCCCACTTCCCCTACAAAACAATGTGGCCCTCAATCCCAAACAGGTTGCCTAACCCAAACCTCTACTTTCTTGTTTCCTCCTTCACTTCCCCACTAGAGTCAGCTCCACAGAAAAGGATACATAAGAAGTTAGTTCACAGTGTTTTAATGCTGAAATTGTTAAAAAGGACCTGGCCATAATTTCAAGGTTGACATTTGCCATCTTGGTTAATTTATCCCCAGGCTGTGCAAGGACTGAAAATGACTGGAATTCTCAGGGCTCCAACAGATTTAGTATAAAAATGATATTTGTATACCAAAAGATCATTTGCAGAACAACCCAATTTGTTGCTCCGTTTGCCTGTACAAGTGCACATAATCAATCTACTTGTGAACCTTTCCTTTCTGCTTATCATGATTCATACTATAGGCAAATACATTGTCTGAAACACTTGCCCAATGTCCAAGAATTCAGCCAGAGTTTTAGAAGGGTAGACCATCATTCCTGAAATTAGGCACTCTGGACACATTGCAAAAATTGTCTCTCCAGTTCCTTTTCAGTTTTTTGAGCCAATATCATGGATGTAAATATGATAACTGCACCATGCCCAGGGTTTTTTTTTTGGGGGGGGGGGTTGCTTCTACTGAGTTAAGTAAAACATTTGAAAAAAACAATAGATACACCAGCCAAATGTGATATACACTTGAAAAGGCATATCTGAATTCTCTCTCTAGCTGGGCTGTTCATAGTTTATCAGATCTGAAAAGGCAAACTGTCCCAGTCAAAAGATGTAAATATAGGCTGAACAAGAGCGAGCCAACAAACTGCCTTTTGTAGACAAGCCTGCTCATTCATTCCTCCTTGCTGATCAGTTGGAAAACAGTGCCCTGAAGCAGAGCCAGGATTCAAGTTCCTAAGGATATTCCTAGCTTTCCATTTTGTGCTGAAACCTTCAGCTCAAGACTAATTTAGAACAATTACAAAAATGATTATCAATGGAGAGCAGTCCAAAAATGTTTAGCTGTTTTACAGGAAAGGTTTTCGGTCCTGAAGAATTTCATATCCAATGTACGAGTTTACCAGTGATTAGTCAGGAATGATCAAAGGGCCCAGTTGCTTTGTCACCTTCCTGGACTTCCTTTGCAGCCTGCTTCTCCTTCTCCTTCCACTAACATATACAGTTATCTAGACACGAAAAGGAGCACAATACGTAACTTACGCCATCATGATGACACTGAAGTCTAGCCAGTTCCATGGGTCACGGAGAAAAGTGAAGCCGTCTATGCAGAAGCCTCTTGCAATAATTTTCACAAGTGATTCAAATGTATATATACCAGTGAATGTGTACCTATCAGAACAAGGAAAAGCAGTGGAGGAAAACAGAATACAGTTTAGAATATGCAGCAATGTCTTCATTAAGAGAGATGGCCAATGTTGCACATTAAAATATTAGATTCGGATTTATTTAAGAGTTGGTGGGATTTCTGCTCACAGTGGCTCAGTGCACAATTCATTGTGATGCATAATTAATAGCTGGCCTCACATCATGGCTTGCATGGAGTGAAACAAAAACACCTGGTTTGGATATAATGCTTAGCCAGGGCTTGTAGTTTGTTGCACCCACACGTGCTAGGAGCAGAGCAGAGCAGGAGCTATCTACATGCAGCATGTCCACAGTAAAACATTAAAACTACAGTTACCATGATATGGGAATGCAGTCACAGATATTCTGGCCAATCACAGACTGCAGATAGATTCAGGTAGGTAGCCGTGTTGGTCTGACACAATAGAAATATATATATTTTTTTAAAAAATTGTCCAGTAGCACCTTAGAGACCAACTAAGTTTGTTCTTGGTATGAGCTTTTATGTGCATGCACATGGTATCTGAAGAAGTGTGCATGCACATGAAAGCTCATACCAAGAACATAGTTGGTTTCTAGACTACAGATAGGTTTTGGAATAGACTATTAGATTATTAAACATTCTAATACATATTTTCACAGGTTTTGACAGACATTTCAAAGTCTGGTTGATCCAAGTTCAATTTTTAAGGAAAAACCTGAAGTGCCAACTTGCAGCAAATTATAGCATACTGTGAACTTGCTGCCTAGCATACTTTCCAAAAAAAGAGAGGCCACCATCACTTTAAAGAATTAAGCAAGATTTACACCACCACCCACAAAACAAACAAATGAATTGCTACTTACTCCACCTGTTTCGACCACTCTGGTGGGTTACTAAAAGTCATGAACACACAGTTCGTCAAAATAGTGCACATAATGATCATGCTAAATACTGTAGAATAAAGTCAAGGAAGCATGAAACGTAAGAAATCACATATTCATTTCATCCCATTAAACTCCCGCTGAACCTTACTGAATTAAATCGGAAAACAATATCATCAGCAATTACCACTGCAACAGTTTTTCAGCAGGTGTTTGCGGCTGCAGTGGACTCTCCTACTATTCATCTAAATATGAGTGGTATATATACCTGGTTTAATATCCTGATTTGGAGGAAGTTCTTAAGCCACAGTTTCTCAATTAGGACGTAATGGGAAACTGTGGTTTAATGAAACAAGAGATTTGCTGAAGCTGTGCATGTGAGGTGAAGAGGAAAGCAGAGAGGGGAGGAAGGAGAAAGTTGGCATATAGCTCGTTCTTCTCGGATGTTGCCCCTGAACTGGGTCTAACTCTAGTCAAGAGCCACACTGTTCCAAATACTGGGTGCAGATTATGGACTCTCAAGTGTTGAATCATAAAGTCTCACAGTGGATACAAGAAATTGATATTAATTAATAGTGATTGCAGTAAAGAAGATCTGAAAGAATCTAATTCAAGTCTCTGTGTGCTTATTGTAAAACATATGTATATGTTTAAAATGCTTGCATACATGAGGAATAATAAATCATCTTGAGTCTCTATTGAATGTGAATGCATGATAGAACGAAGATGTGAGGGATTTCAAACTTGATGTTTATTCTGGCCCATTTTGGTTTCACATTCGCATTCCAAGCTGATTTAAATTTCTTGTGAGAATACAGCCTGAATCTACTATTAAAGCATTAAAACGAAAACATCCCCTTTCACCTTTGAACATTAGACACACATCACTACTTAGCACCTAATGTCAAGGCTGTAAAACTGTAATGCAAGCAGAGAAAAGCTGATGCATAAATAAGAGCCCTCTAGGTTCTCAATGCGGGTGGCGCTGTGGTCTAAACCACTGAGCCTAGGGCTTGCCGATCAGATGGTCAGCAGTTCGAATCCCCGCGACGGGGTGAGCTTCCGTTGCTCAGTCCCAGCTCCTGCCAACTTAGTAGTTCAAAAGCATGTCAAAGTGCAAGTAGATAAATAGGTACCACTCCGGAGGGAAGGTAAACGGCGTTTCCGTGCGCTGCTCTGGTTTTGCCAGAAGCAGCTTAGTCATGCTGGCCACATGACCCGGAAGCTGTTTGAGGACAAACGCTGGCTCCCTTGGCCAGTAAAGCGAGATGAACAGCGCAACCCAGAGTCGTCCACGACTGGACTTAACGGTCAGGGGTTCCTTTGCCTTTACCTTTAGGTTTGTATTTCCTAATATTTTATAGTCAACTTTTCAGTCCAATATCCCAAGGAAGTGAAGGCAGGGGCATTAAAAAGTGCATTGGTTTGTTGAAATAGGGGTGGGGAATCACCTAAACGTGCTAATTTCAATGCAGGAGTACAGGGCAGGAATCCGCTGGGTGCCAGCAAATGCCTCTGCAGGCACACAACTCCTGGCACACAATGAACAACCCTTAGCAATCCAAACCTTTTGTGTCACAAATGCATATACATACACCCACCCCATTTAATTCTGTAACAATGTAATTCCAAATAAAGTGTCTTTCTTTAGTTGATCGTCCAGGGATCCAGACATTTTTTGGGTGTCCCCTGACTGTTTGGGTAAAAAAACCAAAAACATTGATGCGTCATGGGCCATAAACCCAATCCATATATTTTTAGTCAGCACAGCAACCCTACATACCAGGAAACGTGACTACAGAACGGACAACCGATATTATCATAAAAAAGGATATGAATGTATCAAAATTTTAATAGCTATTCTCCTAAACAGATTAAAAGGACTTAAAATGTACAAGGCAGGCGTGGCACTAAATCGGAAGAGTGTTTTGCCTCTGTTTAGTACTACAAAGGTCTGCAGAGAAAGAGAGAGAGAGAAAGAAAAAATTATGCACATATACCTCTCAGCGGAAAACACACACACACATATACAATCTAACCATAACTTGAAACCAGTATTTTGGGTTAGCTTTAAAACCGCATTCATATGTCTGATGTTCATATTGTTGTGTTTCATTGTTTGTCATAAGCAGCTTTGTGGGAACTTTTAGAGCTGAAATGTGGCAGATAAATAAATACAGAAAGTTAGTAGTACTTTTAGAACAAATACATAAATGAAGTTTGCAATCACTGTACACACTTACCTGAAAGTCAGGCTCATTGATTTCAGTGGGACTTACTTCTGAGTAGATGTGCAGAGAATTGTACTGGTTTTGGTTTTATATCCATGTCTTAATTTTATATTTTATGGTTTGTAGACAAAACTGTACACACCCCAAATAACTATTTAAAACATTTTGTACATTACCTAGTCATTTATTGTTTCTAGTATTGAAAAACCACACACACATCTAACATAAAAGCCAAATATTTATCAAATCAACAAAGAGAAAACTTCTTAATAAAGGGTTGTGTTTTCATGCTGTTTTGACTTTTCACAAAGTCACAAAAGAAAGAATGAAAACCCAAGCCTTCGTTAAGAAGTTGTCCAAAGCGGTGCTAGTTGACTTTCATGAAAAATGTGTGAAACAACAACAACATGTAACATGTTCAACAGATAAAGCCCCATTTTAAAATATGCATAGGATGCTACCTCTGTAAGACGGACATATGTTAGAGGCCACGAGCACCATCTGGCAAAGGCCTTTTTGCTTAAGTCTCAATGAAATGTAGCACACAAACCTAAGAAGCCGTCTTATACCACATCAGACCATCAGTTTACACTGACAAGAAAGTGATTCTCCATGAGTTTAGGAGCCTTTCCCCAACCCTATCTGGAAATGATATAATTTGCATCTGGGACCTTCTGCATGTAAACCACATGTTCTACCAGTGACTCCAGGCTCCTTCCCTGTCCATTACTTTTTCTATACAGACCACTACCTTTCTTTCCCAAAGGAAACTCAAAGGACCAACTGCATGCGAACCCAATGCAGAAGTCTAATAAATGAGATACAGAAATACCTCTATACATTTTGTGAGAGTGTTTGAAGCAAGTGTAAGATAATGTAGGGTATCATCCCATAGAACTTAATTAACCATCTTACCCCACTTTCTATTCTTTTGTCCATATGAAACATACTAGTCCTTATGGACAAATGAAGACCAGTACACTCATTTTCTGCCTTCCCTTGGTTTCTCCAGCCTTCTTTCATCTTTCAGGGATCTAGACCTCAAGTTCCTCCTGCCATACACCCAAAGCAACTCTGTCTATCTCCTCTCTCTTTCCTCTAACTTTCTCCTCCCTGAAACCTCTCTTTTTATCTTGCCTGGTTTGAGATTGACTTCACCCCCAAAGGCGCACTCCTCCATTGTCTCCCAAGACAGATGGATGCCAACTACGGCCAAGTACGTAACAGCGTCAAAATGGAAATAAAATCAAGGCAACTCATTTCAGCAGTTTCAAAACAGGTAACTGTAAAACAACTATAGTTCTTGTTAACAATGACTATAATAACGTCAAATGTCTGCTTAGATAGAAACCTCGGAAGCAAAACAGGTCAGGCACCAACCCTTTGCCCATTTCCTGAACTTCTACAGTAAAATAAGGAAGGTAGGAATGCGGCGGAAGAAACCAGACTTTGAAACGTCTTGGAATTTCCATGTGGGTTGTTGACTGGTGCTCCAGTGCTTCCACCCCACCCCCATTTGTTGGTTCATTTTTAATTTTGACCTGTTGTCGGATATCTGTACTTTTTTTAAACGATCACCTGAAAGTCCTGAACATTTAAAAAAACCTCCCACAATAAAATCAAACAGCTAAACCCAAGAAAAGACATGGCATGTAGCAAGCACCCCTGCTGGCTATTGAAAACATCTATTGAAACCGCAAAAGTCTTAAATGGGCTCCTACGTGCTAACAGATAGTGGGCCTAAAAGGTTTCCCTATGGAGATAATTCCAGAAAAAGGCAGCAACGCTCAAAGGACCCTGGTCCTCCTAGTCACAATCCCAGTGAGGAGACTACTGTGCTCAGAAGAGAGGCTCCTTAGATGGGCCCACAGGTTAACCAAACTGTTGGTAAAGGTACCCCTGCCCATACGGGCCAGTCTTGACAGACTCTAGGGTTGTGCGCTCATCTCACTCTATAGGCCGGGAGCCAGCGCTGTCCGCAGACACTTCCGGGTCACGTGGCCAGCGTGACAAGCTGCATCTGGCGAGCCAGCGCAGCACACGGAACTCCGTTTACCTACCCGCTGGTAAGCGGTCCCTATTTATCTACTTGCACCCGGGGGTGCTTTCGAACTGCTAGGTTGGCAGGCGCTGGGACTGAACGACGGGAGCGCACCCCGCCGGGGGGATTCGAACCGCCGACCATGCGATCGGCAAGTCCTAGGCGCTGAGGTTTTACCCACAGCGCCACCCGCGTCCCTTGGCACTGTTGGTGCTAACCTTTAAAGCCCTAAACAGCCGTGGCCCAGTGTACCTGAAGCAGCATCTCCACCCCCATCGTTCAGCCCAGACACTGAGGTCCAGCTCTGAGGGCCTCCTGGTGGTTCCCTCACTGCGAGAAGCGAGGTTACAGGGAACCAGGAAGAGGGCCTTCTCAGTAGTGGCGCCCACTCTGTGGAATGCCCTCCTGTCAGATGTCAAGGAAATAAACAACTATCTGACTTTTAGATGACATCTGAAGGCAGCCCCGTTTAGGGAAGTTTATAATGTTTGATGTTTTATTGTGTTTTTAATATTCTGTTGGGAGCCGCCCAGAGTGGCTGGGGAAACCCAGCCAGATGGGTGGGGTATAAATAATAAATTATTATTATTATTATTATTATTATTATTATTACCACTTCTGAAATGAAGCAGGCATGGGCAGCATGGGATCCTGCGTGACCACAAAACCAACAAACAAAAGAGAGTACTCGTGCATAGGACTGCGGCTTGACTTCTGAATAAACATGCATAGGATTGCACTGTGAATCTCTTCTACAACATTTAAGAGACTTTAAAGTATGGGGCCGAAGCCAGTTTAAAGCAAACAGTTCAATCCGGTTTCAAAATTGAGCTCACCCATCTCTTAGCTTTCCGTGGCTATAGAAAGCTATCTATAAGGGGGTAATATTCAAATATGCAATTCACTACTTGGGATGTGAAGTGGTGCAATCCAAGGAAGGCTGTACTCCGTACAGTTCCTGCTCATTCAGAATAGTGACAGGGAACACCAGAATAACGTCGGCCATTTTGTTCAAATGATCAAGGCCCCTTGCTTGCTTATTTCTGAAACAAAGCAAGTTTACTGGCTTCTGTTCCATTCACTCTTGGCCCAGGGTGCAAGGTGTTTCTAAGTCCTCTCCTAGCTGGCTAAGCCTTGATGGTTATGCTCAAGCTCCAGTTGCTGCACACAAGTGGGGAGAGGGCTGTTGTCCTCAACTCCTGTTTATGGGTTTCCCATAAGCACCTGGTTGGCTACTGTAAGAACAGGAAGGAAGCTGACTAGGTGAACTATTGGCCTGATCCTGCAGATTTTTTTATCTTATGTTATTAGTCTTTCCCACAATGACAAACCTAGACAGCATCTTAAAAAGTAGAGACATCACCTTGCCAACAAAGGTCCGTATAGTAAAAGCTATGGTTTTCCCAGTAGTGATGTATGGAAGTGAGAGCTGGACCATAAAGAAGGCTGATCGCTGAAGAATTGATGCTTTTGAATCATGGTGCTGGAGGAGACTCTTGAGAGTCCCATGGACTGCAAGAAGATCAAACCTCTCCACTCTGAAGGAAATCAGCCCTGAGTGCTCACTGGAAGGACAGATCGTGAAGCTGAGGCTCCAATACTTTGGCCACCTCATGAGAAGAGAAGACTCCCTGGAAAAGACCCTGATGTTGGGAAAGATGGAGGGCACAAGGAGAAGGGGACGACAGAGGACGAGATGGTTGGATAGTGTCTTCGAAGCTACCAGCATGAGTTTGACAAAACTGCAGGAGGCAGTGGAGGACAGCGGTGCCTGGCATGCTCTGGTCCATGGGGTCACGAAGAGTCAGACACGACTAAACGACTAAACAACAACAACAAATTAGTCTTTCCCAAGTACAGCACAGCTTCCCTTTGGCTAGGACAATAAAATTCTCCTGTACCCTAGGGACATTCTGTAGACATTGGGTGTCAAGATGCACTGTGCTGAGGAATGGTCTCTAACAAATTCAAAACATGAGAAAAATACAGTGGTGCCAATCATTTACCTGTTTACCTTTACCTGTAAAGGTAAAGGTAAAGGACCCCTGTTAGTTAAGTCCAGTCGCGAACGACTCTGGGGTTGCGGCACTCATCTCGCTTTAATGGCCGAGGGAGCCTGGCTTAGGTTAGAAGAGATGGGACTTCCGGGTTAGCGCCATCGCCGAATGGCGGACTCCCTCCGAGCTCCGGAGGGAGTCTGCTCGGCAGGGGCTGGGTCCTACCGCGCCGGCGACGCGGGGACCCTTAAAACCACGGGCACGGAGTCCGTGGACATGGGTGACTCGGCTTGCACCATTAGCGCCCTCCCGACTCGTGAAGGAGCCTTTTAAAGGCTTCGGATCGGGTGCCGGGAGTGGCGTGGTGCTTGAGTCCACTGCTTTCCCTGCCGAGCGCAGCCGCATGCCATTCGACGGAGAGCGCTGACTTCTTCTATTGAAAATTTGGACTATTAACAACAACCCGTGAGTAAATTGGGAAACCGGGTTCAAAATTTTGGATTTGGCACGAGCGGGGGCGATTTAAAAAGGAAGTCAATCCCCCCCCCTATTGTAAGCAGTCCAAAACAAGGACTGGGTAACCAAGGTCCAAAGGGAAGTATGTTTCTGATAAAAATCATTAATTTCACGATGGGAAATTATAAGAAATGTGCTGGAGGAGAAGAGTGGAGGGTGAGAAGAAAAATGCAACCCCCCCCCCCTGGGAACCGGGGCGATTCGTGGAGCCTGGTGAAGAGAGACGGAGACTTTGACAGCTGTCAAAGTGGCTGTCAAAGCTGGAGAATATAAAGAGGACTTTGTTATGAGGACCTTGCTGGTTAATTTTGTTACAATTTGCTATAATATGGATACAAACTGTTGGAAAATAAGCAACAATTTGACTTTTGGATTAGAGGATACAAAGTTATTACAATCCCCTAGAGGGTTTCGGGATACTACAAGAACGGTCGTAAGTGGAAAAATACCCTGGGATTCGCACAGGATTTGTTATCTTCTGGGAAAGCTGCAAAACTGAAAGAGTATTTTGTCTACAGAGGAAGACAATGGAATTTTTATTGAAGAAAGAAAGGGACTGGACGTAAGTTTTGTTCCTGAATAACAAACCTCTGCAGAGACACTAGATTTCTGAATTAGAAAGTTTTAGCAGCTGAACAGGACAAGAAACCTGAGAAAGTGAGGAATAAGAAGAATAAAGGACTGATTACGACACGGAAAGAACAACGGGAGGAGTGGTAAAGATCAAGGAAATTAAAGGCCTTTGTTAGATTGGACATTTGAAGTCAAATATTATTTAAATTAATAAACTAAAAGAAAACCGGCAAGATGGAACTGGGGAGAAATCTGGTCATGAAATGAGACTTCCAAGCTGATAATGTATAGACTGAGGGACATGGGGAATCCAACCCGGGGAAGGGGAGATTTGAAATCCAAAGGCTGTGTAACCATTTTTTGAAATTTTCTATATCTATTATTTACTATTTCTTTCCATAACTTACGCTTGTTATTTTATTTTTAACGTACGTGTTAAAAAAAAAGGGAATTTGGGGACGGAACTGGGGTGGATCTTGGGGAAAATCTTTTTCTTTTTCTGTTAATGATGTGGGACGCGGTAAGATTTGTACAATTCAATCTGGATAGTGGGTTAAACAAATTAAGCTTTAAATTGGGAGTGAGAGCTTGTAGAACCAAATTAAGGAAAGGGAATACAATTGGGGGGAGGGGAGTCCCAGAAAGTAGGGAATGAAAGTAAGATTTTTAAATATTTCCTTTCTTTTGTCTTTTTTCTTTGTATTTTTATATTTCTGGAAACTTTAATAAATATGATTTAAAAAAAAAAATAATGGCCGAGGGAGCCAACGTTTGTCCGCAGACAGTTTTTCTGGGTCATATGGCCAGCATGACTAAGCCGCTTCTGGCAAAACCAGAGCAGCGCACAGAAATGCCATTTGCCTTCCCGCCGGAGCGGTACCTATTTATCTACTTGCACTTTGTCGTGCTTTTTTTTTTTTTACTTTGATGTGCTTTTGAACTGCTAGGTTGGCAGGAGCTGGGACCGAACAACGGGAGCTCACCCCGTCGCGGGGATTCGAACCGCTGACCTTCTGATTAGCAAGCCGTAGCCTCAGTGGTTTAGACCACAGCTCCTAGTGAATATCACTAGTTTACAGACATTCTCAACAAGACCAAGGGAAGAGACCAAGGGAAAGAATGACAATCTGAAAATCAATTATCACCCCCCAGAGAAAAATTGAAACTTGGACTGGGGACACCTGGGAAAATGTTCTCAATGAGCTGGTCTATATTTAAGACTCGCATCTCCATGGCAAGTGTCTCTGTTCCACGTTATACTGAATTAGTGCAGATCACTGTCTAGAGTTGGGGCTGTCATGTAGTGAGTTTCTCTGCCAGTGGTCCATATCGGGGGCATTTGCTTGGCAGGGGCAGCAACTGATGCAGTGAGTTCTAATTAAGTATTTGATCAGGGGCTGAGGAGCTCCCAATGGGGATGCCAATAACATATAGAGCAGCAGCCCAAGCAAAACCCCTGGGTTTACCAAGATGCCAATTCATCTTGCTTACCGAACCTGTAAAATGGAAGTCATAGCCAAGGGAAAGGGAAAGGGAAAAGGCTGGGGGCGGTGAGAGGAACAGGATTCCTTGGAAGGTAGTGGACTCCCCCTTTTTAAACAAAAACTGGGTGACCACCTAACAAGGATGTTGTAGCTGTGGGGTTTTTTGCATCAGCAGGGAAACATTCCAAAACGGAGATCTGCATTATACTAAGTCAGGACAATTGGTCCATCTAGATGAATAGGTTGCACTGCTGGCTAAGATAGCTTGCTGGTTTCAGCAAAAGAGCTTTCCTAGGCCTATTGGAGGTGTGTGTTATTGGGTTGTTGTTTTTATTTTGATTGTATGTTTTGTGGTTTTATATTTTGATTTTCTTCTGTGAAGCGCCCTGAGACCTCCCAGTACAGGGTGGTATATAAATTCAATAAATAATAATAATAATCTAGAAATGCTTGAGATTGAATCTGGGACTTTCATAAAGAAGCTCTACCACTAAGCTTTGGCCTGGTTTTGGCCTTCAGTTGATGACTCTGTGTCTTACAGTTGTGATGAGGTTCATTGGAATAAAGAAACACTGCCATCTTCCCTAAGTATTGGGGGATAAGGCAGAGACAGGTGCCATCCTCCAATTCTGGTGCCAGTCAGGCCACGCCTCTGCACTTAGCTCTCTGGCTGGCATTAAAAAGAAAGAGCCAGGACTGCTTTTCATACGCTAGAAGCTGGCATTAAAAAAAACATGGCAACATTCCAGTTGTTCAAGCAGAACTGCTGCTTTTGATGATTCAGAGAGGGGTGTGTGTGTGTGTGTTTTAAATGGATTTTTGGGATGATCTTGAACCACTGGTTATTTGGAGAAGTAATGCACATCCTTTCTGGTAAAACACAATGGAATCAGGAAATGTGCCATTCCAGGGTTTGTGGGAAGATACACAAGGCCTCGCTATACAGAACAGGAAGCTGGGGGAGAAACTGTTCATCAAAAACATTTCCGGTGATGTCTGTAGCTCACTATTTCTAAAAAGAAAAAGAAAAAGACCCAACCTTCTATGCAGTCATGTTGTTCTCTGCACAGCACACAAGATGCGCTGCCAGAGGCCTCCCACATATTTCTAAATGGGAAGCCTTCTCTGGGGAACATAAAGGGCTTTCTTCAGTACAGCCTTTCACACACTCGGGCTTGCACCACTGGATGGGTGGTGGGGGCACCTAAAGGTGCCCAGTGCTGTACACAAAAGAAATCCTGCATTTCCTGGTATGCGTTTGGCTTTGCAAACAGCACCTCTTAGCTCAGTTGACCCCCGCATACCTGCCAAAACAGCCTCCAAGGCTTCTATCAAAGCCACCGTCAAGAGGGTGTGGTACTAAGTTGTTGCTGTGCTGTGTGCAGTAAAACTGTCATGCAGGCAAAAAAGAAATGCATGCCCTCCAACATTTCTCCAATGAAAATAGGAACATCCTAGTCTTTATTACCACATTTTTTGCTCTATAAGACGCACCAGACCATAAGACGCACCTAGTTTTTGGAGGAGGAAAACAAGAAGAAAAAAAAAATTCTGAATCCCAGAAGCCAGAACAGCAAGAGGGATCGCTGCACAGTGAAAGCAGTGATCCCTCTTGTTGTTCTGGCTTCTGGGATAGCTGTGCAGCCTGCATTCGCGCCATAAGACGCACACACATTTCCCCTTACTTTTTAGGAGGAAAAAAGTGAGTCTTATAGAGCAAAAAATACGGTACTTTTATTCTTATTTTACTGTTTATAACCCGTGAATTGCCCCAGCCACTCTGGGAAGCTCCCCACATATATGAAAACACAATAAAACATTTTAAAATACTTCCCCCTACAGGGCTGCCTTCAGATGGCTCGGGGGTTGGATAACTCCATACCCTCCAACATTTCTCCAATGAAAATAGGGACGTCCTAAGGAAAAGTGGGACATTCTGGGATCGAATCAGAAACTGGGATGGCTTCTGTAAATCCGAGACTGTCCTAGGAAAACAGGGGTACTTGGAGGGTCTGGAAATACCTCCCAGTATTTAACTGTTTACCCAGCTCATACAAGAGCCCCGTTGCAACAGACCCACAACCCATCTCTAGCTGCCTCCACCCTGTTCTCACAACGGCCTACCAAATCCAGACATTGGTGCTCAAAAGATCCTCACAGCAGCCATGCCTCCTGCCTCCCCCTGCCACTCGCAGGCCCAACCATTCTAAACCTGAAAGCGCAAGCTTGTGTTGTCCCTGAACAGCCGTACAACTGCAGACTCAGGCAGCCTCACCTTCTGCCTGCCTGCTGTTTTCCTCCTGCTCGCTGAAAGGGACATCACCCCCAGAGGAAATCTCCTCCTTCCCCTCCACACTGACTGGACCCTGCAAATTCACCTCAGTCCTCAGCTAGCTACCACCCAAGGTGCCTCTTCATCTTAAAAGGTCTTTTCCTTGCCAGCGGCCTGGGCATTCTGCTTACCGCCGAAGGCAGATCCAAATAAATCATATTTTCAAAGGGAGAACAGCCACGGAGTTTCTGAGTCCCAGAATCCCTTGGTGCGCGATGAAATCTATTTTGCACCCAGCCTAATCTAACCTAATTAAAGTCTGCACAATACCTCCTGCACTACCTCCGGTTTTGGGAGAACGGACACTTCACTCTCAGAGGTAGCAGCAGCTAGAGACCATCAGTGGAGGAGGTGAGCTGTTCACCTGGCTCCCCTTCATAGCTGCTGGAATTGCCCTTTTGGAACCTTTGGCCAGCAGAGGGTCACCCCCTTTTTGGGGAGCAGCTTTGGGGGGGGGAAGCAAGGACAAGGGCCACCCCCAGAACATCATCTTCTATGGAGATTGGCTTGCCCTAAATTGTTTAAGTGCTTTTTAACTTGTACACTTTTAATTTGGAGTTTTCAAAATAAGGGAGGTAAAATGTGCCTGGGAAGAGAGCAACTAGGGAAAGCAGTTGGCACCCCAATTGCAGTGGTTCTGGGTAAGTGGGTGGGACATGTCTGGTAAGGGGCACGTGGCACAGGGAGTTGGTGACTGTGCCATGTGCCAGACCTCCCTTCAACCTGAGGAATTGTGGCTGTCCTATCAGTCAGCCCTGGGGTCTGTGGCTGTTCAATGTTAGGTTGGTCCTGCCTCACCCATGATGTGATTGTGGATAAGGAGGCTGATCTGATCTATATTCCTGAGACGTGGGTGGTTGAGCAGGGTGGAGTTGGTGCTGGCTCCTTGGTACAGCTCCAGGGCAGACTTGAGGGTTGGGGATGGGGAGTTGCTGTAGACCACAGAGATTCCATCTCTGTCTCTAGGCTTTCTGGCCAGTTGGGTGGGGATCCAGAGTGTTTGTTCCTGGTGTTGGTAATTGGGACATATTAGGGATTCTGCTAGGGATGCAGGTGGCACTGTGGGTTAAACCACAGAGCCTAGGACTTGCCAATCAGAAGGTTGGCGGTTCGAATCCCCGCAGCGGGGTGAGGTCCCGTTGCTCGGTCCCTGCTCCTGCCAACCTAGCAGTTCAAAAGCACATCAAAGTGCAAGTAGATAAATAGGTACCACTCCAGCGGGAAGGTAAACGGCGTTTCCGTGTGCTGCTCTGGATCGCCAGAAGCGGCTTAGTCATGCTGGCCACATGACCTGGAAGCTGTATGCCGGCTCCCTCAGCCAGGAAAGCGAGATGAGCGCCGCAACCCCAGAGTCGGTCACGACTGGACCTAATGGTCAGGGGTCCCTTTACCTTTACCTTTAGGGATTCTGCTGGTTTACCACCCACCTGACTGCCCAGAAGTATCCCTGCCTGAGCTGACAGAGCTGGTCTTGGAGGGAGTGTTGAGGACTCCCAGATTGCTAGTGTTGGGGGACTTCAACATCCATGCTGAAGCCATTAGCTCTGCCATGGCTAAAGACTTCACGGCTGCCATGATGACCCAACATGTCATTGGCCCAACATATGCGGACCTTGTTTTCTCAGCTGGGCAGGAAGAGGGTGATCTGAAAGTGGGGGTTATTGACAACAGTCCCTTGTCATGGTCAGGTCACTTCCTGTTGAGATTTAGGCTCTCAGCATCCTTCTACCTCTGCAGAGGCAGGGGACCTATGAGGATGGTCTACCTCGGAAGCTGATGGCTCCAATTGGTTTTCAGACAACCTTGGGGGATTTCCCTGCTGATATGACTGGTGCTCCTGTTGAAACCCTGGCCAACTTGTGGAACATCTGGATGGCTTGGGCCACTGACATGATCATCTGAATGCCCTCTCCTGCTTTGTGGAGCCCACTTGGCTCCCTGGCTTGCAATAAGCATCTGAGGCCCTTCTTCATGTGCCCCCTCCATGAGAGGTCAAGAGGGACTAGATGGACTCTTGGCCTGATCTAGCAGAGTTCTTCTTATGCTCATTGGCAGGGGCTTCATAAAATGCAAAAGGCTCATGCTTTTGAGCAGGCTATTGGTTATCACACAACCACCTCCATTTATGGTACCAGTTGTACATATAGTTAAAGGAAGCACAGCATAGGAGCCGGTTGTGAAACAAGCTCTTTTGCTTTCTTGACTGAGAGCATAACAGAACTGTTAAGAGTATATTAGGTAAAGTAAAATGGAAGGGCTTTCAATGTGCATCATTAATTTTCCACGCAAAGCATTATGGCAAAGTTTTAAGACCCACCCCCTTCCACTTTAGAGGGAATCGGGCTGTCAAGTCCCACAACCACTTTGAGGCTTATGCTCAATATGTGATGGTGGTGATGGTCTTTTATTAGTCTAAATGGTACACTGAGGCAGTGAAAGGATGGAGGAAATGTCCCATCACTACCACAAACCCAGATCCAATAACCTTTCGGGAGCATTTGATGCAATTAAGTAAGTCAGGTTCTGGATTATATGGTGGCACACCACACCTATCTCTTTGTCAGGTCTAGATACATTTCATCTCTGTCCAAGATGAATTTTTAAAAGTCACCATGGATAGAAGACAAGTCTCCAAATGGTGCTAATTGGCCTGGGAGACACCGGACCTAAAACACCATGGTTTTTCTCTTTTGTGACTGAGATGGACTGACTGCCACTCCTTTTCTCAGTATCTGTTGCCACTCCCCCCTCTTATTTATCTGCCTCCTCCCTACTAGATGTGCTGACTTCCAGAATTGCTTAAGCTATGTGTTGAGCTGTGTGCAGATTTTGCAGAGCTATCAGCTACCCCAACAAACGATCAGACACATTTCTTCCCCAAACCTGAAAAAAGTGAAGAGAAGATTTGTATTTGAAAAGCCCACAGAAAAAGGTCATATGCAGCAAGAGACTCTTGCCACCCCAAACCTGTAATTCCTCCTGGGGACAAAAAAGACTTGAGTTTTTAATAGGCTGGGTCTTGGTGACTCACTTTCTGCGTCAAATAGAAAGGGTCAAAGTCCTCCAGTGGCACAGCAACCAGGCCTTTTGGGATATCCCCATAGATGAAAGGCAAATTCTTCCCTGCCTCCAGGTCACTGTTTGGTTTTGGTTTGCTCTCTTCGTCGTCATCTCTGTGACTGCTGTCTTGCTTAGGGCGCTTCTTCTTCTTATCTTCTGCGATGCGCTTCTCGATGTTAGCCAGAGATTCCGGAGTGAAAGGTCGAAAACTATCAGGGCCTGGTGGTGCAAGCAGCCGCCCTGCCATTTTTTCATCCTGCAGAAACTTATTTAGTTATGATGCGCCCGGGATAGGTCAGCTCTGTAGAGGAGAGAATAGGACAGACGGTCACAAGTCAAATCCTCAACATACTGGTGGGTGAATTGAGTATTTTTGGAGGGAAGAATGAATGAGTCTTGTTGAGCCACATCCCCACTGAGATACCACAACTGTTGCATTGGTTTTACCATTCACTATTTGCATCTTTTCAAGGGGAGTGTTAAACAAAGCTGCCTGAGACAATGAGCTCAACACATTTCCCAAGTATCTCACTTAAACCAGAGCTAGCTGACATGGTACCCACTGGATGTTGTTGAGGGTTGCCATATTCCGGGGATCAAAAACCCAGACACCCCACCATCACCACTGGGGCACCTCCGCCACCATCCTGCACCTCCCTCCCTCACCCTCCGTGCTGCTAACCCCTTCCTCACCCACCTGTTCCCCCCTCTCTCCCCTCTCTTATCATTGCTGTCTTTGGCCTCCTGCTCACGAGGGGAGGATGAGCGACCACGAGAAGGTCACACAAGGCCAGACAACCGTTGGGACTGTCTCGGGGCCTAGCGTGGTTCTGGGACTCCAACTCCCATCAGCCCCAGGCAACATGGTTAATGCTCAGAGATTATAAGAGCTGTAGTTCAAGAGCATCTTGAGGGCCACAGGTTCCCCATCCCTGTCTTAAACTACTTAAGGTTGTCAAGTTCACTGGTCCATTATAGAACTCATGTAAAATGGCAGATAACATGGATGAACTCTCTACTACTTACTGTATTTTATGATACTTAGTACTACCCTGACAACTCTACCTCTTCTGGAGACAGCCTTTTAATATTAAGACTGGCCAACCACTCCAGAACTTTTAAATCCTATGGTCCTCCTATTACTGTTTTCCTTCTGAGCAGCTTCATTTTGTGATGCCAAAAGTTCACTGGTGTTTCTCTAAGAACCGCTAATGCCTGAAGAGAAACATGGCAAAGTTTGCAAGAGCAGATTCCTTAATAAGAAGATGCCTACTGATGGACAAGTTACCCTGATCTTCCAGGACAGTGTCTAGCTACAGGGTAGGATTAGCAATGTTCTGTGTTGTAGTCCCAGTTGTATGGGCCCAACAAGCTTAACCAGAGCCCATCATGAATCAAGCATGCCCCAGAATTCACCACAATGCACAGGAGTTCCATGGCAAATGCCTGTGTGGTCCTCAATTTGGAAACACTTCCCTGAAAGCAGAAAGACTGAGCACCACTGTGTCAGATTTAACCAAAGCTCCACACATGAACCCATCTCTTTTTAAAGTATATTAAGGTAGGCATCTTCAGCTTTGCATGCAACAGTTCAGCACACAAAACCAGTGGCCCGTCACTGTAAACCACAGTTAATGATTCACTATGAATGCCCCTACATGGGTTGTTTCGCTTCTCCCTGCTAGTACACAGAGGAAACAAACCATGATCACTGGCTTAGTGTTATGTTCAAACCAATGACCATGGTTTGCTTCACTCCAACAAAGCACAATCAGTAAGCCAAAACAAGCCTTGGCTTCAGATCATGGTTTGCTGAAAATGAAACAAACCACAATCCCTCTTTCAAAAGTAACTCTAAGTCAAAGACCTTGGTTTGATTCCTTCCAGTGCTAGCAGGCAGCAAAAATCAGGGTGGGATCAACTCATACACGGTAAACCATGGTTTATGGCTTACCATGATGTTTGAACATGGTCAATACAACATTAGAACAATAAAACCCCAACACTATAATTTTGGCACGAATGTATGTCAATCAATGGTTTAAACATTATTCTTATTACTTTTATGTTGAAGTAATGGCAGGAGGATACAATTTTTGGCCCTGACACAAATGCACATGCACCACATGCTAACATCTGCATGTGATGGAGCTTTTCTGAATGCCAATGTTAAAATACATTTCAGGGATTAGTGAGTTTGATGGAGATGGGGACTGAGGAGGAACCCATATCTATATGAAATATCTTCAAATGTTGGTTGATTTGCTCTAGTATATTTCTCCTCTTCCCTTTCCGTCAAGCTGCCTGCCTGAAATCCTATAGGCCGCTAAGCAAGAAATCAATCTCTGCCACCCACAGATTCAGCTAGCATTTTAAACTAGCAGATTATCCTAACTCAGCACCTTCTTTTTCACTTCTCCCTTGAACAGTACAATACTGTTCACACAAGGCCACAAAAAGCCACACAATCTCTTCATATTACTCATGCCATTGGAAGCCACAAGTATTGGTGTTAAGATCAGAGTATACAGGTAAAAGAAACCATGTGTCCCAGGTAAAATTTGGACCAGTAATGCTTTGATTTTTAACCTTTAAAAGATTTTATGGGTTTAGTTTGTTGGTTAGGGCAGGCATGGGGAAACTCTATGGTCCTCCAAACATCATTAAAGACTCCAGCTCCCACCAGCTGCAGCCAGCATGGCCAATGGCCAAGAATGTCCAACAACATCTAGAGGCCACAGGTTCCCCAGCTCTAGTCTAGGGACCTGCATCTTGCTTTGGGTGCAAGAGGGATCCTGAGTTTACAAGGCTTGGAAATCAGGGAAAGAAGGGCCATGCCAAAAAAGATGGATAGATGGCAAATAATTCTCACTATTCGGCATCCATACAGTACCAGGCAAAACCTGAATGCAACAACCTCCTGCATTGTTGAAACCTCCGGTATTATGTATTACATGCAAGTATTTCCTGGGTGGGGGGGAGAAGTGGCTAGCTGAATACCTTTTCTAGGGTTGCCATTAAAAAAGAATGCTTGTTTCTTTTTTTTTTTTTTTTTTTAAAGCAATTTATTGGATTTTACAATAGGAATAAATGTAATAAACAATATAACATTCGTCTTAACATTATTTCACATTTTCTTTGGACTTCCTCACATCTCCCGCTCCCACCTTCATCATTATAACATTTTGTCAGCAATTTATCATCTTATTTAAGTTCTTATATCTCTTCGATATTTCATAATCTTAAAGTTCTCATAAAGAGTTAAACTTTCACAGTTTTTCTTATTTTCTTAAAACTTCTAAGTTAAGTGGTGCTCAGTTATTTAGTCTAGCATCTTATTCAGCATTCAGTCAAATCACAATGCTTTTGTAGATAGTTCTTAAATTTCTTCCAATCCTCCTCGATTCTCTCTTCTCCCAGGTCACGGATTCTGCCAGTCATTTCAGCCAGTTGCATATAGTCTATCAGTTGCATCTGCCATTCTTCCAGTGTGGGTAGATCTTGAGTTTTCCAATGTTTTGCGAGTAGTATCCTTGCTGCTGTTGTTGCATACATGAAAAATGTCTGATCCTTCTTTGCCACCCCTTGGCTGACAATACCCAAAAGGAAAGCCTCTGGTTTCTTAGTGAAAGTATATTTAAATACCTTTTCAATTCATTATAAATCATTTCCCAGAACGCCTTCACTTTAGGGCAGGTCCACCAGAGGTGAAAGAACGTTCCTTCACACTCTTTACATTTCCAGCACTTGTTATCAGACAGGTGGTAAATTTTTACGAGTTTGACTGGGGTCATATACCATCTATAAATCATTTTCATTACATTTTCTTTCAAAGCATTACATGCAGTGAATTTCAATCCATTACTCCACAGCCTTTCCCAGTCCTCAAACATAATGTTATGCCCAATATCCTGTGCCCACCTTATCATAGCCGATTTAACCATTTCATCTTGTGTATTCCATTCCAACAGCAAGTTATACATCCTTGAAAGTATCTTAGTCTTTGGTTCTAACAATTCTGTTTCTAATTTCGATTTCTCCACCTGGAACCCTAGTTTCTTATCTTGTTTCTATGCCTTAACTGCACAGGTTGGGGTTAACAGCAGGCTGATCTTGCAGACATGAGCAGAAGATGATAATCCTTATCTTCATGCAGCAAAAAACTTCATCTGCTGCCGATTTCTGCAGATAAGGTTTCTGCTCCAAGGACAAGAGCAGTTCAGGCTTTTTACTGATCAGTTGGCAACCCTATGTCTGATCTCAATAGGGACCTATGCATATGAAGCCAAAACTACCGGTAGGTGTTTTTTAAAATCAAACTGAATTTAATGAAAACCTTCTCCTCCCCACCCCCCTCCAAAAGCCGACCAAATTCCATTGCCAGTAAGAAAATACGTAAGATTTTAAAAACAGAGATGCTACTAAGAAAATTTCTTCTTTTTGGCAGGCATCATGAAAAGCAAACAAAGACATATTTGTTTGAAGGATGAGTCTAGAGAAATAAGTTTGCATTCTGCAGGGACTGCACAGTGTCCCCAGCAAAGAGGCCGCCAACCAGGTATGACGTGCTGTCAGACCAAATAATAAGTGTGAGTCAGAAAAACAGAGTTTGTCTGCATCTGGTGCTCCTATGTAGAACAAACACACACAGAGATGCACAAGCAGAGTCCCGTCCCCCCTTTCTCTGTAGTTTGACACCTTTGCCGGAGAAACAGGAAGGAGAATGAAACCGTGATTCAGGACTGACGATTCAGAGCTTTTCGCTCCGAAGGAAGGGGAGTGGAATTCTAGAAGCTGTGCACTGATGCAACGGCACTGCAGCACTGCAGACTGAAATACAACAGAGCACACGAGCTTTGGCACTTAAGGGAGCCGTCTAACTGCTGGATGGGCAGAGGTTTTTTTTAGGTGCAGAAATAATCCCGTTGCTTCGTGCACCAGACACAGAGGGACTAACTTGTAGAAACAAACAGAGACGATACAGATATATTCGGCAAATAAGAGAAAGGCACATACAAACACAAAATGCTTTTTCACGTACACTTCTTACAGCAGAAAACAACTGGCTAGCAAGGACCCCTTGAATAAGGAATGATGACTCAACATATTCCTTGAAGCCAACGATCCCCTACGGGGCCAAATCATTACGATGCAGCTATAGCCGCATGGAGTCAGTCATCACCATCATTAAGAGGTCTAGTTTGCCTTCCTTACCCCTCTCAGCTCCGGCGCCACTGAAGACACCTA